AAAGATCTATTGAAAGGAGAAATGTTTGACAAAATACAATATAATGGAATACTATACAGAACAGTAATTGATTATTTTTGTGCAACCTTATTAGCATGTAAACCTGAATAGGAAAGGTATTGTTTGGGTCTGACCTTGCCAATCCCACAACTATTAAGAGTAACAATATGCTATTATATAGGAGTAAATAAAATCATCCTCATCTGATGAGCTAGGTCATCAGATGAGGATTTGAAAGCCTATGAGGTTGTGAGATTTGGGTGATGATTTGTAGTCAGGTAAAAATTGGGAGATTTTATAAATATTTGGATGTTAGGAAAGGCCTGAGATTTTTTATGAAGACTGTAGGTTAGGTAAGGAGAAGGAATTTTGAGAACTGGGATATTGGACAGAATATGAAGGGTAAATGAGTAATCCCTATGTTCACATGGCCTTGGCTTGGGATATATTTATGGAATTCTATTTGGAATTCGATAATTTGTGACACCAACTTTTAAGCTGCATCCTACACCAGAAATTTAGCATTATACACAAATAATGCTGGTCCCAAACACAATAATTACTTGCTAAATTATAGCTGGGAAAACTGCTAGTAGCCCAGATAAAAAAAAAAAAAAAGAGAGAAAAAAAAACCGTATCCTTCCTAGCTTCAAGAGCGGAACATTTTATACAACAAATGATTGGAGTGTTGCTGATTCAGGAGGGATGATGGCCAATGGGTTGAATGTGCTCTTGGTTAGAGTGTACAGTTTTATCACAGTCCTTTAACAACTGAATGGGCATAGGTTCGAGACCCAGGCAGGGCAAGACGTTAAAATCTCTGATCTGAAAAAATCTGAATAAATCTCTTGTATGTACCTTACCTAAATAAACATATATTTATTTATTATTATTTATTTAAAGCAAGTTTCTTTATACCTGTTCACTCGGCAGCAAACTGTCGTTGCATCTTGGGAAAGGTCAGCCACTGGCCCCAGCCCCAGCCTTGATAAAGTGGGATTCAAAATGCACCTCAAAATGTGTTGTTCTATTTCATCACTCATCTTTAAACATACCAAACTTTTCCTATCATATTGCCCTGAAACGCTATGCATACTAGTGACTTTAGGTATTGTATGTACTACCTCTTTCTTTAAATCAAACAGAATGTTTGTACTGTAACTATGTATGTACTGTCCCTAAATAAATTATTATTATATTTACGAGAGTTTACTTGATGGCCACAATTTCTCTAGTGGCCTTGAAGGGGGCAAGAAGCCAGCGGCTTGTCACAGGTCCTCTAATAATTTTTTCCACGTATATTTTAAACAGAAATCTTGACCTAATCTGAATGTCTTATGATGTGAAACCAAACAAGAGACAGAATCTACTTGTAGTGACCTGTGCTGTAATCTGGAGGCTTGGCATAATAGGCATGCGCGCCTGCGTCAGTATAATGTGGGAGCCCTGGGAACTTCTTGTTGAACAGGAAGGTGGTGGTGGTGGTGGCTGATGGTGGTTGGTGGTGGTGGTTGATGGTGATTAATGGTGGTGGTGGTTGAGGGGCGAGGAGCAACAAGAGGTGGCCCGGCAGGAGGCGAGGTGTTGTTGTTGTTGTGACGAGTCACCTGATCTGACGCACGCGTCACCTCGTACACGTTATATCGTACACGTCCCCATTCGTCACACGCATTTTGAAGCCTACATATTTATTTTATTTATTTATTTATTTATATACAAGAAAGTACATTGGGTTTGTGAGAATACATAGCATGGTACAGTAATTGCACTCTTGTAAAGCCACTAGTACGCGCTGCGTTTCGGGCAGGTCCTTAATCTAACAGATAATTTTAAGTAGGTAAATTCTATCAGAATTAATAAAATGATAACAAATGCATTGCAAGAAAAAAAACTACTTAACCTAATTTAGCTCAACCTAACCCAACCCTGCGAAATACATCCTAACCTAAACTAATACATGCTAGCATAGCAATATACACGGTTTTAACAAACAGAAAGCGTTTGCCCGAAACGTACCTAATTTCATCCTCATAGTTTCATAAGAACATTAGAATAAAGGTAACTGCAGAAGGCCTATTGGCTCATACGAGGCAGCTCCTATCTATAACCACCCAATCCCACTCATAAACATGTCCAACCCACGCTTGAAACAATCAAGGGACCACATTACACCACGCTCGAGGAACCGGCCTCCACCACGTTATGAGGTTATCTTGAGATGATTTCGGGGCTTTAGTGTCCCCGCGGCCCGGTCCTCGACCAGGCCTCCACCCCCAGGAAGCAGCCCGTGACAGCTGACTAACACCCAGGTACCTATTTTACTGCTAGGTAACAGGGGCATAGGGTGAAAGAAACTCTGCCCATTGTTTGCCCAGAGAGTTAGTATAAATGGGGTTAAGTCAGAGTGGGATAATGTTGTTAGTGGAGTACCTCAGGGCTCTGTCCTGGGACCTCTGTTGTTTATAATATATATAAATGATTTAGATTCAGGTTCCAAGACCACTCAGGATGGGTGTGGGGTCCAAGACCACTCAGGATGGGTGTGGGGTCCAAGACCACTCAGGATGGGTATGGGGTCCAAGACCACTCAGGATGGGTATGGGGTCCAAGACCACTCAGGATGGGTGTGGGGTCCAAGACCACTCAGGATGGGTGTGGGGTCCAAGACCACTCAGGATGGGTGTGGGGTCCAAGACCACTCAGGATGGGTATGGGGTCCAAGACCACTCAGGATGGGTGTGGGGTCCAAGACCACTCAGGATGGGTGTGGGGTCCAAGACCACTCAGGATGGGTGTGGGGTCCAAGACCACTCAGGATGGGTATGGGGTCCAAGACCACTCAGGATGGGTATGGGGTCCAAGACCACTCAGGATGGGTATGGGGTCCAAGACCACTCAGGATGGGTCCACTATCACCCGCTGGATGTATAATTATTGAGTGAATGATAAACAAATGCAACTTGACTGACAATACAAATAAAAATGTCTTAGCTCAGAGAATGTTGGGGTCTAGTTCTTCAGCACCTCTGGCGGGTAACATAATGGACTTGGGTGTCATAATAAAAAAAAGGTAAAGCAAATTACCCCTCTTGTATAATTACATATGACGTGTATAATTACCCCTAATGTACAATGTAATATTATGCCCATAGTGTACAATGTCAATTGTGGCCATGGTGCACAATCGTTGCATAATATACAATCAAGAAATATCGTTATATTTCAAATTAATGTAAAAAAATATCCACATTCTTTTACGAATGGTGCATTGTTTCCGAGGCGGCGTGTTCACGTAGAGCTGTTCAAGGATTTGTGAGAGTATTGTGAAGGGTGGTGGGTGGTGGGTGGTGGTGATGGGTGGTGGTGGGTGGTGGAGGGGTGTGGAGGTGGGTGGTGGTGATGGGTGGTGGAGGGTGGTGGTGGGTGGTGATGGGTGGTGGTGGTGGGTGGTGGAGGGGTGTGGAGCGTGGTGGTGGTGGTGGTGATGGTAGTGGTGGTGGTTGGTGGAGGGGTGTGGAGGTGGGTGGTGGAGGGGTGTGGTGGGTGGTGGTGGGGTGCACAGTGGGTGTGCAACTCCTCCCCAGCAAGGTCACCTGGGAATGGTCTTAATACATGTAAGGAGTAATGTGGACACCAAGGAATTTACCTTCTACTCTGCACATTGGGAATAATAAATTATCAGGTTAATTTGATCAGTGGAGTTGTTACCCAACAATATGTATATTGTTTTGTCAATGTTGAGGGTAACCTTGTTAGTTGACACCCACCAGGTGGACTTTTTGGGGATTCAGTGTTTAGTGTCATTTAGAATAGGTGGGTGGATTAGGATTAGATAAAATTTAAAGTTGTGTTATCAATGATGCAATGCGAGTCATAACAAAGGCTCCCAGATGGACTAAAATACTGAACCTAAGACTAGAAACCAAGCTAACGTAGATTGAAATAAGGGTAAAAGGGATTTGCTGCGTGTATGCTGACCAAGATGCTGACTAGACCTAGAATCAGTTCACTTAAAGATATAATCACTGGAGCACTAACTTGGGACAGTAGAGCCTCCAATAGCAACAGATGGACCCATTGTGCAATAAACTCCATCAGTACATTCGATATAACAAATATAGTCCCTAAGAAGGGTGTCGCCGAAATACATGCAGATTTCGTTATGCAAGCCCCTTGCGAATCGCTGCCAACAGACTTTAAGATTATGGTTCTTGAGGGAAAAAAGAACCAGACTAATCCTCGTCTGCTATGTAATATTGCACAGATGCATATAGAAGCAAATTTGGCATCTGACAGCTTCACATATTTCACAGATGGATCAGCAGACCAGCAGGGACAAGAAACCGGAGCTGCAGTTAAAGCAGGAAACTCTGTAAATAGTTGGAGCCTCTCAAATGGGTGTTCGACTTTACAAGCAGAGATGCTAGCCATTCAAAAGGCTTTGGAACATTCTCTTGCATTCTAGGTACTGACTGAAGGCAAATACAGAATTACCTGTCACTTCATTTTAGAATTTATTATACTGTAGTAGCATTAACCACTAAATCTATAGTTAAATATAGACTATTTCTATTTCTATATAAATACATGATTTATATAACCTAATTTACCTGATATATATATATAACTATATATTAGGTAAATTAACTATATTCTTCACAATTTGTATTGGCCGCTCCATGACGTCATAAGCCAGCCAGCCAATGAGAAACATGTTAGTGTACTACAGCGCAGGATGATGTGCTCCTGTGTACAGATAATTCTGGTAAAGTAAAATTATTTCATATTATTTCATACAACAAGAGAAATTGAAAGGTTTATTTGACGCTATATAATTTCCAATATACATGTAACTTGTGCAGATAATCACATATGTTTACTGATTTAATGATTTTAAAGTAAGAGATGAAAAGTAAAGTTCTTTAGCAGTGATAACATAGAGATGATAATAGTGAGAGAACGAAACATTTTGGAGAGGTAGTGATAAGAGAGTGTAAGGAGAGGCTTGAGCACTGGTGGCAGACACTAGCAGGGAGGTCCACGTCGTGTTGTCGTGCACCTTATTACTGGCCCAGGACCAGCACCAGGGCCTCCACCCCGGCACTACACCACCAGTACCAGCACCAGTCACGCCAGCCGTCCTCCACCCTGGCAGGAACACTAGGGCACGTCCCTGGACACGTCTCACTAAAGACAAGGTACGTGTCTGGTAGCAGAGTATGTTGTGGTGTTGGGCCCCTGTGTTGTTGTGGCAGTGTTGGGCCCCGGCCCCTGTGTTGTTGTGGTGGTGGGGCCCCTGTGTTGTGGTGGCAGTGTTGGGCCCCGGCCCTTGTGTTGTTGTGGTGGTGGGCCCCTGTGTTGTTGTGGCAGTGTTGGGCCCCGGCCCCTGTGTTGTTGTGGTGGTGGGCCCCTGTGTTGTTGTGGCAGTGTTGGGCCCCGGCCCCTGTGTTGTTGTGGTGTTGGGCCCCTGTGTTGTTGTGGCAGTGTTGGGCCCCGGCCCCTGTATTGTTGTGGCAGTGTTGGGCCCCGGCCCCTGTATTGTTGTGGTGGTGGGGCCCCTGTGTTGTTGTGGCAGTGTTGGGCCCCGGCCCCTGTGTTGTTGTGGTGGTGGGCCCCTGTGTTGTTGTGGCAGTGTTGGGCCCCGGCCCCTGTGTTGTGGTCCCCTGCGTTGTGGTCCCCTGCGTTGTGGTCCCCTGCGTTGTGGTCCCCTGTGTTGTGGTCCCCTGTGTTGTGGTCCCCTGTGTTGTGGTCCCCTGTGTTGTGGTCCCCTGTGTTGTGGTCCCCTGTGTTGTGGTCCCCTGTGTTGTGGTCCCCTGTGTTGTGGTCCCCTGTGTTGTGGTCCCCTGTGTTGTGGTCCCCTGTGTTGTGGTCCCCTGTGTTGTGGTCCCCTGTGTTGTGGTCCCCTGTGTTGTGGTCCCCTGTGTTGTGGTCCCCTGTGTTGTGGTCCCCTCAGTTGTGGTCCCCTGTGTTGTGGTCCCCTGTGTTGTGGTCCCTGTGTTGTGGTGGCGGTGTTGGCCCCCCCACCCACCTTGTGTATTCACCTAGTTGTGCTTGTGGGGGTTGAGCTTTGCTCTTTCGGCTCGCCTCTCAACTGTCAATCAACTGTTACTATTTTCTTTCCCCTACACCCCCCTTCCCCCCCCAAGGAAGCAGCCCGTAGCAGCTATGTAACTCCCCAGTACTTGTTTATTGCTAGGCAACAGGAGCATCAGGGTGAAAGAAACTGCCTAGTCTGGGAATCGAACACGGGCCACAGGATTAAGAGTCCCGCACGCTGTTCACTCGGCTAGTTGACCATGTATGGTGGTGGTGCTGTTGGCCACGGGGAAAGGTAATAGCAGCCAGGCTGTCAAACTGTCTGTCTAGTACTAAAGTGTTTGGGGTAACAATGTGTGCAAGTGTTATACTTGGTCTAACTTGAGAGGCGTGATGCTGCACCTGGCTGTGTTGTGAGGGCCACACCCTGGCGTGTAACCAGCTCCCTTAGCGTGATAATCATAATCATTAATGGTTATATATTTTGTTATACAGTATATATAGTCTCCGTGGTGTAGTGGTAAGACACTCGCCTGGCGTTCCGCGAGTGCTATGTCATGGGTTCGTATCCTGGCCGGGGAGGATTTACTGGGCGTAATTCCTTGACTGTATCCTCTGTTTAACGCAACAGTAAAATGTGTACTTGGATGAAAAAACGATTCTTCGCGGCGGGGATCATATTCCAGGGACCTGCCCGAAACGCTACGGGTACTAGTGGCTCTACAAGAATGTAACAACTCTTGTATATATCTCAAAAAAAAAAAATATATATATATATATATTTTACCTTTTTATGGGTTCACATACTCTGGGAAATGAGGCGTGTTAGGCTTACCGAGGTCTCCTACACAACTACCGAGTTCTCCAGGATGCACCCTACAACAGTTCTCTTTCCCGGGTACCTATTAACTGCTAGGTGTACAGAGGCACCAGGTGCAAGGATGTTAAACCTTGTTCGAAAGTTGCAGCAATGTGTCGTAGTTTAGTCATGTGTTTGGCGGGATATCACTGTACATTATGTTCATATCCTTTTCACTACTGTGGTTGTAATAGTATACCACATAAACCCAAGCATGAATGTACTGTTATTGTACTAGCAACCAATTGTGTGGTTTTTTTATAAAGTAATTTAACATAGTACAAACACATCTGGAGGAACTAGTACAATGGTAGTACTGGTACACGTGGTGCAATGGTAAAGCACTAGCCCAGTGCTTTGTGAGCACTTTGGCCTGGGTTCATATCCTGGCTGGGGAGGATTGACTGGGTGCCAATCTTTAACCCTTTAGACAGTAGTTATCAATAGTTGATTCACAGGGTAATGCAGTTATTATATAAAGATTTAAAAAGCTGTCTGGGTTTTAAATGTATAATGCAAATATGGATATAATAGGTCAAGTGGATGCAAATAAAGAAAAACAAGTGATTGTTTAATCTGTGAACCATCGGAGAATAAATCGGGAAGTATCAGCAAAGTTGAGCACTGGGTGTTGAAAAGTGCCGAACACAGACTTAGTGCCTCCACCCAATGAAATGATAAATATTCACTTCGTGTTTTTCTTGTATTCCACATAGAAATTAATAATTCTATAATTTTTTTATGACCATTTCTTCATAGCCACTGTCTAAGGGTTAACTGTAGCTTCTGTTCACCCAGCAGTAAATGGGTACCGGATTGTTAAGAGTTAGCGGGTCATAATCGGGGAAATTAGGATCGATGACTTGCCCGAAAAGCTATGCGTGCTAGTGTCTTTACAAGAATGAATTAATTGTATATACCTGTATAAATAATACATAATAAAAATAAAATTGAGAGGAAATAATGGTGTAGAGAAAGAATTTAAATTGTATTGTCAAGTACAGTATCATTGGTTTTCATTTACTCTTTACTTTGCCTTGCAGGAACCCAGAGATAATGACCGAGGCATGATGGCCCATATTTATTTACAGGTTGTAATAGATGCAGTATATAGAGTACTGGATTGTGGTGTGGGAAATTACTCTTGTTAACTGTTGGTTTCTGTTGTTCGCTTCTATATTTTGTTTATGTAAACCACGTACAAGAATGTCTAACTATTAATTTTAAGTAAACACTTATGGTATGTCTTCAAAAATATTATCTTGTTGTTTGGAAGACAAATTCCCTCTTCTCTTTCAGGGTCGACTGGCAGGAGACTTGCACTAGGAAAAATAGTCGCCGAAGAGGATAGATGGAATAGTGGTTGATTTGGTTTGACATAGGCAGATATGGTTATAGTAATTGGAGGAGATCCCTTAATTAAATGTCCAAATTCAACAGATGAATTTTATGCCAATTATCCTTGTCTTGTTGAGAATGGATTAAGTTTTGTTAATCAGGATGTAAGACAGGTACAGCCAGAATTCTCCTTGTATGTTGCACAAGGTGAATTTGGAGTTGTACCAGGAGTGAACTCCAAGGTCAAGGTAATTGGTTCTGATGATGCCACTACTTGTCATATTGTTATCATCAGGCACCCATCTGGAACAGTTGGTGTTGCTCACTTTGATGGTAGTAAAAATGAAGAGGCAGCCATTAATGTTATGGTTGAGAAAATTGCTAACATTGAGAAAGGAGCAGAAGGTCTTCAGTTGTGTGTCGTAGGAGGATATATTCCAGAAAATGGTAGCAATGAAGCGTCCAAAAATGAATCTGAGCACCTTTCATTAAAAATTTTGGGCATGTTGATCCGTCATAAGTGTTCATTCCAGCTCTCGCTGTGGTGTACCTGCCGTCTAAACACCATGCAGGGCAGTGGTGGACCAAAGCCTATTGTGTATGGTGTGGGTGTGGAGGTACTGACTGGGTCCATATTTCCTACACACTTTAAATTACACGAACCAAATTTGCCTCTTCGATCAGCTTGTCGCTGGATTTCTGGAGACAGGAAATTGTATGATATATATGACCATCTTTCTGGAACAATAACCATAGAGCCATTTTATTATTCTGGCATGGATTGGTTTAATGTATACCTTCAGCTTCCAGATGATTTATTACTTAGAAACTTTTCAACCTCTCCTAAAGTTGAGCCTCCCGAGTTTTGCCAAGACCTTAGAAAAGTTTTTAAAGTTTTTGTGGACCACCCTGATCCACATAAAACACTCTTTCCTGGCAACAAATCTAAGAAATACAGAATGAATTCAAATGGAATGTGGGAATTAATGGAGGAACAGTATTAAGTAAATCTGGAATAATATTTACCAGAGAATTATTCAGGTACTGGGCAATAGAGGTATGATTGTGTGGGAGGTCTTCAGACAAGTTGGCCTTGTTATTGTACTTCATATTATAAGCTTAGTTCCAATAAGCTTTTTAGTAAAAATGTAACATTATCTGTGATCTTGGTTCTGTATTGTACCAACTTTGTGTTTAGTGGTATGAGAAGTGTAATTTCAGCACTTGTGTACAGTATTGATTAAATTGATTATAAGCCAATTATTATAGTAAATTGAACTGAGAATAGTATGCCTGTTAAGATAAAAAATAAAAGGATAAAATGTGCCATTAGGGCCTGACACGTTTGTCCACGCATGGTAGAGGACTAACTCCTGAATTTGCCTTCAGGCAATTGGTTGCTAGATATGATGACTGAACCTATGCTTTTATTCTTTCTTCAATGCTGTATTGAAGGTAGCTTTGACTACTATTTCTAACCCATACCACTTGCTTACTACTATCACTGAAATTCTTTGACATTTTAATAATGCGTAGTATCTAGCTCCCTTATCTTATTTTTCTGTTCTACACACACACCTTGCATGTCATTTTCATTTACGGTATGTATTCTTTGTTTTCTGAAGTGTGGTGAGGTTTAGCCATTTGGGTTTGGTTATCTTGGGGTCATCTTGAGATGATTTCGGGGCTTAAGTGTCCCCGCGGCCCGGTCCTCAACCAGGCCTCCACCCCCAGGAAGCAGCCCGTGACAGCTGACTAACACCCAGGTACCTATTTTACTGCTAGGTAACAGGGGTATAGGGTGAAAAACTCTGCCAATTGTTTCTCGCCGGCGCCCGGGATTGAACCCGGGACCACAGGATCACAAGTCCAGCGTGCTGTCCGCTTGGCCGACCGGCTCCCTACAGTACAGTACCAGTTTGTTGTACATCTGCTTTAATTTATCACATATCCCTACCAATATAAAATATAAACCTTGTGGAGTACATTCTAATTTTGAGTTTCCACTAGACTTGACAACATACTGTACTAATAATTAACTGCATTTTAATTTTCCTAAGCTTTTCTCTAAATTAATATATTGTGAACTGTTAAGTTTGCTTTAGTATATTTAATAAAAAAAAATTACAAATGTACTACTAGGTTGGCATGGTTTTTCATTCTCTTGGGATTCATTCTATCTTCTCACTCCTCAATCTGTCCTCAAATAACGTCGCTTTTCGCTCGTATGCTCGCTACTGCCAAAAATGGACGTAATTTGAAATGAAATTGGCTCACGAAAGTGACGTACTGTCCGGTCTGTTTGGAGTCCTGACAGTACGTCACTTTCGTGAGCCAATTTCATTTCAAATTATTGTACGTCCATTTTTGGCAGTAGCGAGCATACGAGCATATGTTTGGAGTCCTCTGGCTTACTCAGTTAGGTTAGGAGAGAAACTTTCAATGAAGTTTTCATAACATTTTAAACCTTAGAACTTCTTGCGCTCCTAACCTACCTATTATTTTTCTTTTTCAAATTACGTCCATTTTCAGCCATCCAGACAAACGGCCAAATTCAGACATAATTTGTAAGAGGACAGGTTGCACTCCTGTAGATATTTAAATTTCTGTATGTACATATCCCTGATGCCTTACTTGCTCACAGGAACATTCCTTGTGGAACATCCTTGAAGATATTATCACTCGCTTCCCTCCCCCCCCCCCCCCCCCCCCCTCCCAACCACCCTTTGTCATGTGCAGACGAGGAGTCACAATAATGTGACTGAAATATGTTGACCAAACCACTCCCCTAGAAAGTGAAGGGACGCCGATGTTATGGTCCGTCCTGGATCATTCACAATCGACTTGAGAATGGTCACGGATAGACCGAAACGTCGTCATCCCTTCACTTTTAAGTGTGGTTTGGTCAACACCCTTTTTCATATTGTTCCACTCTTCCATTCAAAGATGCTAGTTCTCCGCATGTCCAATTCATCCTTTTGCATCCTTTTTAAGATTCATTCTTCTAACATGTCCATACAACACTATTGTGCTGCACCCTACTCTTCACAATTCTACACTTCATTTAGTCACCCTTATCATACATGATACTTCGACCTTGTCTATATCCATCCCACATAACATCGGATGCTTTTCTGAGAACTTGTTTAAACTGTTTGTATTCTCACCTTGATTTGCTTCCTCATTTCAGGGCTTGGAGTAGTAGACTCGAGTTCTTTCTACACTATGCTTTCTCATAATTACCTTTTTATCTGTCCTTTCATAATACTGTACACCCAAATATTCCTTCTTAATCAGGCTGTTGACCTCTTATCATACTCTCATTCTTCATTATTCTCTTCTTATTCCACATCTTGTACTTTTATTTTGATCCTGGCTTTTGATCTTAAAGTTAAAATCACTCCATCTACAAATTCACAACTTCTCTCAAATACCATAACCTTAATTTTTCTATATTGACCATTTAACTTACTTTCCATACACACAGGACACTTTCAGACCCTACATTTTAATCTTTGGAGTATACAGGGTGCCAGAGTTTTGTTAGTATTATTAACGTACCATAAGTCTTGGCGATAGTTGTGATCCATATTGAGTGCTTTTGATGGTGTTTTGATCTGCTGGTCATAAATACCATTCTGTAGATGGCTGCTTGTAGGTGTAACTGTTGGCACTTTAAAATGGACCAAGTGATTATGTAATGTACAGTATTATTGATCAAATTTATGTAAGGGTACAGTACTGTGCATTACTTTGAATGATATTTTTGTAACCGAACGGTATTCATTTGCAGAAAGTTCTAGATGTTGGCAATTTTGTATTGGTTTATGGAAGTGCTCTCTAATTAAGAATGAACCTTAGAATGTGGGGAAAAAAAATCATTAAATTAGATAAAAATATTTTGGTAAATATTATTAGCTGTGTGAATTCTCGACTTCTTGATTGATGAAGATTAAGACACCCAAGAGGTGGCATGGGCATGAATAGCCCATAACTGAACTGTTTTTTTTTTTTTTTTTTTTTAGGGTGGTAGTAGTATCATCACTTTAATGCAGTATTAGGTTACTTTAGACAAGTATTATACTGGTACCTAAATGTATTAATTCTGTGCAAATGTCAAATTTCTCAATAAATAGGAAACTTGCGATTTGTATTTTTTATTGTTCCATAATGCCCCTTGTTTACATGGAATATTGTACTCCTGGTCTGTTTTCACAAGATTCGGTGAAAGTTAAGTATGCAATTTACAGTATGCTTTCACGCTTAAATTATTTTAATGAAAGTTTTATTGAATAGTTTTGATAAGTCAGCAGTTATCAGAAATTAATAATAAGCATAATCGTTATACAGTACTAGGTAAACATAGTGGAACATTGATTTTATGTGCATTGACAAAGTATTAATTTGCTTTTAATTATGTATAATGAAGTGCATTGTCTTTGCAAATTGGCTAACATCCATGAACTTTTATTTTTTTGCTCACCAGGTAGTGCTCGAGTTCAGCTACTTCATATTGACATATAATTCAAGACCGTGTGAATATTAGTCATGGATCTGTGGTTGGTGTGGTCATGCATTTTGCTGACTATGGCTGCCATAGCCTCTTGTGTGAAGGACTTCTACGAGGTGCTTGAAGTGAAAAGGGATGCAAGCGAAAAAGAAATAAAGAAAGCCTTTCGTAAGCTGGCCATTCAGTACCATCCTGATAAAAACAAGGAAAAGGGTGCAGAGGCAAAATTCAGAGAGATTGCAGAAGGTAAGTTGTTGCACTGTGATAAATTATTCTAAATAAAATATTGTATAATTTTTAGTTTCATGTTCACACTATATGCAACATGGTTTGTGGATTTGGTAAAAAAGTCATTGTGCTAATTACAATACTCTGAAAATTTCTGCTAGTCTCTTCTTCCCTCCCCTCCCCTCCTTTTTCTTTTGCCTACCTGTCATACCTTTTCATCCTTTGCTAATAATTGTAAAACTTTCCAGCTTATGAAGTTCTCTCTGATGAAGATAAACGAAGAGAGTATGATATGGTGGGTCATGCTCACTACACAAAGCAGACCGGAGGAGAACGACCCGCTGATCATACCTTCCACTTCAACTTTGACGACCTCTTTGCTGACTTTGACAACTTTCCCGGCTTTGGCGGAAGCTTTGCTAGAGACATCGTAAGTAGAGCACAAGTAGCGAGTGTGACAATGCTGTATTTGTACTGTTGTATGTCAATCATATATTTCTTTAGTCTTTGCTGTGTCTATAATGGTATCATTGCAATTACTTGCTTTACTTGCATGTTTGGATGTGGGTTCTTGTATGTCTGTAGTATAGGAAGTGGTATCTTTAGTTTATTAGTAATGTAGTAGTCATGCTCCCTCTATAAGTTGGCTGTTTGCATGTAGTATACAAAATTCATTATTTATACAGCAATGTATTGCAAAGATCTGCAAATAAAACTTTGGTGTGCTTTTTAGTACAGTTGGCTTCATTCCAGACTGTCAGGGATCCCAGGTTTGTACCCATTTACCTGCCAGTAAATAGGTACCTGGGAGTTGGGCAGCTGTTGTGGGGTTGCATCCTGGGCAGGGTCTGTAGTTTGACTTTTGAGGGCCTAAATAAAAGCCTAAAGTAATATATATAACCATAGCCATTTTATTATTGTAGCATGGATTGGTTTAATATACAGAATTGCTGTCCCTGACAATAAATTATTATATGGCATGTCATGATGGCTAGTGATGTTGGGTGCCCTTACATAGCTGACCTTTCTTGCATGGCATGTATCATTTTAGAAAATTAGTTGGCACACCTAAAATACTTGTTTATTAAAATAGTGAATGCATTAGGGTACAAAAATTAATTACTAAATATCTGGTGTAATTTGAGATGGAATTAACCACTAATCTGTAAATTAATGGACTAATGTTTGGTAAATTACCTGGACTCTTAAGTTGGGGTATTTGATGTGGATAATACAAATCCTAAAATGCTTTACTTGCCATAATTGCTTTATTTAATAACCATTACTAATATATTACTGCCATGCTAAAGTACAGCACAGTTATTATGTTCTGGTTATATTTAGAAATAATGTAGCTTGTTTCATGTAGTAAACAAAGTAAGCATTGCACTACACGCAAGTTAGTCTTGAGCTTTTAGAAAGTGTAGATACGCCAAGCTAGTCAATTATACAAATAATTACCTCATTAATTTTTAACACCTTGAAAGTTCTGTATATATAATGTACATAAATATATAGACTAGTTTATAAAAAGTTAGAAATTAGAACCCATACTCCACACATGCAGGATGATGGCTTTATGGACATGGAGGACTTCTTTGGTGGTAGTTTTGGTGGTCACCACTTTGGCTCCCATGATTCATTCTTTGGGGGTGGACACTTCCAGCATGCTGACCACATGAGGAGACATCAAGAGGCTCATCAGCGGGCGCACCAGCAGCATCGTTTTCATAATCAACAACCGCCACCACCACCACCGGACTTGAATCAAGCCAATTTTGCTCATAGTGGCGCTACTGGTGGGAGGACGTGCAGAACGGTTACACAAAGGGTTGGCAACATGGTTACTTCATACACCACGTGCAGCTAAATATTCAATTTTATTATGGTTTGAATCGGAAACCACATCACGAATATTGGAATAGTCTTACCAGTTGGTGTAACCCAGTAGTAGCTGTGGTGCAATACTATAGGGGGTGGCCTAATTTGGTCATATCACAGTATACCGTGTAATTGTATAGTTTTGGGTGATCAGTATAGTCATGCCAGGGTATTCAGCATTAGTTGGTAAAAATTTTGATTTTGGGCACTTGAAGCTAGAATTATTTTCACCGATATTGGAAATGAACACTTCCATCAAACTCATTGTTGCTGGTATTAATACATTTTAAATTGTATGTAACATAAACATTTTCATTATTAGTAGTCAGTGGATAGGTAAACATACAGGTAATGTCTGTAATGAAGCAAAGACAGTATACGAGCTTACTTCTAATAATGATTTTTTGAACAAGTCTTATTATTGTGCTGTGCAGAGGTTTCGATACAACTTAGAGATGTGCTTTACACATCAAAACTTAGTTTTCATGTGTAAAGTTGATTGTTTTTTCCACAATATTGATAATAGCATGCAAAGTACTGTATACATAGTGCTCTTGCATCAGTGTGGTTATTGTGCATTCCGCTTCATGTGAAGTGGGGAAATATAATTTATTGCCCTAGTAACTAAGAGATAATTCAACTTTTTAATAGTGGAACACACAATTTCCATTTTGTGCAATAGTTGGGCAGATACTCTGATAAATGATATAAAATGTCAGTTTGTAATAACTCTGGAACTAGTCACTAGGTTAGTTTAAGATGTAAGAAAAAACATTTCTTTTGAGATACTTGCTTTTTGAATAATATTAAACCCATGTTGGATGAAATTTCATTTTCTAATCTTTCATCGTGCTTTATATATTTATGCTTGTACATGTTTTCATTTTGTGAGTTATCATACATCATGATTATTAAAATAAATACTGTATTTTGGTTACTGTAAACAAAGTGATGGTAATGTATGGGCAACCACTTTGATGATGTAGCCTTTATTGTTACTACCTCCAAAATGCATGCTAAAGTCAGATGGAGGGTTTCTCTTGACCAAAACTGGAAATATTACTAGGAAAGTTATGACTCGGTGTGATGAATATGGTGTATAAAATTTGGTGATGGATTTGTTTGGTGTCCTGTCTGTGATATATCATCTTTGTATAGTATCCTTTGTGGAATTGAGGGTTTGAATATATGCAGAAACTTTGTATATACTGTACTGTATTGAAAATATAAAATATATTATTTTCATATAAATGTATTCCATTTGAACTTTTATTCACATACTTTTTATTTAGGCCTGTAAAATATGTACAACTTGCACTGCAAGACAAAAAAAAGTGCTGTTTACTTTATTTTCAAAAATTAACATTTACCGTAATTGAGAAGCCTTTTGAAGTTTTCCATAGCATAGTTAATGATAGCATACTGAACTCTTCTAGAAGCCAACTTTACACTTCAATTCTTATAATGGCAGCATACAACTTTCTCATTTGGTGGAGGTCTGTTGACCAAGGAGACAAATTGGCCTTTCTGGCAATCCAATTGTTCACTTTGCCATTGAATAGTTGATGGATCAGAGGTTGCTCTTGAATTTTTTTTATAAATCGAATCTGTTGCTAAAGGGTCTCAACTTTGCAGTCTTCAGTTGATCTTGCAGATTACCTACTTTATCATTTCCACAAAGTACTGTATCTGTCTATTGTGCCTCAACATTCAAATCTGTAAAAGATAATTATGTTAGTGTGTGTGCAAAATTCAATGCTTTCACTGCATCATAGTGAACAATGAGATTATTGTACTACTACTAGGCGTAGTAGTTGTTTATACTACTTCCGTCCATCCACATTTTCGAGAAGTATAAATAGTAATGTACTATAATGCAGAGAATTATAGTCCATGCCATTTGATCACTACTGCCATTTACAGATGGGGTCAAAGTTTGCTGGTGGTGTCGGGTTCTTAGTTGTTTTTGCTCGTCGTCTTTGTGCGGCTTTTTCCCCTAGATTTTATGCTTTGCAGTGGCACTGCTATTTTAGATGTTCTTTAAGGGCTTTTCATGCCCAGACGTTGCTGTATTGTGGTTATCTCGGTGCTGCCGTGACCTATCTTAGTCCTTCACATCCTGTGGAGATCAAAAGCAATCATTGGCCATTTTTTATCTTTAGCATATGCGAAAGTCGGTCAAATTTTGATAGGTTCCCAGCCATTAGTATGTTGCCTTTAATGACACTGAAAACTGCTGCTCAAGAGACCATTCATGCCTATTATTTCCCAATGGCCAATTGCTGATTTCTACCATTTTTCATTTTCATTGTAAACTCGAACCATAGCTAGTTAGGTCACATTTGAGAGTACATAATGTTGTTCATATCCCCATGGCCTTCATCCTACCACTGCAATAGGAAGGAGGAATAGTTAGAGGCTAGGTAATGGCTATGCACAATTGACAGTTGGTCACTATTGGAACACAGGCCTGCATCTGTCGGAACTACTGCTTGAATAACTAGAAACTTTAATACTGTACGCTGACAGATAATTCATCAGGGCAAGGGCTTGGTGTTACCTTTTGACAAACTAAAACGGTACAAGGCTATAACATCAGACAGTGGGAAGGGAGAAACGCCGAGAATGGCAAAAGAAGAGTAAAGTAATTGTCTAAAGAAGGCACCAAGAAAAGAAGTTAAGAAATTGACAAGAGGTTCCAGGTCTACATACCGGAACCAGATTGGTGTCAATGGGAGGCGATACCAGTAACAGACAGAATTGAAATTAATGTGTAAAAATTGAACTAAAAAGACAAATGTAACAAAAGCAGTAGGACCTTACATCATTATGATTACTGAAGGAAGCTGCAGGGATTTTTAGTAACTGTGTTCAACATTACACTAGAGACGAGAGCTACCAAAACTCTGGAAGAAAGGCAAGTATAATTACAATGTTTGAGAAAGGGTACTGACATGAAATGTTAAACTATAGATCAATTTCAGTAACGTGCATTCCATGCAAAATGCTGGAAAGTCAGGAGGATTGTAGAACATTTAGGCCAAGTAAATTTGGGGAGAGGCACAGCATAACTTCAGAAAGGGAAAATCATGCTTACAAATTTGAAAGAATTCGTTGACAGGGTCACTAAAATTTGACAAGGGAAGGAAGAATGAGTAGACGCATCTTCCCAAACTCCGAGAAAGCTTTCGATAGTTTCTCAAAAAACTAATGCACAAGATGGAGAGGAGCATCATAACTGTGATGTGCTTATTTCTGAAGCTAGACACAGATATAGTGAAATAATCAATGATGGAGTCAGAGTTTGTCTCCTGTGGATTCCTTCCCATATTGGTCTCCGAATGCATGATAGAACTGATGAGTTAGCCAAGACTTTTGCTCGTAAAGAGGGAATTGATTACTAACTTGGACTGCCTTTGAGCAGCCTGAGGGCAGCAATATTCCAGGAACATCAACTAAATTTCGGAGACTTGAGGCAAAGTGAAATTCACACCAGTTACTCCATCTATCATCTATTATGCAGGAAGACCCGCACGTCTATGGGTCATCCAATAATGTTAGCAGACTTCTAGATGTTACCACTGCTAGGCTTAGGCTCGGCTACAAGTACCTCTGGCAGTTTGTAACATCTGCTGATGTAGATTTGACTAAATGTAAACTCTGTCAGCAGAACTATTCGCATACTTTGCGTCATTATATAATGGAATGTGAACAAATTGCGGAATTTAGAGATAACACCATCAATAATGTCCAAGAAATGTGTAAGTACTTCATTCATAATGATGTGCTGCCCGAAATCTTAGCGAAGTATCCAAAATTTGCTTACTGTAGGTAATGCATGCACATGACTGTAAAGCTGCCGCCCAGTTGGGTGGGTGTGCAGCACATGACTGTAAAGCTGCCGCCCAGTTGGGTGGGTGTGGAGCACATGACTGTAAAGCTGCCGCCCAGTTGGGTGGGTGTGGAGCACATGACTGTAAAGCTGCCGCCCAGTTGGGTGGGTGTGGAGCACATGACTGTAAAGCTGCCGCCCAGTTGGGTGGGTGTGGAGCACATGACTGTAAAGCTGCCGCCCAGTTGGGTGGGTGAGGAGCACATGACTGTAAAGCTGCCGCCCAGTTGGGTGGGTGTGGAGCACATGACTGTAAAGCTGCCGCCCAGTTGGGTGGGTGAGGAGCACATGACTGTAAAGCTGCCGCCCAGTTGGGTGGGTGTGGAGCACATGACTGTAAAGCTGCCGCCCAGTTGGGTGGGTGTGGAGCACATGACTGTAAAGCTGCCGCCCAGTTGGGTGGGTGTGCAGCAAGACTAGTAACTGTGTGACTCACTATAGATGTAAAGTGCCTTGTATAGTGACTGTTGTGAGGCTCTTGTTGATCACTTGTGACACAAAGATTATTGATGTGTGTATTTGTGTGGGTGATTAGATATGTATGTGTATGTATGTATGTATACGTATATATGTATGAGAGTGTGTACATGTGTATACAACATTAATAATTTTGTAACTAGCGTCAAAAATTGTTATTTGCTTAGCTAAACGAACTAGAGGGTTCAGTTCCTGAACCGATCATGTACCTCTGTAATCCTTTACACCACCGCCCACGGGATGGGTATGGGGTACATAATAAAGAAATTGAATCATCAACTACCTCATTCAACAGTATTCCCACATGTGAAGGGACCCACATGAATCTTACTTTATACCCAGTTTTTTCTAATTTCTTAACATTCTCTCTACACTTAATCACAATATTCTGATAAACTGGACATCTGTTATTTCGACTTCCGAAGGATCAGCATTATTTTCCCCTATTTTTCATCTTTAATTTACACATTTCCAGACATTATAGCCATAAATTGAATTAATAATTAAATTATAAAAAGGACTGTATCCCCTGGGATGGGAGAGGGGGAGGCGGTCAGCTGGTCCCGCCAAGTGTAAACACTACAAGTGTCTCCAGGTGTCTCAAATGGTTTTAACCTCATAATATATACCTTGATCCAGATTCACTCAACTCAGTTGATATGTTGATGAGATGGCGGCGGATGAAAGTGTCTTTAGGAAAACAATTCGTGCTAAGGGTAAGTGATGAGTTGTGTGTGTGGGGCAGATGGGCATGCCCCAGCCACTCTACACTCGTCCTACTAACTAACTACTATTTCTAACTACTATAGTCCTACTAACTACTATTTCTATAGTTATCAATAAGTTGACACTGATTATTTCTTATTATCAATAAATTGAATCCTTCCAAGGAGACTTTCCTCTACCATAGGTGAAGGACGAATTTCGATTTATTATTGAATAATTCTTAAGTGTGTTACTACTGAAATTAGAAAAAAGTGTGTTACTATAGAAATAACTACACTCGTCACTCTACGTAACCCATCCAGCCACTGGCCACACCGAGAGCTGTGTAACCTGACTGGGGGAAGACACGTGTTGAGGGTAATACTGTAGTGTACTTGTGGGTCAGGATGTGCAACAAAATTATGCTTTTTACCCTTTACTTTATTTATGTCTTGCCAGATTTCCTTCAAGTTTCTGTTACTCCCAACTTTCTCTGCAAACTCCTGCCAATACTTGCTCCTAATTTCCTTTCTTTATTTTACTTGATTACTGTTATCTCTAGTGGCTGTGGCAGGGGTGGGGGTGGGGGTCAAGGAACTGACAGTTCGAAGAAGATTCTATTCTTTAGATTTTCAAACTATCTTGTAATCCTGTTTTGGTCTGTATGGCCTTGGCTGGGTCTAGAATTACCTAAAACTTTTTATAAAGTTTAAAAGTTTTTCTTACTCTATAACATTTATAATATTGGTAATGAAGACTATGAATAAACATTCCAGTAATTTTACTGTGAAATAAGCTCATTTTATGATGAAGTAAGACCAAAAATAGGTGTGGGGGGGTGGAGGTAAGTCAAAGGAATTTGAAAGGTGTAAAAGAAGGTGTGTTTGACTGACAGTTGGATGTCTCACTATTCCTCAGATGTATTCGAAGCTTACTTTTTGAAGCATCATCAAGATGATATTCTCAAAGTTTTGGCAGCTGAAGATGGACATTATTGTGTCGTTGTGAAGTAAGTACAGTACTGTATGTTGTCTGGAAGGGTATTCTTCTGGTCATAAAGTAAAAATAATAATCATACCAATTCAGTACAGTAATTACAAAATGCTTTTGAATTTTATTGTTTGATACTAAGTCAAAGACATTATCATGCACTTAAAAGCTTAATGTAACTGTAAATGACAAAATAAACACGTAATAAAGTGGTACGTTTTTAATATAATTTGTTTATAAACTCTTTGTTACATTTATAAACACACTCGATGATTTTGTATTATTTTTTGAGACTTCTTTGATATCTAGACCCCTGACCAGGGTTATCTAGGTTTTCTGGTAGCCATTTAAGTTATAATTCCATGGTATAATAAAATGGAACATTATACAAAATTTTAGTGGGCACTGTCATGTAATATCTCATTCTTTAATTAGTTGCATCTAATAGTAGAAATTATTTTCAGTTTTTTAACTCTGTTTGAAGAACATGTAGAGGTAGCCGAGTCCCTCTTATCTTCTCCAATGAAGCTTTTGCCAGTTTTAGACATTGGGCTCTTTCGTGCTGCCAGCAAAATCTTGGATGGAGTTGGTGAGGAGAAAGAAGGCCTGACCTTGAAAACCAATATTCATGCTAGATTAACAGGTGTAGTATTAAAAGCTAAAGGCATCATATTAATGTCTCTTCACTATTATTAGCATATGGCATCAGTATTAATTTTAATTAATTTCGTTGACCAGACCACACACTAGAAGGTGAAGGGACGACGACGTTTCATCTATCCTGGACCATTCTCAAGTCGATTGTCTTGAGAATGGTCCAGGATTGACTGAAATGTCGCCGTCTCTTTACCTTCTAGTGTGTGGTCTGGTCAACATACTTTAGCCACGTTATTGTGACTCATTGCCTGCATATAATTAATTTCCTTTATACTATAGTTTTCTTCCCATTTTCAGTGCAATGATGGTATTTAAGTTTGTTTTTATATTGTTTTTTAACCCTTTAACTGCGCGGCCTATAAATATGACACCCCGCCAGTGCGCAAGAAATAAATTCTTGAGAAAAAATTATTTTCTGTTATGAAAGTGTCAAAAACCCCTCCCTGTATATGGGTATAGCAACGGAATTTCGAAATTGTACTTAGTTTGGCTGCTATGGGGTCCGTAAGGTGGCGCGTGACGTCATCATTCCCTGTGTTCCCGTGCCGTAAGCTCCCGGGGTCAGTGAGGCGCCTGGGGCGGGGTGCGCGAGTTGCCGCAAATATATTTTTGCACATTTTTTGTGCACATTTCCAAATACAATTTATTACATTTTACGTGCTGAACCAATGTATGGTGAACACGTACACTATAGTAGAACAGAACAGCAGTAGAACATCCGTACTGTCCATAGACACTGTGTTACGTGCATGACACTTGTGTACACACATGTTGCACATATTTACTATGTATCATGCTAATTTATGTATATATATACAATCTATTTACAGACTATACACTGTCACACACTATACTGTATACATTCACCATCAACACATTCAAAACACTGCAAGTGTGAGCAGCCACACCCAGCTAGCCCTCCCTCACTCCTCCAACATTGTATTCGCCAACATTGCTCCTCCCATCATACAGTTATTCACACCAATGTTTCATGTTCATTTATGTATATTTACAACATATGTACACACTATACACTGTCACACACTATACACATTCGCCATCAACACATTCAGAGCATTGCGAGAGTGAGCAGCCACACCCAGACAGGCCCCTCCCTCACTCCAACATCTTACTTGCCAACATTGCTCCTCCCACCATACTGTTATTGTTTTTATTACACTATTTACACATGTTATATATACCTATCTACATGTTTTATTTACCAGAACTATGCAAGTAAGCCAGTATTGTGTCCAAACAGTACAGTGGCCACCATACACTGCATGAGAAATCACACAGCAGACAACAGACGACGCTACGATTACGACGTCACCTCCCTCACCAAAATAGCTCCACTCAACATACTCCTGTTGCTGTTATTACACTATATACACACACACACTGTATATACCCATGTACATGTGTGTTCCCTATAGCGAACTACGAAGCTAGTTTGGTGAGCAAAAAAAAGTGGTTGCCACACAGTGAGGCTACCTCAATTCTCTTCCTTCCTCCCTCCCTCACCAAAATTTCCCCTTCGACAATACTACGCACAATGCTAATTATAACCACAATCCTGGTCACTAATTCCTGTAAATGAATAATTGACCACAAGTTTATTTTGAAAAGGAATCTAAGAAGTCGTTTGAAGATTCCTAGATGGACGAAATAATGCTGTGGTGCTGTGGCTAGTTCTGTGAACATCGTGAACAGCATTGAATCACTGATATTTGAACATTGTACCCAGTCATTATCACACTCAGGCTCTTCTATAATACTATCATGGCTAAATAATACCGGTTATATATATATTTTAACATTATTAGGCGATGCTGTGGTCACACGCTGAACAGCAGTGCTGTGCGCTCATACTGCGAGCGCCAGCCTTGGTTGTTCACTCACTACTGAGGCTCTCACACCCAGGAATGTGAACCATGATTTTTTTTAAAGATGGTGTCTATTTACAAGAGCCCTGAGGAAGCTGATGTGAACCCCATGTAGTTGCGGGAGTTTTGAATGGAACGTGAAAAATACAAATACCCGGAGGCGCATAGCGCAACCTAGGCGTGGGCCTGCAGGCTCGTTGTGCAGTTAAAGGGTTAAATAATTACAATTTGTGCAGAATATGTAATATATACAGTACAGTACTAGTACTCTATAGGTAATTCATCACATTCTCCGTGCATAGAAATTGTTCTGAATTTAAAGTAAACATATCCAATTGAAAGCTCATTTAGCTGGACTGTAAATTTTCCATGGCATTCAAAATAATGTTGAACTAAGAAATGGGACATCACTGCAGTTCTGTACAGGTATTTGCTTAAACATACTGTTTTAGCAAGTTACTGTACAGAATTTTAAATAAAAACATGACTATTATGTATTAAAAACGTGTACAGTATCTGTGTTAGCATTCTTTGATTTGTGTCCAATTTTACTGCAAAGTAGTACTATGTAATTTCTCTTCTAGGGCTACCAACATGTCCAGAGTTGTATCGTCATGCAGTGCCTCGTACATGTGATGTGGGCAGACTCCTGTGTGTTTCTGGAACGGTTGTTCGCACCACAGCAGCCAAGATGCTTGAATACCAAAAAGAATTTATATGTGCTAAATGTAAACATGTCTTTAATGTCAAGGTATGTACCAAAATAGCCCATTCTCATGTTAGTACTGGCTTCATTCTTTACTCAAAAGCAAGGAAGAAAAGGTTTGGTTCCCGGGTGGGACAGAAATGTTGGGGATGTCCTTGATATCCGGATCTGTTTTGGCCCTCATGCATTCATTGTGCTAACTTTAGTCAACATTCATCATCATCAGTAGCTCATTTTTCCTTCCATTTAGTGGGAAGGAATTTAGCTGAAAAATATAGTATAGCAGCTTATTTGTTTATGATTAGTGATAAATTTGGATTATGCCTTATTTCTGTTTTTCTATTTGTTTTTAGGCAGATCATGACCAATATTACCACATGAATAAGCCAAGTCAGTGCCCCAATCCAGAAGCATGTTATTCTAATAATTTCAATCCTCTTGGAGAGTCCTCACATCCTATGCATACCAAAGACTACCAAGAAATCAAAATACAGGTAAACCCATCTTTAATTTTGAAGCTATTTATTGCTTGAAATATTTCTAATGCTTTAACAAGGGGTAATTTTTACTGTTTTTGTGAAGATATTATAACTCACTTTAGTTACACAGTAAAACCTCAGCTATCTGAACCTATTGGTATTTCTGGGAGTCTGTAAAATTTAAACTCTTAGATAATATAGGGATAAGATCATAAGATATTTTTCTTAAAAAACATAATTAATTTTGTATTGATTTTAATAGACGTGTGCCAAAAACAATTGTAATGGTGTTGTACTAGAAATGCACTAATTATGTAGTAAGCCAATGGCATTATTGTTATTTGATGCAAATATGTGTCCATTGCTAAACACTGAGATGTTATTCATAATGGGGGATGGACCCCCATTAACAGGAATGCTCAGGTTAATAGTGATGCTCTTTAAGTAGTTTTTCATATTCACCAGGGGATGATTTTTTTTTTTTTTACAATTTAACTTCAATGCTCCCTAATGCAAGTATAATGCAGCAGGAGCCAACAGAAGTACATAGAACATAAATGGGTGAAAAAGTAACTGTAGTGGTGAGTGGAGTTGCCAGAGCTTGGGGCCAGGCAGTAAACAGAGTCACCAAGAAGCTGCCCAAGACATCCCGTGTAGCACCAGAGGAGTAGAAGCATAGAGGAGAACCATACTAGTATAACACACTGACACTAATAACAGGAAAATCTTTGTAGGGAAGCAGTGAATATATGATCGGACCTCCACAAGTCCAGTGTGTGTGTGTGTGTGTGTTAGAACAGGACATCATTGTGAAGAATGCTGAAATAGTGGTGAACTGTTCAAGTGCACAAGTCTCAGCCCAAACCTGCAGTTGGTTCAACTTGACCACTTTGCAAAGCAGCTGAAAGAGATGGACATTGTTAGGACACCGTGGTGTGAGGAAAAGGAAGAGAAACAGCTGGAGTCTGCCTTATTTTTTCTTATAGTTATTTGGACTTTGTGTAAGCATATATTAGCATTGTGAGTTTTTAACCACACCAAACAAATGATCCACCAAGCAAAAACCAAAAATATATTCTCTGCAGCAGCATACATTATGATAATCATTTATTGCAGAAAATAAGAAGGTAGTGGAATATCAGTATACTGACTGTACAGTAATATTGTGAGATGGGGAGAGCAAACACCCCAGGTTACTGACACTGGGTGATGGGGTGAACAAACACCCCAGGTTACTAACACAGGGTGCTGGGGTGAGCAAACACCCCAGGTTACTGACACTGGGTGCTGGGGTGAACAAACACCCCAGGTTACTGACACAGGGTGATGGGGTGAACAAACACCCCAGGTTACTGACACTGGGTGATGGGGTGAACAAACACCCCAGGTTACTGACACAGGGTGATGGGGTGAACAAACACCCCAGGTTACTGACACTGGGTGCTGGGGTGAACAAACACCCCAGGTTACTGACACTGGGTGCTGGGGTGAACAAACACCCCAGGTTACTGACACTGGGTGCTGAGGTGAGCAAACACCCCAGGTTACTGACACTGGGTGCTGGGGTGAGCAAACACCCCAGGTTACTGACACTGGGTGCTGAGGTGAGCAAACACCCCAGGTTACTGACACTGGGTGCTGGGGTGAGCAAACACCCCAGGTTACTGACACTGGGTGCTGGGGTGAGCAAACACCCCAGGTTACTGACACTGGGTGCTGGGGTGAGCAAACACCCCAGGTTACTGACACAGGGTGATGGGGTGAACAAACACCCCAGGTTACTGACACTGGGTGATGGGGTGAACAAACACCCCAGGTTACTGACACAGGGTGATGGGGTGAACAAACACCCCAGGTTACTGACACTGGGTGCTGGGGTGAGCAAACACCCCAGGTTACTGACACTGGGTGCTGGGGTGAGCAAACACCCCAGGTTACTGACACTGGGTGCTGAGGTGAGCAAACACCCCAGGTTACTGACACTGGGTGCTGGGATGAGCAAACACCCCGGGTTACTAACACAGGGTGCTGGGGTGAGCAAACACCCCAGGTTACTGACACTGGGTGCTGGGATGAGCAAACACCCCGGGTTACTAACACAGGGTGCTGGGGTGAGCAAACACCCCAGGTTACTGACACTGGGTGCTGGGGTGAGCAAACACCCCAGGTTACTGACACTGGGTGCTGGGGTGAGCAAACACCCCAGGTTACTGACACTGGGTGCTGGGGTGAGCAAACACCCCAGGTTACTGACACTGGGTGCTGGGGTGAGCAAACACCCCAGGTTACTGACACTGGGTGCTGGGGTGAGCAAACACCCCAGGTTACTGACACTGGGTGCTGGGGTGAGCAAACACCCCAGGTTACTGACACTGGGTGCTGGGGTGAGCAAACACCCCAGGTTACTGACACTGGGTGCTGGGGTGAGCAAACACCCCAGGTTACTGACACTGGGTGCTGGGGTGAGCAAACACCCCAGGTTACTGACACTGGGTGCTGGGGTGAGCAAACACCCCAGGTTACTGACACTGGGTGCTGGGGTGAGCAAACACCCCAGGTTACTGACACTGGGTGCTGGGGTGAGCAAACACCCCAGGTTACTGACACTGGGTGCTGGGGTGAGCAAACACCCCAGGTTACTGACACTGGGTGCTGGGGTGAGCAAACACCCCAGGTTACTGACACTGGGTGCTGGGGTGAGCAAACACCCCGGGTTACTAACACAGGGTGCTGGGGTGAGCAAACACCCCAGGTTACTGACACTGGGTGCTGGGGTGAGCAAACACCCCAGGTTACTGACACTGGGTGCTGGGGTGAGCAAACACCCCAGGTTACTGACACTGGGTGCTGGGGTGAGCAAACACCCCAGGTTACTGACACTGGGTGCTGGGGTGAGCAAACACCCCAGGTTACTGACACTGGGTGCTGGGGTGAGCAAACACCCCAGGTTACTGACACTGGGTGCTGGGGTGAGCAAACACCCCAGGTTACTGACACTGGGTGCTGGGGTGAGCAAACACCCCGGGTTACTGACACTGGGTGCTGGGGTGAGCAAACACCCCGGGTTACTGACACTGGGTGCTGGGGTGAGCAAACACCCCAGGTTACTGACACTGGGTGCTGGGGTGAGCAAACACCCCGGGTTACTGACACTGGGTGCTGGGGTGAGCAAACACCCCAGGTTACTGACACTGGGTGCTGGGGTGAGCAAACACCCCAGGTTACTGACACTGGGTGCTGGGGTGAGCAAACACCCCGGGTTACTGACACTGGGTGCTGGGGTGAGCAAACACCCCAGGTTACTGACACTGGGTGCTGGGGTGAGCAAACACCCCAGGTTACTGACACTGGGTGCTGGGGTGAGCAAACACCCCGGGTTACTGACACTGGGTGCTGGGGTGAGCAAACACCCCGGGTTACTGACACTGGGTGCTGGGGTGAGCAAACACCCCAGGTTACTGACACTGGGTGCTGGGGTGAGCAAACACCCCGGGTTACTGACACTGGGTGCTGGGGTGAGCAAACACCCCAGGTTACTGACACTGGGTGCTGGGGTGAGCAAACACCCCAGGTTACTGACACTGGGTGCTGGGGTGAGCAAACACCCCGGGTTACTAACACAGGGTGCTGGGGTGAGCAAACACCCCAGGTTACTGACACTGGGTGCTGGGGTGAGCAAACACCCCGGGTTACTAACACAGGGTGCTGGGGTGAGCAAACACCCCAGGTTACTGACACTGGGTGCTGGGGTGAGCAAACACCTTGGGTTACTAACACAGGGTGCTGGGGTGAGCAAACACCCCAGGTTACTGACACTGGGTGCTGGGGTGAGCAAACACCCCAGGTTACTGACACTGGGTGCTGGGGTGAGCAAACACCCCAGGTTACTGACACTGGGTGCTGGGGTGAGCAAACACCCCAGGTTACTAACACAGGGTGCTGGGGTGAGCAAACACCTTGGGTTACTAACACAGGGTGCTGGGGTGAGCAAACACCCCAGGTTACTGACACTGGGTGCTGGGGTGAGCAAACACCCCAGGTTACTAACACAGGGTGCTGGGGTGAGCAAACACCCCAGGTTACTGACACTGGGTGCTGGGGTGAGCAAACACCCCAGGTTACTAACACAGGGTGCTGGGGTGAGCAAACACCCCAGGTTACTAACACAGGGTGCTGGGGTGAGCAAACACCCCAGGTTACTGACACTGGGTGCTGGGGTGAGCAAACACCCCAGGTTACTAACACAGGGTGCTGGGGTGAGCAAACACCCCGGGTTACTGACACTGGGTGCTGGGGTGAGCAAACACCCCAGGTTACTGACACTGGGTGCTGGGGTGAGCAAACACCCCAGGTTACTAACACAGGGTGCTGGGGTGAGCAAACACCCCAGGTTACTGACACTGGGTGCTGGGGTGAGCAAACACCCCAGGTTACTAACACAGGGTGCTGGGGTGAGCAAACACCCCAGGTTACTGACACAGGGTGCTGGGGTGAGCAAACACCCCAGGTTACTGACACTGGGTGCTGGGGTGAGCAAACACCCCAGGTTACTGACACTGGGTGCTGGGGTGAACAAACACCCCGGGTTACTAACACTGGGTGCTGGGGTGAGCAAACACCCCAGGTTACTGACACAGGGTGCTGGGGTGAGCAAACACCCCAGGTTACTGACACTGGGTGCTGGGGTGAGCAAACACCCCGGGTTACTAACACAGGGTGCTGGGGTGAGCAAACACCCCAGGTTACTGACACACGGGGTGCTGGGGTGAGCAAACACCCCAGGTTACTGACACTGGGTGCTGGGGTGAACAAACACCCCAGGTTACTGACACTGGGTGCTGGGGTGAGCAAACACCCCAGGTTACTGACACTGGGTGCTGGGGTGAGCAAACACCCCGGGTTACTAACACTGGGTGCTGGGGTGAGCAAACACCCCAGGTTACTGACACAGGGTGCTGGGGTGAGCAAACACCCCAGGTTACTGACACTGGGTGCTGGGGTGAGCAAACACCCCGGGTTACTAACACTGGGTGCTGGGGTGAGCAAACACCCCAGGTTACTGACACAGGGTGCTGGGGTGAGCAAACACCCCAGGTTACTGACACTGGGTGCTGGAGTGAGCAAACACCCCGGGTTACTAACACAGGGTGCTGGGGTGAGCAAACACCCCAGGTTACTGACACTGGGTGCTGGGGTGAGCAAACACCCCAGGTTACTGACACTGGGTGCTGGGGTGAGCAAACACCCCAGGTTACTGACACTGGGTGCTGGGGTGAGCAAACACCCCAGGTTACTGACACTGGGTGCTGGGGTGAGCAAACACCCCGGGTTACTAACACAGGGTGCTGGGGTGAGCAAACACCCCAGGTTACTGACACTGGGTGCTGGGGTGAGCAAACACCCCAGGTTACTGACACTGGGTGCTGGGGTGAGCAAACACCCCAGGTTACTGACACTGGGTGCTGGGGTGAGCAAACACCCCAGGTTACTGACACTGGGTGCTGGGGTGAGCAAACACCCCAGGTTACTGACACTGGGTGCTGGGGTGAGCAAACACCCCAGGTTACTGACACTGGGTGCTGGGGTGAGCAAACACCCCAGGTTACTGACACTGGGTGCTGGGGTGAGCAAACACCCCGGGTTACTGACACTGGGTGCTGGGGTGAGCAAACACCCCGGGTTACTGACACTGGGTGCTGGGGTGAGCAAACACCCCAGGTTACTGACACTGGGTGCTGGGGTGAGCAAACACCCCGGGTTACTGACACTGGGTGCTGGGGTGAGCAAACACCCCAGGTTACTGACACTGGGTGCTGGGGTGAGCAAACACCCCAGGTTACTGACACTGGGTGCTGGGGTGAGCAAACACCCCGGGTTACTGACACTGGGTGCTGGGGTGAGCAAACACCCCAGGTTACTGACACTGGGTGCTGGGGTGAGCAAACACCCCAGGTTACTGACACTGGGTGCTGGGGTGAGCAAACACCCCGGGTTACTGACACTGGGTGCTGGGGTGAGCAAACACCCCGGGTTACTGACACTGGGTGCTGGGGTGAGCAAACACCCCAGGTTACTGACACTGGGTGCTGGGGTGAGCAAACACCCCGGGTTACTGACACTGGGTGCTGGGGTGAGCAAACACCCCAGGTTACTGACACTGGGTGCTGGGGTGAGCAAACACCCCAGGTTACTGACACTGGGTGCTGGGGTGAGCAAACACCCCGGGTTACTAACACAGGGTGCTGGGGTGAGCAAACACCCCAGGTTACTGACACTGGGTGCTGGGGTGAGCAAACACCCCGGGTTACTAACACAGGGTGCTGGGGTGAGCAAACACCCCAGGTTACTGACACTGGGTGCTGGGGTGAGCAAACACCTTGGGTTACTAACACAGGGTGCTGGGGTGAGCAAACACCCCAGGTTACTGACACTGGGTGCTGGGGTGAGCAAACACCCCAGGTTACTGACACTGGGTGCTGGGGTGAGCAAACACCCCAGGTTACTGACACTGGGTGCTGGGGTGAGCAAACACCCCAGGTTACTAACACAGGGTGCTGGGGTGAGCAAACACCTTGGGTTACTAACACAGGGTGCTGGGGTGAGCAAACACCCCAGGTTACTGACACTGGGTGCTGGGGTGAGCAAACACCCCAGGTTACTAACACAGGGTGCTGGGGTGAGCAAACACCCCAGGTTACTGACACTGGGTGCTGGGGTGAGCAAACACCCCAGGTTACTAACACAGGGTGCTGGGGTGAGCAAACACCCCAGGTTACTAACACAGGGTGCTGGGGTGAGCAAACACCCCAGGTTACTGACACTGGGTGCTGGGGTGAGCAAACACCCCAGGTTACTAACACAGGGTGCTGGGGTGAGCAAACACCCCGGGTTACTGACACTGGGTGCTGGGGTGAGCAAACACCCCAGGTTACTGACACTGGGTGCTGGGGTGAGCAAACACCCCAGGTTACTAACACAGGGTGCTGGGGTGAGCAAACACCCCAGGTTACTGACACTGGGTGCTGGAGTGAGCAAACACCCCGGGTTACTGACACTGGGTGCTGGGGTGAGCAAACACCCCAGGTTACTGACACTGGGTGCTGGAGTGAGCAAACACCCCGGGTTACTAACACAGGGTGCTGGGGTGAGCAAACACCCCAGGTTACTGACACTGGGTGCTGGAGTGAGCAAACACCCCGGGTTACTAACACAGGGTGCTGGGGTGAGCAAACACCCCAGGTTACAAACAAAGTTTGGACACTAAGGTTAAAATTCAAATTCAATTTTTGTTGTCTTTGGCAAGAAGAAAGTTTTGGGTCAGTCTGAAATAATGAATACACTTCAATGTTGCCTGAATTATCATGTATTCATTTCACATTGTGTATTTATACTAACTATTAAGTCACATTACTGCACCTCACTCATATTTTATGCCCTGTAAGATTGTTTTAACATTGATACTTGTTTTGAAATTTAATAGAATTATGGTTTAGTGACATGCATTTAAATTTGTTCTGCACATGAAGTGTAACGTAGTTGATATTTTTGTTTTTTTAAGGAACAAGTGCAGAAATTAGTAGTTGGAACTATCCCTAGATCACTTTGGGTGACACTTGAAGACGATCTTGTTGATTCGTGTAAACCTGGAGATGATATTTTAATCTGGTGAGTACAAGTGATGCATATTTTCATCTAGTATGCAAAAGTAACATTTATATTTCTGTCAGGTGAGAATAAGGATCATTCTCTTCTTGTGGGAGTCTTTCTTCACTGGGAACATTGATGGTGAACCCGAAGAGAATGAATCTTGCAATCACCTGTTTATTCAATATCTTGTGAAAGTGAGCACGAAGTAGGCTAAGGATGGCTGTCTATGACTAAGGAGAAACCTGGGAAAGGAGGAAATATTTGACCAAGTTCAGGCTGGACTCTGTCTGTAAGGTCCAGGAATCCCTGGCCAGCCAAAACTCGTGCAGGCATCACCCACCACTGTTGGTGTGCCTTACCATAATTAGATCTGCTGAAACCTCGGCAAGCAGATGGACTCGGAAAGACAAGCTCCTGCAGAACTCTTTGAATCTTGAGGGCTTGACTCAACCTTGTTTGAACCAGGTGAGCTAAATCTGCTTCTAAAAAGAAGTTAATCCTGCATTGCACCACTGCAGCTGAGAATTGAGCTCACCAGTTCTGATATTTAAGCATACGAGACAATGCTTGGCAGCTGTTACATAAGCAGTTTTCCAAGATGATGGTTCGTGCAGGGTTGAAGTGAGCACTTGACAGACTGAACACATCTTTTGGTGGTAGTGACCCTGAACCCAAGAGGGCAAATGCTAAGAGGTAGGAGGTGGTGGCTGTTGTCATAAAACCTGTGTTTTGCCCGTCCTATAGACATCATCATGGTGATTAGAGTCAGGTGACAAGCAACCAGTTTTAACCAACAACATGTTACCAGATTCTCAACCCAGCATGACTGGTAAAGAAGAGACCTGTTGGGTCAAGACAAGAGTTACTGACTGATGGAAACTAAACTTTGTCTAATTCTAAGACAAGGAAGGGTCAGGGTAGCCCCTGACTGAAACAAACACAAAACCAAATATAACCATGAAGTAAGTTAAGGTCCGACCTATAGGTAAACAAAAAACTTCTGAACTTAGAGCCAAGTGTCCCAGAAATAGTACTTTCTGGCACACTACTTACACGCAGTACTAAGGCAGTACTTACACGCCCTGTAAGTACTGCCCTTGGGGCTTGGGGCCTCCTTCCACAAATGCCTATTCTTGGAGCAATGCAACAAGGAGCCATGGATGTAAGAACCTACTGCTGAAGCACAGAGGAGATTTTAGATCACTAGCTAAACAAGGCACATGACACAGAAGATTTATCATACACACAAGCAGCATTATATACAACATAAGTCCTCTGCATAGCAAAACCTAAGTTTCTAAGGAAGAACAAAAAAACACTTGAATAAATCCACTCTTGAACCTGCTGAACCATGATGGGAGCGAGTCAAGAAGATGTAATATGGCTTGAGACAAGGGACTTGAGGTTAGTGTGGAATGGCTTGGATAAGCATCATAAAATATATATATACAGTATATATATATTATAAGTTTAAAATCTGAAATATTATGTTACCAGTGGTGTTAGTGGTACATTAAGAGATCAAATATAATAAGGCTTCTTTTGATTTGCAAACACCATGAAGATTTGCATTCTAATAATGTGAAAACCCTTTGCCAAATGTAATGGGTTGTGTACTTAATTTATATTTGATTTATTTTCATGTCATTGAAAGTTTTAGAGTAATATTTTGTTGTTTTTCCTGTGGGTGTGTAGTGGGACTGTCCACAGGCGGTGGCATCCAGTTGTGAGAGACTCCCGGCCCAATATAGATCTGGTACTGAAAGCTAACAACATAACAGTAAGTACTGGATATAGCCATTCTTAAGGGAATTGTTCCAGCTAAGTGATTTGAAGCAAAATATGGTTATCTTGAGGTTATCTTGAGATGGTTTCGGGGCTTTTTTTTTAGTGTCCCCGCGGCCTGGTCCTCGACTAGGCCTCCACCCCCAGGAAGCAGCCCCTGACAGCTGACTAACACCCAGGTACCTATTTTACTGCTAGGTAACAGGGGCATAGGGTGAAAGAAACTCTGCCCATTGTTTCTCGCCGGCGCCTGGGATCGAACCCGGGACCACAGGATCACAAGTCCAGCGTGCTGTCCGCTCGGCCGACCGGCTCCCCAGTACATATTTGGGTACGGGATATTTGGGATATTTTACATATGGTAGGTACATATTTTAAATATATCATTGAAATGGTACTCTCTATCTTGAAATAAGGAATCACATGAACAGAAATATGATGTAATGGTTATAACATGGGTTGGTATTGAGTTTTATTATCAAACTAATAAGATGTCATTACATGTGGGCATGAGATAAATAGTTTTGCTGTACCTGAAATATATATGTAGAACATCTGTTCTCCAATTTGTACAGCATTATGAATAATGTGTTGAGATAAAGAAAAAGGTATACCAGAAAAAAGGATGTGTTCATAAGCATGTTGAAGTAACATCAAACCTTGTCTTATAATACAATGGGGCCTCGACTTACGATGCTAATCCGTTCCCAGAGACAGATCGTAAGTCGAAATATCGTAAGTCGAAGCGATTTTTCCCATAAGAAATAAAGGGAATTGAATTAATCCGTTCCCCACCCTCCAAAATATTAACTTACAAATACATTTTATACTGAATACAATTATTTTTTCTAACTACAATACAGTACATACATGTATCTTACCTTTATGGAGGACCCTTAATGGGTTATGGAAGATGGTGATGAGGGGGGGGGAGGTGGAGAGGGGTTACTGTTTAGAAAGGGGAGTCAACTTCCATTATCACATCAGGCAGAGATGTTTCCTCTGGGGTACACTCTCTCCTACGTTTTGTCTGCATACCACTAGGACCTGGTTGTGGTTCACTGCTTGTTTGTCTCATTAAAAATTTGTCAAGAGACACTTGTTTTTCCCTTTGTTTTAACATTTGTCTATAGTGATGCATCACAGTGTCATTGAATAGGTGAAGGCAACGGCCTACTACAACTTTCTCTGGGTGAGTTGTTTCATTAAAAGTTTGCATTTCTTCCCGTAGTCTATACTATAGTCTTCACTACATACATAGTCATCCAAATTAATAACAACTGTTCAACTTCCTCAAGTGTTTGTGTTCTATGTTTCGTGATTATTGATACGCCTCTTGCTACTTTAGTACTCATAATGTCCTTTTTCTTAGCCAGTATGGTGGATACCGTTGACTGAGATTTGTTGTACTGCCTAGCTAGTTGAACAACCTACACACCATCTTCATATTTACGAATTTCTTGTTTTTGCTCTATGGTGATTCATACATGGGTTTTCATATGTTGAACCTTACCACTGACTTTCTTGGGACCCATGGTGTGATATATAATAGTTACTTTTATGTTCAAAAAGCAAAAAATCACCACAAAAATGGAATTTCTTATAGGCGTAATCGTCACTAAGCGGGCAGCTGTAGTAAACTGAGGCAGGTTGGCCCACATGACCGGGAACCACGCTCTCGGTCGACCCGAACGTGTACCAACAAATATCGTTACTCGACGACACCATTGTATGTCGAGTCGCATTTTTTTATCAAATTTACATCGTAACTCGAAATTATCGTAAGTTGGGGCAATCGTAAGTCGAGGTGCCACCGTATATTAATTTTCTTTAGCTATAGGTTTTAGTTTGAATGTAGAGTACAACCATTTTTGTGTTGAGAAGCAGCAAGACAGGTGCCGTCTCTCCTTGTATAGACTCGTTTCCTGATGGTATTTCACAGTTTAAACACATCACGATTTATGTAGTCTTCCTTTCTTCCTTGATTTGAGAATTACAATTATAGTAGCTCATATAGAAGTTTTACTGAATATAGATGCCATTGATCAGCACAGTCAGGTCACAACTAAAAGACACAACTCCAATTCCCTGGACTGGGCAGAGTCCTTTGGGTATTGTTTTATTTCACTTAATACCTGTTTCCAGGTATTTTCTGGGAGGAGCCCCGTCGGTTCCTGGAGCTATCCAGGCTGATATACTAATATTAGACTTTTGGCATCAGTCAGTGTGAATGGAGTTCTTAGGCCTATTAGGGACCACGAGCCAGAACCTGGGCCCCTTCAGAGAGGCATGAGGAGCAATGGCCTATAGAAACCCCCATGTGGTTGGAAGCATTCTATGTCTGCTATCAACCGGGTCAGGCACCCAGAAAGGTAAGCATCCCAAAACAAACCCCTATTCTGGTTAACCCTTAAACTGCGCATGGCGTATATATACGCCCTGAGTAACATGTCCCATGGTGCGCATGGCGTATATATACGCCATAGGGTACCAGGCCTGATTCAAATGGCCCACGGCTACACGGGGTTCACAGTAGCTTCCTCAGAGCTCTTGTAAACAGATGCCATTTTAAAAAAAAATCGTGGGCAATATTCTCAGGTGTGAAAGGCACAGTACTGTTGGAGCAACCAAGGCCGGCGCACGCAGCATGAGCGAACAGCATTGATGTTCAGCTAGTGACCACAGCATCGCCGAAAAATGTCAAAATAAATATATAATTGTTATTATTTAGCGACGACAATATTACAGATGACCAATGACTGTGATATAAATAACCAGGGTTGTGATAATAGCAGGATTGTTGTAATAATTAGCACTGTGGTGGAGTGATGCTGAGAGACGGAGGGAGACAGCATCGTTTACTGACTGTGTGGCCACCTGTTATTGTTTGCATTCACCATACCAGGTCAGTGGTTCTCTATGGTGAACACAAATGTAGATACTTATATATAATGTGTGTATTAGTGTAATAACAGCAAAAGGATTATGCTGGGAGGAGCCATATGGGTGACGGAGGTGACGTCGTCTGCACGATTTGTCTAGCTGTTTAGAGGGTGGCCACTATGCTCTTTGGGCGCACTACAAGCTTAGGTGTACAGTTACGGTGCATAAAACAGTGCGGTGCTTACCTACCAATCATATTATCACAATCACTTGCATGCCATCTTATAATCACCATATATCCACAATGCCAACTACCAGTATAAGACGTTCACATATGTCCATACACAAACTCGGTAACAATAAACCACTACCACTGCATCCACCTAACTGCCACACTAACGTCAACCTTATACCTACACCAACCACAACACCCCACCACACCCCCACCACACCCCCACCACACCCCCACCACACCCCCACCACACCCCCACCACACCCCCACCACACCTGTAATAGGCATCACATTATTCTTCCAGACACTATAAGTCTTATTTTTGCACCCTTTGTCTCTATACTGTAATACTAATTAACAATTGTTGAACATTCTTCATGTAACACAGCATTTGTTGTGGATCAAAGTAGCAACTCCTTAACTTGTTTGGTAGCAAACCAATTTGGGGGTTTCTTCACAACTTATCTCCAGACTGATATCAGACCTTCAATAATAAAGATACACAGAAATATAAGGATAGTTAATATATAAATACAGTACAATAAAAAATTGTGTGTTCAAGAAAAAACTTATTATTATTTTTTATAGTACATAATAACCACTTTAGAAAATTTAAATTGTCTCTAAGCTTTAATATTTTAATTTGCATGTTTGTATATCAGGTTCGTAACAAGCAACGATCAGGCACAATAATTACAGATGAGATGCGTGAGGAATTCACCAAGTTTTGGGAGCAGTACAAATATGATCCTCTAACAGGAAGAAACATTTTATTAGCTTCATTCTGTCCTCAGGTAATTAAGCTTTAATCTTTTGTGCATATTGTTGTTAAATGGGACCACAGTTGTAGCTATCTCTTCACATTGTCCCTGTGTACCCATTAGTAATTAAGTATCTCAGAGTATAACTTTTGATGGACAGTAGGGAAAATATGCCGCTAAACTAGATAACCGGGTACACTACGTTGCCAGAAGCGTAAATAAAATTTCAACTAATTTCAACTATTTCAAGGTAGGAGAGCATTGTAGCTAAGGAAAGTGCACATCTTGTAATCTTATCTCATGTAATAGGTGTATGGACTGTATGTGGTGAAGTTAGCAGTCACAGTGGTGGTTGCGGGTGGTGTGCAGAAAACTGATACAAGTTGTACCCGAATTCGAGGAGAGTCACATCTTCTCCTCGTAGGAGATCCAGGTAAATTGACAAATAAAAAAATGCCAAGTACTGTAAATACAAAATTTAACAAAACTATCACACGTGAGACAGAGTAAACTTTACATTAGAGGGAGATTATAGTTTGATGACTTCCATAACTGAGGTTAGAGAAGCACTTTGATATATATGAAGAGCCTGGTTTGATTTTTTTTTTAAATGGTTGTGGTGCATATAATTTAGGTTACCTTGAGGTGCTTCCGGGGCTTAGCGTCCCCGCGGCCCGGTCGTCGACCAGGCCTCCTGGTTGCTGGACTGATCAACCAGGCTGTTGGACGCGGCTGCTCGCAGCCTGACGTATGAGTTACAGCCTGGTTGATCAGGCATGCTTTGGAGGTGCTTATCCAGTTCTCTCTTGAACACTGCGAGGGGTCGGCCAGTTATGTCCCTTATGTGTAGTGGAAGCGTGTTGAACAGTCTCGGGCCTCTGATGTTGATAGAGTTCTCCTCAGAGTACCTGTTGCACCTCTGCTTTTCAACGGGGGTATTCTGCACATCCTGCCATGTCTTCTGGTCTCATGTGATGTTATTTCTGTGATATTTCTTAGCTAATGAATATTCATTCATGTCGTGATCTCTTGGATTGTTGTATTTGTTTTGCATTTCCTTTAGCTTTGTTGGCTTGGTGTAAGTTAAACATTTGCAATATGTGTGTGTAGTAATCACCTAAGTGTAATTACCTAAGTGTAGTTACAAGATGAGAACTAAGCTTGTGGTGTCCCGTCTTCCCAGCACTCTTTGTCATATAACGCTTTGAAATTACTGACGGTCTTGGCCTCCACCACCTTCTCACCTAACTTGTTCCAACCGTCTACCACTCTGTTTGCGAAAGTGAATTTTCTTATATAATTTTCTTTCTTTCTTTCTAATTTTCTTATATATTTCTCTGGCAGCTTTGTTTCGTTAGTTTAAATCTATGACCTCTTGTTCTTGAAGTTCCAGGTCTCGGGAATTCTTCCCTATCAATTTTATCGATTTCTGGTACTATTTTGTACGTAGTGATCATATCGCCTCTTTCGTCTATCTTATAGTTTTTGCATATTTAATGCTATAACCTCTCCTTGTAGCTCTTGTCCTTCAGTTCTGGGAGCCACTTAGTGGCATGTCGTTGCACCTTTTCCAGTTTGTTGATGTGCTCCTTAAGATATGGGCACCACACAACCACTGCATATTCCAGCTTTGGTCTAATAAAAGACGTGAACAATTTCTTTAGTATTTCTCCATCCGTGTATTTAAAAGCATTTCTGAAGTTAGAAAGCGTGGCATAGGCTCCTCGCACAATATTCTTTATGTGGTCCTCAGGTGACAGTTCTCTATCTAGAACCACCCCTAGATCCCTTTCTTTGTCAGAATTCTTTAAAGATTTCTCACATAATATATAGGTTGTGTGGGGTCTATGTTCTCCAATTCCACATTTCATAACATGGCATTTATTCACATTAAATTCCATTTGCCAAGTAGTGCTCCATATACTTATTTTGTCTAGGTCTTCTTGAAGGGTATGACAATCATCTAGGTTTCTTATCCTTCCTATTATCTTAGCATCATCAGCAAACATGTTCATATAATTCTGTATACCAACTGGTAGATCATTTATGTAGACAATAAACATCACTGGTGCAAGAACTGAACCCTGTGGTACTCCACTTGTGACATTTCTCCAGTTCGATACATTGCCTCTGATCACAGCCCTCATTTTTCTATCAGTCAGAAAATTTTTCATCCATGTTAGAAGCGTACCTGTCACTCCTCCAATATTTTCCAGTTTCCAGAACAACCTCTTATGTGGAACTCTGTCGAAAGCCTTTTTTAGGTCCAGATAGATGCAGTCAACCCAACCATCTCTTTCCTGTAATATCTCTGTTGCTCGATCATAGAAACTGAGTAAATTCGATACACAGGATCTTCCAGATCAAAAACCATACTGTCTGTCTGATATTATATCATTTCTCTCCAGGTGTTCTACCCATTTAGTTTTAATTATTTTTGTGTGTGTATGTGTGTGTGTGTGTGTGTGTGTGTGTGTGTGTGTGTGTGTGTGTGTGTGTGTGTGTGTGTGTATATATATATATATATATATATATATATATATATATATATATATATATATATATATATATATATATATATATATATATATATATATATATATATATATATATATATATATAATATTATATATAATATATATATTATAATTATATATTACATTCATTTCTACATGCAGCACAGTAGATACATAACAGTACCAGTGGCAACTAGATATATAGTACTGAAGAAACATGTTGAGAGCAGGCTTTAGTGAAAATGTTACTTTACCTGCTAAAACATTACCAATACTTGTATTGCTATTTTCAGGAACAGGTAAAAGTCAGTTCCTGAAATATGTGTGTAACTTGGTGCCACGCTGTGTTCTGACAACGGGCATCGGAACCACTAATGCTGGTCTTACAGTCTCTGCAGTGAGAGACGAGGGAGAGTGGGCTCTGGAAGCTGGTGCATTGGTAAGACCTATTTAGAGTTTTAACTGTCTTCAAGATATATTTATTTTGGATATTTGCTTCTCTGACTACATTAAATTGTTGGTTTTCCTTTTTGTCTCCAGATAGCATGATGTACTTGCCAATCACATACAGTACAACAGAACACAAGATACTTGGTATGACCTAAGATGCAGATCTAACCCAACATCCATTCTTGTCTCTTCAAAACACTCTTAACTTATTTAAAACATAGTACAGTAACTTATCCAAGTGTTTGCTGGGAAACCAAAGTTTACCAGACATGACTAATTCTTATCTTGACTCTCATATTGCCATTCCCTTTGGTACAAATTTCATGTGAGATTGAATTTTATTGTTGGTGAGTTGTGATGACATGAGAAAGATGAGTAAACACAAGCAGGAGGAGATTCCCATGAGGGAAGCACAGTATAGTGACATAGTAGGGGAAGCATCACTGAGGGCAGATGCCTGTTGGTCATGAAACCTGAGGCAAAGCCCAGCAAACTGCATATAAAACACTAAACAGCTCAGGTACATCAATTGATATTATTACAGTGAAAAGAAGCAGAGCATAGGAACACATTTAAATGTACTTTATTGGGCTATCTGTGTAACACACACAAAAGAACTTTAATAATAAAAGAAACTGTACATAAATTAAGCTAGCCAAATTATCACAAAAGTTGTCATGCAGGTGCTGGCAGATGGCGGTATTTGCTGCATAGATGAGTTCAATAGTGTTCGTGAAGCAGACAGAGCTGCTATTCATGAAGCTATGGAGCAGCAGACAATAAGTGTTGCTAAGGTAAAATTTGATGTGTGAATTCACACTATTATACATATTCTTAAACAAACTTTCTGTAATTTTATTAGCCTGTGAATTAGATGAGCTACTGAGTTTTATCTTTTAAAAATCAAACGTGCATGTAAGTCTTCTCGTCAAATTTTATTTACAGTTTTGGAGATGTGAATCTTTCTTTATTATTTTATAATTAAAATTTCTACAGGCTGGACTTGTATGCAAATTGAATACCCGATGCAGTATTCTAGCTGCAACCAATCCTAAAGGCCATTACGATCCTGAGGAATCTCTCAACGTTAATGTCGCCCTGGCCTCTCCTTTGCTGTCACGTTTTGACCTCATATTGGTTCTCCTTGATACAAGAAATCCTGAGTGGGACAAGTAAGTTGGATGACATATATATCTGTATAGTGTTGTTCAACTGTATGCTCTCGTAGGATGCATTCTTAACAAAGCTCGTGCCAATTTATAACATTGACGATACCAGCAGGTATACTTTAGTTCTGAACACTTAATGTTTTGTTTCCTATTTTATTATTATAGAATATATTTATAATTTTGCATATTATCTTTTACAGTACTTTTAGGCATTCATATTATGAGTCACTGTTAGCTTAGAGGGAGGATGTGATTTTTGTTAATAAAAAACTGTAGGTGATAAACTTCCTTTATTTTTTTTCTCTTAGAATAGTGTCAAGCTACATTCTTGATGGTCGCGATCCACTTGCTGGGGATGGTGGAAGTGAAGAAGACTGGAGTATGGAGAAACTTCAGGCTTACTTTTGCCATATACGCTCCATTCAGCCCGGTATGACCACAGAAGCCAATGCCATTCTCTCACGATATTATCAAATTCAACGGAAAGCTGATCAGCGCAGTCAAGCTAGGACCACCATTAGGTAAGCAATAAGTGAAGAGAGATGTCACCTGTGTCATTTAAAATTTGTTCAAATATAACATACTGTATGTTCTTTAATGTATTTACTGTAGTATCTTAATTTACTGTGTATATTTGATGTTAGCAAATATATAATGAGTACATTGGAGCTACTTTACACAGTCCTACATATAATCCATTTTCTATTCAGTAAATCATTTAGGGGAAACTCCATTATTGTTTGCTATAGCATTTTAGTTCTCTTTTTTTCGGAGCATATTTCCTCTCAGTGGCAACTTACAATCAGGTTCTACAGCTTCTACCCCAACAACAAAAGATATCCCAAAAGTGAATACAGTAATTACAAAGCAAACTGATTGGAGAGACTCCGGACAGTGCTGCCGGAGGACAGAGAAAATCCCTAGATATGATCAAGAGCTATCAGAGGGAGGTAGTGGAACTTTAGGGATGCACTAAGCATACATCAAGTAAGAAGAGTGAAAATACAGGAAGAGTGCATCAAACATGAAAAGAATTGGAGAGAAAAGTGGATAAAGGGAGGATTGAAAGTGAGGAAGCAGGGGGAGGGGGAGAGGAAGGAGGTAACTAAAATTATAGATGATACTGTGAAGCAAGAATAAAAGATAACAAGCCAAAGAAAGGATAACAAACAAAACCTTTGCAGCAGTGGTTATAGGTTCAAAAGAAGAGGCTGTAAGAACTAAGCAGGTAGTGCAGTGTTCCATCATGGACAGACAGAGACAAAAGTCTTATTATCATTTACAAGTTACCAGAGAAAATTGTAGGGACAAGGAAGGACATATGAAGGTGGGAGTGGAAGTAGGTAATGGGGATCTTACAGGATATTAATACTGAGACTGAGAAACACAATAGGACAGGGAGGTACCAAGCAGGACGTTTGTGACTGCTTAAATTAATATTAAGAATTTAGAGGTCAGTGGATTCCATACTGATGGGAAAGAGAAAGCTAAGGGATGAGAGTAAATATTGGAAGGCATTCCAAAATTGAGATTCCTAATGAAAATAGAAAAAGAATATTAGAAGAGAAAGATGGAATGCATAAGAAGATGGTGCTGTTAGATTGCAATCAGGTCTGGCAGTCAATATTTGTGATACATGAACAACAGCAGCTCTATACCACTAGTAACCACCAACACTTGAAGCCAACATGGCTTCAATTTTTGGTGGTTGATCATCTAGTATCAGTATTTTGTTTTGGCTTACTATTAGAGAATTTTGTGATTTTTATTACTTGCTTATTCAGCAGCATTAAAACTGACAAGTTATTTTCAGATTGCTTGAGAGCTTAGTTCGTCTGAGCCAGGGCCATGCAAGACTGATGATGCGTGGAGAAGTGACAGCACAGGATGCTGTTGTGGCTGTAACCTTGATGGAAGCATCTATGTGTGGAGCTTCGGTGATTACAGGGATTAATCCTCTGCATACAGCTTTCCCTCATTCTCCAAGTGAAGAATATAAGACTCAAGGTTGGTATTATTCTTTAGTACTGTAGTATGTCATGATTTACTTTAGTAACTGTTTTCTGGGGGGAGCCCTGTCGACTCCCCGTAGCTAGCCAGGCTGAATGGAAATGTATAACTTTCTGATATCAGTCAATGTGCATGGAGATCTTGCCTATCGAGGACCACGAGCCAGAACCTGGCCCCCCTCAGAGAGGCATGAGGAGCAATGGCCTATAGAAACCCCCGTGTGGTTGGGGGCATTTTATGTCTGCCATTGACCAGGTCTGGCACTAAAAAAGGTAGGCGCACCAAAACAAACCCCTATTCTGGTGAAACTATTGCTACTGAAAGCCGAACGAGTGGACAGAACTCCCCAAACGAAAATTAGCAATCGAGCATGACGTCATCATGTTGCTGTGCTGCTGTCTGCGCAACCCCCCTCCCCAGTAGGGGGAAGGGGGAGCCCCAGACCCTCATGCTGGCAATTCAACTGGCAGTACTTGACTGATATGATACTGGCAGGTCATGTGCCTCTGGCTCCTGATTTAATTTCAGTTCCTGTGCTTTGTGGTGTGGTCTGTCTCTACAGGTGATGTGTGAGCCAGGAGTAATATTCTACATTACTCTGACTGCATGCACCTAGGGTTTCCTTCCATAGGTGCCCAGTAAGTACTGCCCTTGGGGCTTGGGGGCCACATTCCACAAGTCACCTTGAGATCTACCTCAACTGTGGGTTTGGCTAACCGTGAGGTTCATGTCCGGGGTGTGTCCTGCATCCTGGCGGACAGCTGTCTCGGTTCATTCCTCTGTTCGCGGATTGGTCAGTCATTGCAGAGTCGTTTCGTTGGCTCTGCCGGACGTATGGACTCCTGGTCATGGACGTCTTCAAGTCGGCGTGGTCTAGGCATCGCCCCTTTTTATGTGGTGAATGCCTAATGTCATGTTAGCTTGAAAAACATCCTTCTATGCTTATTGAATGTAATGCTACATAAATGCTGTATAGGTAACATTATGTGCACCATGATGGAGAATGTATACATTTAGGTCTTGGATGTATTACTCATATGTATACTGTGTAATTTCCATTTCAGTGTTGTTCCTTGCATTGTCCTCTTGTCATGACATTAAACGAAATTATGGCACTGTGAAATGTATACCACCTAGACAAGCTTTTGATACACATATTGAATATATCTACTTGATTTTGTATTCTTGTATACATATGTATTAACGGTTGGCCGACATCTTGAATCCTCCTTTAAACCCCCCCCCCTCTCCTCCCCCACCCCCTTGATGTACCGACTTGCGCCAGTGTTACCTGGTCTTACCCATATGAATTCTTTAATGTACTGAATTCTTATTATGTAAGGTTGTTTATTATAATCTTTACTTTGTTGTATATTAAATTAGAAGTTCATGATCGAGTTATGTCTGTAAATGATCTTGAGAGATTTGAAAGTTGAGGGTCAGTTGACTCATGGAGTTGGATACAGTGTCGCGCCCCGGCCAGTCTGGCTGAAGGCGGCACAACACTTTGACCATTCCAAGCCAGTGCATCTGTGGCGTTCCGGTCCGAGATTTGGGACCTTATTTGTGTATTGTGACTGCTAGATTAATTATCATGTAACAGTAGGTATTACCATGGATCATTTCTACTGTTGTTCATCAGGTATACCAGGTAGTAGAGGTTTTTATATGTCTTTGTGAGGTGATATTCTGAGGAACTTAAGTAATGCCTTTGTGCTGTAGATGATATTGTTAACTCATATCTCATGTGTTACTGGTTGTGACATCACCAGCCTGTATTGGTATTAGCAGCATATAGGCGCTAATGTTCCACTGCGCTAGGATAGAGCCTGGTGTCGGCTAATGTTGATTGATGCAGTTTCCAGACCTGTTGTTTGATTATGCCCAGTTGTTGAGAAGCTGGATAAAGTAATTATGTGTGAGTTAGTAGATGGTATTATTGTTTAATGTTATGTGGATTTATATTAATGCCCAGTAAACTGGAATATTTTTTGCTAGCCTTTCACTTCCCTAGAACATTGATTGATATTTGGCCAGGCTATGTGTTCCAGTGATGCTGAAGGTTACTCCCTCATTAAATTAATATGAGGTTCTTGTCCGTGTCTCTTAAGAGTGAAATGGGGGTATGTTGTGTTGATTTAGGGGCGACGACAATCGTGGGATCGGATGCGGATCCCGGTAAAGACGGGGATCTCATCATAACATATATATTTTTGTGGGGGTCCTTGACTGGCATACCATAACACCCAGTTATGGCCTTTAAAGAAATTGTAATAACTATATTTATTTATTTTATATATTGAATAATTTGAACTGATAGAGAATATGTTAATTTTGTGCAGGAATTTATTAAAGTGAGGTTCATTTGAGCAAGGTTCTACTGTAACATGAAATAAACAAGGTGTGAAAAACATTCTCGTAGGTTCAGAATTTATTGTGATTTCATTGTGTTTATTTCTTTGATCATATTTATTAACAGCATTTTTTTCTTTCCACAGCTAAGATTGTGCTACAAAAACTCAATCTTTTTGATATCTTAACAAATGAAATGGGCAGACTTAACGAACAGGAGAAGTTGCTTATGAATTGGAAGCCAAAAAGCTCAACGAAAGAAAACAGTGGTAAAAGTCGAGATGTGCCAGTAATTAAGAGCTATTTTCCAAAGAAAACTTTTACAACTAATGTGAATGAGAATAAAAGAATACCAGGTATTGAAGAGCTGGAGGACAATGTACAGAAACTCAGGGGTGGTAAACAGCAGACGTTGTGCCGTATGTCAAAGATGGTGGAATCAAGTATTGTGGCTCAAGATCTTGATAACAGAGTCAGTAATTTAGTGGAGGAATCACTTGACACAAATAACTTGAACAATGTTAAGACCAAGAAAAGTTTAAAAAGAGTTTTAGAAGCAAGTGCCTCAAATAATGAAGACTTTGATACTCCAGTTCAGTCAAATACTAAGAAAGTGAAGAACAAGAATTCTAAGAAGAAATTAGATGTGAGCATTCATTCACACAAGAATAAGGCTGATGATGAATTATTAGAAGACTTGGAAGATTTTGAGGAAGGAACATATACTTTGAATCTTTTGGCAGCAAAAAAAAAGAATGCTTTGTTATTAAGGAAGTCTGATGTTGGAAGCAACTATCAGCCTGATAAACGTAAACAGATTGAAGATGCTCATATACGTACAGAATCCAGTTCTCAAAATTCTTCTCAGGATGCAGAAAATGAAAGTCTAGAGAATGAAAGAGAAATTCAAGTATCGGTATATGCAGTTGAAGAGAGAAGCTTCGAAAACCCTGACGATATAGACTTCTTTGAAGACAGTTCTAAACATTTAAATGTTTCTCAGGAGCATTTAGTAATAGATGTCAACTTAGTAGAAAATGACATTTCTAACAAATTTTGTAAAAATGCAGATACTAATTTAACAGATAAAAGGTCCACTTCAGGTGGTGGTGATCATATAATGCCAATACGCTCTCTATCACAGACACCAGGAAAACCGTCACTAGCTCTGGAAAGGCCGGGAGAAGGTGAAAAGATATTTAGCAACTCGCCCATTTCTTCCAATAAATGGGTATCGTCAAAGCTGAAGAGTTGTGCAATTGATTTAGATGATGCTGGGAATTCAAGTATGGGAAAACAAAATATATGTCCTGTAAATAATCAGGAGGATGAGACTGTAGAGAATGGCAGTATGGATGTAAAAAACAAAGTTTCTATGTCTGGACCTCCATCAGTCTCCAGAAGTAATTGGTCACCACCAGTTTTACCGTTCAAAAAGCTTTCATCTTTTTTAAGCCAAGTACGTGGCGCTTCAAAATCACATTTATTTTCATCTGTTCGACCGCATTTAGGTGTTGCTTTATCATCAGAAGAACTTGATGATGCTGATTTTGAGCTGAATTTGTAATATATTGTGACAACACCCAGTATACTTGTGGATCTGAACATTAAATGGTGTGTGTGTGTGTGTAATTACCTAAGTGTAGTTGCAGGATGAGAGCTACATTTGTGGTGCAGCCCATTTTCCTAACACTCTTTGTATTAAAACGCTTTGAAACTACTGGCGATTTTGGCCACCACCACCTTCTCACCTAACTTGTTCCAACAGTCTACTATTGTTAAGAAAGTGAATTTTCTTATATATCTTCGGCAGCTTTGTTTAGTTAGTTTAAATATATATCCTCTTGTTCTTGAAGTTCCAGGTCTCAGGAATTCTTCCCTATCAATTTTATCGATTCCAGTTACTATTTTGTACGAAGTGATCATGTCGCCTCTTTTTCTTCTATCTTCTAGTTTTGGCATATTTAATGTGTGTGTGTGTTGCATTTTTGTAGTTACATTTTTATGTAACTACAGAGTTGCAATTGTTTACAGAGTTGTTGCAGTTGTTTACAGAGTTGCATTTTTCGATGAAATTTACATCGTACTGTAACTCAAAATTATCGTAAGTAGGGGCAATCGTATGTCGAGGTGCCACTGTATATTAAACAGTTTACAAGCATGAAAACTTCCCAATCAACTGTTGTTATTGTTATAAACAGCCTCCTGGTGCTTCGGAGCTCATTAACTGTTTAATATTTGTAAACAAACCCGCCAAAGATTGAAAAAAGATGTACAGGTTCATAAGTGCTTGCGTAACTGCTTCGTGAATCTGGTCCCAGGCCTTGCACTCTCTATTGCATGTCAATACCTAGGCCAGGAGTCATCAAGCTGTTACGCATCCACTCACAAAACCTATACACCTTTCGTCGATGATGGTGGCATAGTTGGTGTATGGGCTTGGAAACATCACATCCCCAGGTTATTGTTAAGACAGCACAGTATTGACAACCTCGTAGTGCTCCAGGGGCTCTAAACTACTGTACTACATAAATGCAAACGAAGCCGCCACAATAGAGGGAAAATTACAGGTCTCGTAAATGCTCGGTGATATTAATCTTTTTTATATTTGTTAATATAAATATGTATACTGTATTTAAAGAATATGAATATTTTTATATCATATTTTAAGGTTGTACAAATTTTGAATGAAGAATTATATTTTATCATATAAAATTAAATATACAGTACTGTAGTCACAGATATATAAACAAAATACATGTACAGTATCTTGTTTTCATTCTCTTAATTTCTTGATGCACCTAACACTACCCATATTTGTATGAACTAAAACGAGTAGCTACTACTAATTCATCCATGGGAGAAAGATATCTACCATTTGTAGAATTAAAGCAACACCAGTTTATATTTTAAATATTTTGTAAATTTTAGCTTTTAAGTAATTACCAGTACAGTACTGTACAGACAAATTTATGTATAAATAGAGTACTGTATAAGTTATTGTGGTTTTCTTGTGTACTGTATAAGCTAACTTGTTGTTCATAATATATAATACAAAGTAACATGCTGACAACCAACTATTAAGTCAAGTGCTCTGATAATAAAGAAAATACTGTATACAGCAGTAATGAATTTTACTGCTGAGTTAGTTTATGTTGTCAAGCATAACATTGTTTTGCTTTTTAATATAAATACAAATTTGTGGTGAATGATAACTAGTTTATTTGGCCCAACACCCCTTCCTCCCTTTCACAACCATTATTTTTTATATGAATGTAAATAAATTGTCCTGCTCTTAGGCTAAAGGGATGGACCTCAATCTAGATATGTTTGATGATCTGAAAGCATATAACTTTACCAGTGGTAATAGTCTTCTTGTAAACAGGCAAGTGAACATTTGTCGTAAAGAGAGAATATTTTCAAGTTATTGAAAATTTACTTTTTTTAATTTATAATCTGTATTATAAATTGAGTTTAAAATACAAGTACTGTATATGGAAAAATCATTTTCTTTGATAAGTCCTAATTCCTAGGTTTTCTTTAATCTAAGTTAGTATTAAGTTTTAGTCTTAGTGTTTTTCCTGCCCGGAACGCTTTGCGTAATATTAGCTTTAGGCATTGTATGTACTAGCTCTATCTATAAATCCATCAACTTTTGTATTTCACCTTGTATGTATGTACTTTAGCTGAATAAATATTTGTATTGTATTTGTATTTTTGTATTGTTTGTAATTATCAAAAGAAGGCACCAAGCCGGGAAAGCTATGTAGCACCATCAAATATGTGGAATAATCAGAGGGTGCCAAATATCACTAAGGATGCCAGTATGAAAATAGAAATGCATAAGGCGAACTATATCAAAAATATCCGATTCACTAGGAATTCTATCAAGGGACAAATGACCGCAAGGGACAGTCGGAAAGCAAGACATACACTTGTCCAGGAAGTCTGGACATTCAACAAGATACATGACTGTAAGAGGGACAATGGAGTTTTGACAATTAGGAGCAGGGCGGTGCTCCGTTAAACAGCGACTTGTTTGAAGGATACATCCAGCTACCTGTCTGCAATAATCAGCTTAGCAGAAGCAAGGTCAATTCACACGACCTGACCCCTGGTCAACTTCTGGTCATTCACACTTCTATAGGTGTGACTTTTTAATCACTAAAAACCGACAGTCTGGCGCCTCAAATATCCTGTCTGGTTGACTCGTGTCGTATGTAAAATAAAATATAAATAACTTAAACACCTTTATGGTGTTACAAGTGGGGGGGGGGGGGTGAGGAGTATGGCAAGTGTGAGGGTGAGGAGCATGGTGAGTATGGGGGTGAGGAGCGTGGTGAGTATGGGTGGTGAGGATCGAGCGTGGTGTAGGGGTGAGGAGCGTGGTGAGTGTGGGGGTGAGGAGCGTGGTGAGCGTGGGGGTGAGGAGCATGGTGAGCGTGGGGGTGAGGAGCATGGTAAGTGTGAGGGTCAGGAGCGTGGTGAGTGGGGGTGAGGAGCATGGTGAGCGTGGGGGGTGAGGAGCATGGTAAGTGTGAGGGTCAGGAGCGTGGTGGGGGTGAGGAGCATGGTGAGCATGGTGAGGAGCATGGCGAGTGTGGGGGTGAGGAGCATGGTAAGTGTGAGGGTCAGGAGCATGGTGAGTGTGGGGGTGAGGAGCGTGGTGAGTGTGGGGGTTAGGAGTGTGGTGAGTGTGGGGGTGAGGAGCATGGTGAGTGTGGGGGTGAGGAGCATGGTGAGTGCGGGGGTGAGGAGCGTGATGAGTGTGGGAGTGAGGAGCGTGGTGAGAATGGGGGTGAGAAGCGTGGTGAGTGTGGGGGTGAGGAGCATGGTGAGTGTGGGGGTGAGGAGCGTGATGAGTGTGGGAGTGAGGAGCGTGGTGAGTATGGGGGTGAGGAGCGTGGTGAGTGTGGGGGTGAAGAGCATGGTGAGTGTGGGAGTGAGGAGCGTGGTGGGTATGGGGGTGAGGAGCGTGGTGAGTGTGGGGGTGAGGAGCGTGGTGAGTGTGGGAGTGAGGAGCGTGGTGAATATGGGGGTGAGGAGCGTGGTGAGTGTGGGGGTGAGGAGCATGGTGAGCGTGGGGGTGAGGAGCGTGGTGAGTGTGGGAGTGAGGAGCGTGGTGAGTATGGGGATGAGGAGTGTGGTGAGCGTGGGGGTGAGGAGTGTGGTGAGCATGGTGAGTGAGGAGCGTGGAGCGTGAGGGTGGTGACGTCGCCATAACAAGTGAGGGTCGGAGGTAAACACAGGCCACCACCACCACAACACTCTACCATGACCACCGTATTTACCCCCGCCACCCTCCTGGTCACTGGCTAGTGCCACCTGCCTCACCACCACCTGCCAACTCTGGCCCCAGACATCACTCGGTACCCCTACTCAAATCTCTGAATATGTTAGACATTAAGTCACTGCACATTCTCTCATGTGTATTATACATATATAAAACGCTGAACTGTAATGTCAGTTCTGACCTTAAAAGCTTCATAGAAGGTTGTAACAGAACCCATGAGCACCACACCAGAAATAAATACAGTTTTGATATTCCTAGAGTACGACTTAATCAAACTAGAAATGCTCTACAAATCAAGGGGCCCAGAATGTGGAATGACCTTCCCAACCATGTTAAAGACTGTACCTCTCTCAACCAGTTTAAGATAAAAACTAAACACTACCTAATAAATTCCCTGTAACCTACCTTACCCCTCTATTGTCAACCAATGTCTGTTTTTTTTTAAAGAGCGCTGTTTGTCGACAGAATTGTATTTGTGCTCCTTTTTCAGCCATGTTTTCATTTCTTGTTTTCATTTTACTCTTTATCCTCAATTAGTATTAAGCTTTAGTCATTTAAGTTTTTCATGCCCGAAACGCTTTGCGTAATAGTGGCTTTAGGCATTGTATGTACTAGCTCTATAAGTCCACCAATCTTTGTAAAAAATTTCATGTATGTATGTACCTTACCTAAATAAACATTTTATTTTTTATTTTTTTTTTTGTATGTTTATAATATTCTTGAGCAAACTGAATATAATAAAGTGTAGGTAATAAACTGCTATACTCCAGTGAAAGCCTGAAACTGACTCTATACGAGGTCCAAAATTGGCAATACTTCAGTGCAGGCCTAAAAACTGGCTGTACACTACTGTGTTTACTAGTTGTGTTTTTACGGGGGTTGAGCTTTGCTCTTTCGGCCTGCCTCTCAACTGTCAATCAACTGTTTACTAACTACTATTTTTTTTTTTTTTTTTTTTTTTTTTTTTTACCACACTGCACTGTACTGTAAGGACTGTAGTCCTTAAATATTGTGATAACTGAAGAAATATTATAAACAATGTGTTATTGGCTTGATGAGAAATGTCCTATTCACACAGCAAAATTGTAATAACCCATTGTACTTGCAACTATTGATTTAAATATATCAATTAAGAAATCTATAATGCCTCTCCTTAACACAGTGAGGTGTAGAATTTGTCCTGTACAGTGAACCTTCTCAAATCTGAACCTCCGTATGTATTATGGTTTCCTCTTAGCAACGAACAAAACCTGTGTGAATGGATTTTCTCTCAGAAATTGCATTCCCCCCAAAAAATATAAGTACTAATTCCAGGGGAAGGTTGTTGTGAAATCTGGGTTGTCTGTTCATCATAAAGTAGTTTTCATCAATCATTTCTGGAGGTATCACTACATCGTTATCTGCGTGGTCATGTCGTGCAGCAAGAGTAGTATGGGTGTGCCAGACAAGGCTGGAAGGAACATCTATACCATGTCCTGGCCGACGACCGGGCCGCGGGGACGCTAAGCCCCGGAAGCACCTCAAGGTAACCTCAAGGTAACCATGGATAATAAGGCAGTTATTAGAAAAACCTGCTTGTGGCTAGAGAGGAAAGTGGATGTTCTTATTTTACTTAGTACAGTGAAGAACATATAAATAAATAAATAAATAAATGTTTTTTTAGGTAAGGTACATACATAAAGAGATTTTACAAAGTTTGTTGGGTTAATAGATAGAGCTAGTACATACAATGCCTAAAGCCACTATTATGCAAAGCGTTTCGTTCTATAAATAACATCATTTATAGAGCTGGCTGCCTGCTGAAACTATAAATGCCAAGACATTACTGCAGTTCAAAATCCAGCAGGAAAACTCATCAGGAACAATGGTGGCATCTTTGACAAGCCACTGGCTTCCTGTCCTTACTGAGGCTGCTAGGGAGATTATGGTCCTCAGGTAAATTAGGCGTAAGACTAGATTTCTTTTCCTATTTTCAGAATTAGATTACAGGAAATTGCACTGCAGTGTTTTATTTGTAGACAGTTTGATAAAAAAAAATGTATCTCAAATGGTTATGGAGATATAACCATGTTTCATTTTATGGTACAGTAATTGTATGCTAAGGTTTCAGTTTATCATCTGTAATTTTAGTACTGTACAGATGTAAGGTTTTGTTTGCATGGAGACACCAAACAAATACTGTAGCACAGTGTTGCTACAAATACACAATACACAAAAGTTGCCTGTGCATCGTTGTATGTCTGTATGTTTATTTATATATATATATATATATATATATATATATATATATATATATATATATATATATATATATATATATATATATATATATATATATATATATATATATAATTTTTTTTTTTCTGATTATTTGGTACTTTATTGTAATGTTTTCAATAATTTCAGATACCAAATGGTTAAATTTGTGAGAGGATGCTGCGCATAGAGTCATACATCACACCCATTATCCTCAGTTATGTGGATAAATACATCAAAAATCTCAAACCGGAGGATTCTCAGGTATGTCACAACTCTAAATTGCATTTGATTGTGAAATGTTTTTCTTTACGATATTAAAATTTATTGAGTGGTGATTATAAAGTAATAGGGAGGGGTATAGTTTGCTCAGAAAATATTCTTGGGTCACAGCAAGCCAGTTTTAGACTTATTTTATCTGTACAGTATTCTAAAAATTCAGTCTTGGTTCTTTCTCCGGATGATTCTCTTTGTTTTTTCTCCTGATAATTACCTTAACTTGGTCTATACAGTATTGTATGCTGCCGTGTAGCAGCTGGCCTCGGCTAGATCTGGTAAATAGGTACCTAGGAGTTAGACAGCTGATACTGACTGCTTACTAGATGTGTAATTACCTAAGTGGAGTTACAGGATGAGTAAAGTACACTTAACTTGCTCCAACCGTCTACCACTCTGCTTGCGAAAGTGAATTTTCTTATATTTCTTTGGCATCTTTGTTTAGTTAGTTTAAATCTATGACCTCTTGTTCTTGAAGTTCCAGGTCTCAGGAAATCTTCCCTATCAATTCCTTTTACTATTTTGTAAGTAGTGATCATATCACCTCTGTCTTCTAGTTTTGGCATATTTAATGCCTCTAACCTCTCCTCGTAGCTCTTACCCTTCAGTTCTAGGAGCCACTTAGTAGCATGTCTTTGCACCTTTTCCAGTTTGTAGATGTGCTTCTTAAGATATGGGCACCACACAACCGCTGCATATTCTAGCTTTGGCCTAACAAAAGTTGTGAACAATTTCTTTAGTATTAACCCATCCATGTATTTAAAAGCAATTCTGAAGTTAGAAAGTGTAGCATAGGCTCCTCGCACAACGTTCCTTATGTGGCCCTCAGGTGATAGTTTGCTATCTAGAACCACCCCTAGATCTCTTTCTTTATCAGAATTCTTTAAAGATTTCTCACATAATTTATAGGTTGTGTTTGGTCTATGTTTCATTCCACATTCCATAACATGGCATTTATTCACATTAAATTCTATTTGCCAAGTGTTGCTCCATATACTGTACTTATTTTATCCAGGTCTTCTTGAAGGGTATGACAATCATCTAAGTTTCTTATCCTTCCTATTATCTTAGCATCATCAGCAAACATGTTCATTTAATTCTGTATACCATCTGTTAGATCATTTATGTAGACAATGAACATCACTGGTGCAAGCACTGAACCCTGTTGTACTCCTCTTGTGACGTTTCTCCAGTCCAATACATTGCCTCTGATTACTGCCCTCATTTTTCTATCAGTCAGAAAATTTTTCATCCATGTTAGAAGTTTACCTGTCACCCCCTCCAATATTTTCTAGTTTCCAGAACAACCTTTTATGTGGAACTCTGTCGAAAGCCTTTTTAGCTCCAAATAGATGCAGTCAACCCAACCATCTCTTTCCTGTAAAATCTCTGTGGCTTGATCATAGAAACTCAGTAAATTCGATATACATGTACAGATGCCGAAGAAATATAAGAAAATTCACTTTCGCAAACAGAGTGGTAGACGGTTGGAACAAGTTAGGGAAGAAGGTGGTGGAGGCCAAGACCGTCAGTAGTTTCAAAGCATTATATGACAAAGAGTGCTGGGAAAACTAATTATAACAAAAATTCTTTCCTCTTGCACCTGTATAGGCATATAGCAACACTATTCCTATTCATAATACTTATCTCTTCCATGAGTCAATGTCATGTCTTGATACTATAAAACAATTTCCTTGAAAGGAGTATCCCCAGATTTGACTCTTCAATCTGATTGCTTTTCCATTATTACTGCATTTTATCTGCTTGAGTTTTTGTAGAATCTTGGCTTATTTCATAAACTTAAAATGAATGTGTATTATAAACAAATGTTTTTATTTTTATTGGTTTTAGGTATCATTGTGGGGAGGGGATGCTGTTTTCAACAACTTAGATTTACGCCTTGATGTGCTCGAGCAAGAACTACGACTTCCCTTTTCTTTTGTTAACGGCCATATACACGAGTTGAGGATTCATGTTCCATGGACCAAGCTCACATCAGAACCAATTGTCATTACCATTAACACTATTGGTAGGTACAAGCAATTGTATACATTTACATTACATGTACAGTACTGTACATATAGGTAATATACTGTACTAATAAATATAAATGTATTGTCATAGTGTAATTTTCTTTATTTACCTAATATTTAGGAAATCTAATTGAGAACTGAATACCTCTCCTATGTCTAATCAATTTATATCAGTAACCTATATTGGTATATTAGACACTAGCAAAATTTCTTAAAACACTAACACTTATATTTTTTGTATATTATTCTATACTTAATTATTATATATTTATCATTGCTTTCAGAATGTATCCTCAAATTAAAGGGAGGAGAAGCAGCCAGCTCTGATTCATCCAGCCAAAGTGGAGCTGGACCAAAATCGGCAGACATAAGACGCAGGCAAAGAAGGTGTGACAGATTTCAACATTATGGTTTTGTGTTTGCTCATATGGTGGAACCATAGTGAAACAAACTAATTAGGATTGGATTCATTCTGATCTTTCAAAGTTTCCTTACTATCAAGGATTTTACATTTTTTTCTATATATTGCTAAAATTTTGATTGGTTTTCTTATTGCATATTATAAATGCCAATAATCATATATATATGATTTTAGGTTGTTATTTAGAAATTGATTAAAATGCTAAATGCCATACAGGGGATGGCATTTAAATCTGAAAGATTTTTAAGACTAGATCTTGTTGAACAGGCCATCATTCTCTGCCCACCTCCCAACAACCGCTCCCCACAGCCCATTATCCGCTGCTTACTACCCGTCATTCTCCATCCGCTCATGCATTCTCCACCACCCATTATCACCTCATCTGAACTGGAAAGGTCTTGGTTCAAATTTACTGCAAAATTGTTCTACTATTTGGCTACCAAGAATGCTTTGGAAAAAGGATTTAAATTTGGTATCCATATGGATTAGGGCGTCATGATATATGGAGCATAGATAACAAATGGAGATAGATAACATAGATAACAAATGCTCCTATGGAGCATAGATATAGATAACAAATATTTTTCTGGGGGAGCCCCGTCGGCTCCCCGGAGCTATCCAGGCTGAATGGATATGTATAACTTTTTGGCATCAGTCAAAGTGCTAGGAGTTCTTGCCTACCGGGGACCAGGATCCAGAACCTGGCCTCCCCTCAGAGAGGCACGAGGAGCAATGGCCTATAGAAACTCCCTTGTGGTTGGGAGCATTCTATGTCTGCCAACGACCGGGACAGGCACCCAGAAAGGTAGGCACCCCAAAACAAACCCCTGTTCAGGTGAAAATATTGCCAAACGAGTGAGCAGAACTCCCCAAACAAAATTATCAAACTAGCATGACATCACCACGTCGCCGTGCCACCATCTGCGCAACCCCCCCCCCTCCCCGGGAGGGGGGAAGGGGGAGCTCCAGACCCTCCACGCCGACGATCCATCTGGCAGTTCTTGGCTGATGGAATTACTGGCCGGTCGAGTGCCTCTGGCTTCGGTTTTTGTTTCAGTTCTGTGCCTTGTGGTGTGGACTGTCTCTACCAGTGAGGTGTGAGCCAGGAGTAAGATTCCATGGTACTTGGGCTGCATGCGCCTAGGGCTATCTTCCCTAGGTGCCCTGTAAGTACTGCCCTTGGGGCTTGGGGCCACCTTCCACAAGTTACCTTGGGTTCTTCCTCTGCTGTGTCCTTTACAGCTCGGTACTGGCCTGCCCTTGGAGTCGGCTGGGGTTTTGTTGCCCTGGTTTGTCTCTGGGTAGGGGATAGTTTTCGTCACTGGTAGGGGCGCGGGGTACCACACAGCTACTTTTCACCAATAACAACGGCCGGCTGTTCTCCCTGGGTACGTTGTCCTCTTGCATGGTTTTTCTTTTGTTTTTGTTTTTGCCTGGTGGGGGGGTCTGCCTTTCTGGTCCCCCTTTACTGTTCTAGGTGTTTTTATTTCGATTCCTTCTGTTGGTGGTACTCCCCGCTTGGCCCCCGTGAGTGGACACGTCCCGGGGGTTCAGCTTATAGAAGTTTGTTTGGTAGACTTGGGCGCTGGTTTGCGGTACCCTGCCTGGGCTTCGGCAGCTCGAGCGCCGGCTGCTCTGGTGAAGTTGTTTGTGCTGTTTCTGGGGGAGGCGGCGTCTGTTCTTTGCTTCTCACCTCGCGTGCTGACAGGCGGTGCTAATCAAAATTTTAGAACCGTCTTGGGCCCTGGCTCTTAGATTTTCATCACCTTTTTGTCCGTTGCTGTTTGCATAGTCTGCGATGGTGCTTTTTCTGCAGGCAACTTTGTCCTGTGACGGCCTTTGTCAGACTTGTAGGTTCTCTGGGGGGGCCATGGAGGTCCTGCCCAGAAGGGTCGTGCCAGGTCTCGGGGGTTCCTTCGGTCGTCGTAAGCCAGTAGTGTCAGATTTGGGGCCAGCACCTCCTCTGGAGCCGTCGGCGTTCTGGTCGGCGCAGTGATCACTCTTAGTGTCGGTTGGGCTCTCATAGGGGTTGTCGGCCCTTTTGTCGGGTTGACCTGTTGACGGGGCAATAGGGGGAGGGGGAGGCTCGCGCTGTTTGCTCTCGCCCGGTCCCACGATTCGTGCGCATTTCGGGTCGTTTCCTCCGACCTGTGGTAGCGTTGGGTTGCTCCTCCTCCTTGCGGGGGATCAGGGCTGGCAGGGCAAGCCTTTTCTCCTGTGCTATGTCAGGTCATCCGGGGGTGGGTTTGCTTTGGTGTGGTCGAAACGACAACGTCCCTCAGGTGGGTTTCACCTGTTTTCAGTTCCAAAACGGGACTGTGCGGATCTGTGATTCATATTGGACTTGTCTAGTCTGAATCCCTGGGACTTTTGCCCCTTCTTTCGGATGACCGCTCTGTCTCAAGTCCGGCTGCTTTTGGCACCGGGTGCCTGGATGGTGTCTCGGGTCTTCCGGGATGTGTTTTGGTTTTATAATTTTATTGTACGCGTCCCGATTCATCTAGGGTTCAGTGACTGGCTTGGTTTTGTCATGGGGCGACAAGCTTACCGCTTTCATTGCCTTTTATTCGGCTTGAATCTGGCACCTCGAGTGTTCACATATCTTACCGGGTTGTGGTGACCTGTTTGCTTCTGTTAGGGGTTCAGAGTCTGGCTTACCTCAACGACTGGCTGGTGTGGGCTCCCAGCCAGTTCGTGTGTCTTCTCTCCAGGGATATGGTACTTTCCCAGCTCGCTGGGTCCGGGTTCATGGTGAACTGGAGGAAGTCCCTTTTGGTTCCTTCTCAGGTTCGGACTTAGCTGGGTCTGGTGTGGGACTCTCCTTCCTGCGATGCTGTTGCAGCTGCCGTCCCGCCTCCGGCTGTTTTTGGAAGGCACCCGGGTCACACGTTGGTATTGAGTGGCTGTCTGGGAGCCTGAACTTCGCCGTGCTGTTCTACCCATCGGGTCAGATCCGGCTTCGGCGAATGTTCTGATTTCTTCAGGGTCGTTCCTTCTGCTTCTCTCACGATCGATTGGTTTGAATCCCGGGAGCCTTGCGTTGGCTGCTGCGTCGCCGGCTTTCTCTGTGGGTTTTTTGGGGTTCTGTGCCGTGGCGCCTCCCCGAGCCGTCACTCGATGTGTTCACTGATGCCTCGTCTCTCGGCTGGGGTTTTGTTACAAGTGCTCACCAGGGACCCCATCAGGGTCGGTGGGGTCCGTCCTTCCATTGAGCTCACAGCATGGCACGGGAGTTTGCAGTGGTGTGGCATTCACTTCAGAGGATTTGGGTCGCTCGAGGAGCAACGATCCGACTCCATTTGGACTGCTCCCCAGTGGTTCATTGCCTGAACCGCGGGGGTTTGATACAGTCCTTGGTTCTTTGGGTCTGGTCGCTTCGAGTGACTCGTCTGCTGAGTTCTCAGAGTTTGGCTTTCCTGGTGGTTCATGTTCAGGGGGTGTCAAACGTCCTGATGGATGGCCTGTCTCGGTTCATTCCCTCGGTTTTCATTACCCGGAATGGACGGTCGACGCCGACTTGTTCAGTTGGCTTAGCCGGACGTACGGGCACCTAGAGGTGGACCTTTTCGCATTGGCATGGTCGAGGAGTCTTCCAGTTTTTTTTTGGCCTCTGGGGGTGTGTCGGGGAGCTTCATGCTCTCCTTCGCCGCAGGGGTTTCTGCTCTTTTGGTCCTGGTGGTCGTTTCGTTCGTTTGCAGCCTTCTCCTCCTTTTATGGTGAAGACTCAGTCTGCTGCTATCCGAAGGGGTCCTTGGGTTGTTGATGCTCGATTGGTTCGGCCGGGGGTGCATCATGTTTTGTGTCCAGTTGCGGTTCTTCGCTGGTATCTACGTGACACAGCCTCTATGGCAGGGGACACGCTTTGGGTGGACCCTATTTCCCTTCTTCCCTGTTCCAAGGTGCGGTTCTCCCAGGTCGTCTGCAGGATTATTCGGTCCAGCCAGCCTGCGGTCTATCCCAGTGTCCACGACGTTCGTAAGTTCGCGGCTTTGGCTGCTGTTTTGGGGAATTTGTCCTGACCTGACATTTGGGCATGGGGCTTATGGAGGTCAAACAGGTTCCTGGCTGCATGGTATCTCGTTTATGTTCCTGGGCCTTCTTGGGCATATGTAGCCTTGGGTCGCAGGTTGCAGCCATTTGACTCGACTTAGAGTTGAGGAGCGAGTGACGACCGCCTTCTGGGTAAGTCCCTCTTTTTCTTTGTCTTTGGTTAGGTAGCTCCGGGGAGCCGAATAGGCTCTCCACAGAAAACCAGCATTGAATGTAATGAAATGCCATTTTCTGGGTGAGACCCGGAGGCTCCCTGGCATCCCTCTCTCCCTCCGGTCGGGGTTTTTTCGCATTTTTTTATACCCTCTGAACTGAGGAGAGTTGCCGGCATGGAGGCCTGGGACCCCCCTGCCCCCTCCCGGGGAGTGGGGGTGGTTGCACAGACGGATGCGCGGCATTTGCGTTGACGTCATACTTGTTTCCTTGGTTTTGATTGGGGAGTTCTGTTGCTAGTTCGGCTTTCGGTTTGCAATTTATTTGATCAGCAGCAGTTTGTTTTGGAATTCCTACCTTTCTGGGTGCCTGACCTGGTAGATGGCAGACAAAGACTGCTCCCAATTACACAGGGGTGTCTTTAGGCCATTGCTCCTCGTGGCTCTCTTGAGGGGGCCAGGTTCTGGCTCTGGTCCCCGGTAGGCTTAGAACTCCTAAGATTGACTGTTGCCATGGTCTAATATATACACATCAGCCTGGTATAGCTCCGGGGAGCCTCCGGGTCTCACCCAGAAAATGGCGTTTCATTACATTCAACGCTGGTTTTTCTTATTGTGATAGTTATGCAAAGCCTATATTTTTCAGGCAAGATCTGGAAGTTCCAACCAGTTATGTCCAGGGTCTTATCAACAGAATAATAAACAATGTTTGCATTATTTGCAACAATGTTATCTTGAAATATGTTGAAGATGACATCGTTTTATCAATCAACGTTAAGACTCTGGAGTTTCGATCTGTTGATGGTAACTGGACTCCAGCATTTATAGGTGAGTAATGGATGTTTTAATTTATGTTCATGCTTTGAAGGAGCTGGTTCTAAATACTGCTGTGATATGTTTGGTGCCTGAAGGACCGAGGTGAGAAGTGCCAGGGAGGAGTGCACTTTGAGAGCAATACTTCATGTATAAAGCTGAAAGTTATGCATTCCCTGGACACCTTTACAAACTAATTTACTTTTGTATAATTTGGCATTTGAAAATATATGTTATTTGTACTGTGCCTAACAAGCCAAAGTACAGCAACTGGACTTTATAAATATACACAGACACACAGACTGAGGAGTTAGTATACATGACAGGGAGGGGAGGGAGAAGGGCTTATATATTTGACAGGGAACCTAGTGTATTTTCTGTGGGGAGCCCCTACGGCTCCATGGAGCTTATCGGGCTAATGTATGTTATATTAGACCGGGACATTAGCTAAGGAGTTCAGACCTACCAGGGACCAGCGCCAGAACCTGGCCCCTTCAGAGAGGTTTCAGGGAGCAATGGCCCTGGAAAACCCCTTTGTGGTTGGGGTTTTCCTTATCTGCCATCGACCGGGGTCAGGCACCCAGAAAGGTAGGCATAAAAAAACAAACCCCACATGGTAAAAAACTAAAACAAAAAACTGAACAGAGAGGTAGAAACTCCCGACAATCACAAGGAAACAAGCAAACATCTCACTTTACTGCCGCGCCGATCGTCCCCGCAGCCCTCCCCGCCCCGAGAGGGGGAGGGAGGAGCCCCGGACCTACCGCGCCGACTGCCAAGCTTCAGTTCGGAAGCTAATGTCAACCGGGATAGATGCTTCTCTGGCCTCAGTTTCCTAGGCGGTGTTTGCCGCCTAGGAAACTTTGCGTTGCAGAGTTTGTGGCGGCCGCCTCCCGGGTTGGCCCTTTCTTTTCCTTCTCTTTGGGTATGAAGTTCCAGGGAGCCTTAGGGACTCCCCACAGAAGACCAGCATTGAATGTAATGAAACGCTATTTTCTGGGTGAGCCCCGGAGGCTCCCTGGCAACCCTCCCTCCCACCGGTCGGCGGTTTTTTCGCGTTGGTTGAAGCTTAGCTTCCGAACTGAAGCTTGGCAGCCGGCGTGGTAGGTCCGGGGCTCCTCCCTCCCCCTCTCGGGGCAGGGAGGGCTGCGCGGACGATCGGCGTGGCAGTAAAGTGAGATGTTTGCTTGTTTGCTTGTTTCCTTGTGATTGTAGGGAGTTTCTACCTCTCTGTTCATTTTTTTGTTTTAGTTTTTTACCATGTGGGGTTTGTTTTTTTATGCCTACCTTTCTGGGTGCCTGACCCCGGTCGATGGCAGATAAGGAAAACCCCAACCGCAAGGGGGTTTTCCAGGGCCATTGCTCCCTGAAACCTCTCTGAAGGGGCCAGGTTCTGGCGCTGGTAGGTCTGAACTCCTTAGCTAATGTCCCGGTCTAATATAACATACATTAGCCCGATAAGCTCCAGGGAGCCTCCGGGGCTCACCCAGAAAATGGTGTTTCATTACATTCAACGCTGGTTTTTTATAGTATTTCTAGCAATATTTAAAAAAATGATAAAGACAGCAGATGAGTGTAAAAACATAGTTCTAGTATCAAATAAAAACTAATAATCATTAAACATTTTTATCTTCGATTTTTATGCCCTCTTCCTATAGGATATTTATTAATTCATCTAACTGTGACTTTTCAGATTTAACAGCAGAAGATCTCATACTGCGCAACCTTGCAACCTTAACTGACTTAACAGTTTGCTTAGACAAAAGGAATGCATCGGGCAAGATAGAAAACTACCAGGTACAGCTGAAAAAAAAATATAAAAAAATATATATACAGTGTGTGTGTGTGTGCGTGTGCGTGTGCGTGTGCGTGTGTGTGTGTGTGTGTGTGTGTGTGTGTGTGTGTGTGTGTGTGTGTGTGTGTGTGTGTGTGTGTGTGTGTGTGTGTGTAATTACCTAAGTGTAGTTACAGGATGAGAGCTACGCTTGTGGTGTCCCGTCTTCCCAGCACTCTTTGTCATATAATGCTTTGAAATTACTGACGGTCTTGGCCTCCACCACCTTCTCACTTAACTTGTTCCAATCGTCTACCACTCTGTTTACAAAAGTGAATTTTCATATACAGTATATTCATATGTTTTGTTGAACAATTTATTTCACATTTGTTTCTTTATCCACTTGTGTAAAAAAAAAAAAATAAAAAATCATGCAATGTAAATATTTAGTGCATTGAATATCAAATCTTAGACTAATGCAATATATACAGGTCAGTATGTAGCTTATTTCAACCAATGTCTTGTGAGTTACTGAAATAAGAAATATTATATTTTGCAGGAACCATTGATGTACCGATGTTCACTGTCATGCAGGGTTGTTCGTCGGTTTGAAACCGTCAACTCCATCCAGCCACTGTGCACTCGCTATGATGTATTCTGCCCACAGCTTCACTTCAGCCTTTCAGATATGCAGCTACCCATGTTTTTAAGACTTTTACAACTAGCTCTGGCTCTTTACTATGGAGATCTTGTATCCACTGATACAGAACAACACATAGGAGTACCTACTGGGAAAGATGGAGACAGTGGTCTTACTGAAGGTAAAGATAAACCTCCATCAGTATTTCTTTAAAGCCCTTTCTGGGGAAAGCCCCTTCAGCTCCCCGGAGCTTGTCCAGGCTGATAGGCTAATGTCAGACTTTGGCATCAGTCATGTGTATGGAATTCTATGGGCCTACCAGGGACTACGAGCCAGAACCTGGTCCCCTTAGGGAGGCATGGGGAGCAATGACCTATGGAAACCCCCGTGTGGTTAGAAGCATTCTATGTTTGCCATCGACCGGGTCAGGCACCCAGAAAGGTAAGCGTCCCAAAACAAACCCCTATTTTGGTGAAAATTGCTACCACAAGCCGAACAAGTGGATAGAACTTCCCTAAAAGAAACGAGCAAACGATCATGACGTCACACGTCACCGTGCCACTGTCTGCGCAGCTCCCCCCCCCCCTCCCAGGGAGGGGGAAAGGGAAGCCCCAGACCTACCGCGCCGGCTATCCACCATCAGTTCTTTGGCTGATGCTAGTAATTACCTAAGTGTAATTACCTAAGTGTAGTTACAGGATGAGAGCTATGCTCGTGGTGTCCCTTTGAAACGACTGACGGTCTTGGCCTCCACCACCTTCTCCCCTAACTTGTTCCAACCGTCTACCACTCTGTTTGCGAAAGTGAATTTTCTTATATTTCTTCGGCATCTGTGTTTAGCTAGTTTATATCTATGACCTCTTGTTCTTAAAGTTCCATGTCTCAGGAAATCTTCCCTATCGATTTTATCAATTCTTGTTACTATTTTGTATGTAGTGATCATATCACCTCTTTTTCTTCTGTCTTCTAGTTTTGGGATATTTAATGCCTCTAACCTCTCCTTGTAGCTCTTGCCCTTCAGTTCTGGGAGCCACTTAGTAGCATGTCTTTGCACCTTTTCCAGTTTGTTGATGTGCTTCTTAAGATATGGGCACCACACAACCGCTGCATATTCTAGCTTTGGCCTAACAAAAGTTGTGAACAATTTCTTTAGTATATCACCATCCATGTATTTAAAAGCAATTCTGAAGTTAGAAAGCGTGGCATAGGCTCCTCGCACAATATTCTTTATGTGGTCCTCAGGTGATAGTTTTCTATCTAGAAAACCTGTGTCGCATGGTGCGTGTGTACTTGTGTGCGTTGGTTTGTCTTCATTGCTCATACCCCTTGGTTCGGGTACTAGTCTGGTGGCAACCCTTTGCACCTTCTTCAGTTTGGTTTGTTGGGACAGGGCCTGCGACTTTGTGAGTTGGTCTTGTCCCTTTCGTTCCCGTTTTGCTGCATGCCTTCTTCGTTCATCATTATCTTGCTTCACTCTTGTCCCTGGCCGCTGGTGCTGTTCTTCTGGTCTTTTTCTTGTTTTCTCCTACACACTGTTGTGTGTTTTGTTTGTGCCTTTTGGCCTTCCTGTTGCCAGGTTTGGGTTCCTGTTTTCCTGGCTTGCCCTGCCTGTTGGCATTTTCAGGGTCTCACGGTGTTCCTTCTCTGGAATCTCGCGTCGGACCTGTAGTTTCCGATCTGGCGATCTCGCTCGTGTTGGGGAGTTTTTCTGTTAGGCAGATGTTCCATCTCCTTCCTTGCCGGCTTGGGTTCCGGCTCTGCTTCCTCGGTGGTCACACCCGAGATCTTCCAGCGGCTCTGCCTCTTCCTAGGCTCGGATGATCCTTGATGGGACTGGTTAGGTTCTGCCTTGAGTCTCTCACCTTTGATCAGTTGACTTCTTTGTTGGTGTCCCACCTGCGTACTTCTTCTTGGCAGCGGTATGAGGTATTTTGGCCGATCTTCCTTTTCCTTCTGTCCCTGTCCCTTCTTAGATATCTGCTTTGGTGGTGTCTGCTTGGCTTTTCTGGTGGGGGTTTCGGGGCCGTCATCTTGCCGCATACTGTCGCCTCATTTCGTGCGGCCCTGGCGGAGCCGCTTCGGCTTGCTTTCGGTCTTGGGGTTACGTCTGCGCCGTTCGTAAGCTGTCTCGTGTGTTGTTTCACCTTCGGCCTACTCATGCGCCGATTGAGTCGTCCTGGTCTCTGGACAGTGTGCTTTTTCTTCTCCTCGATTTGTTGTGACCCCCTTCGGTTCGGGTTTGTTTCTCGGGGGCTCTTTTCCTGTTGTCATTTGTCTCTTGGGGTTGGGTCGCTGAGCTTCTTACTCTCCTCCAGCGCAGGGGTTTCTGCTCCTTTGGTCGTCGCGATTGGTTTGTTCGGGTGCAGCTGTCTCCCTCTTTTCTGGCACGGGATGAGGCTGCTGCTTTCCGGAGGGGTCCTTGGTTTGTTGGTGCTTGGTTGGTCGGGCTGGGGTGTATCGTGTTTTGTGTTTGGATGCGGCCCTCCGCTGTTATTTGCGCGCCATGGCTTCTGTGTCCGGGACGAGCTTTGGGTTGATCCGGTTCGGTTCTTCCCTGTTCGCGGGTGAAGGTCTCCCGGGTCGTCAGCCGTGATATTGCGGCTAGCCAGCCTGTGTTCCTTCCCCATGCCCCTGGTGTTCGTGGATTCGCTTCTCTTGCTGCCGTCTTGGAGGCATGTCCTAGCTGACATTCAGGCATGGGGCTTTTGGTGGTCGTACAGGGGTCTGGCTGCTCGATGTCTCGTGTCCTTCACGGGCCCATTCGGGCCTGTGTCGCCTTGGGTTGGCGGTTGCAGCCAACTGTCTTGGCTTTGAGTTGGGGAGTGTGTGGCGACTGCCTCCCAGGTATATTCTCTTGTTTCTCTGTGGGTAGATAGCTCCAGGAGCTAAAGGGGCTTCCCCCCAGAAAACCAGCGTTGAATGTAATGAAACCCCATTTTCTGGGTGAGACCCGGAGGCTCCCCGGCATCCCTCCCTCCCTCTGGTCAGCGTTTTTTTGCGTGTTTGACATCCAGCCTCAGAACTGATGGTGAATAGCCGGCGCAGTAGGTCTGGGGGCTCCCCTTTCCCCCTCCTGGGGAGGGGGGAGCTGCGTAGACAGCGGTGTGGCGACGTGTGACGTCATGATCGTTTGCTCGTTGTTTTTAGGGGAGTTCTATCCACCTGTTCAGCTTGTGGTAGCAATTTTCACCAGAATAGGGGTTTGTTTTGGGATGCTTACCTTTCTGCGTGCCTGACCCGGTCGATGACAGACATAGAATACCACGCGGGGTTTCTATAGGCTACTGCTCCCTTTGCCTCTCTGAGGGGGGCCAGGTTCTGGCTCGTGGTCCCTGGTACTCCCATAGAACTCCATACACATGAATAATGCCAAAATCTGACATTAGCATATCAGCCTGGATAAGCTCCGGGGAGCCTCTGGGTCTCACCCAGAAAATGGTGTTTCATCACATTCAACGCTGATTTTTTCAAGATATAGTATTTTATGGACTTTTTCTGTTGTATAGCATGACTATTCATGCATGCTCTTCTCATACCATGATCCTGGCTAATTTTCTCATTTTTTTTTAATTCCCTATACTGTATATGCCAAAGTGTTGTGTTCACTTCTTTTACAAATCCTCTGTATTAAATCGTCACATGTCCAATTTTTGAACAGTTTGAATTTTAATATAAACTACAGTATTGTATACAAATGTAGTGGCTACATTATTGTATATAAATGTAGTGGCTACAGTATTGCTGAACCTGATAATCTTCTTCTTTATTGATTACAGATTTTTCATTAGAGGAAGGTTCTTGGTCATCATGGGCATGGTCCCTAGGGTCAGCTCTCCTTCCAGTTTACTGGGAGGATGAAGAAAATGCCGTCTCTGCCCACAGACACAGGCTTAATAAAACACTGCATATGGGCCTTTATGTGGAAACTGCCACTTGGACTTTCAAGGTATGCTGCTTGATTTTTTTTGGGGGGAGGGGGGGGAAGGAGAGGACTCATTTATTTATTTATTTATTTATTTATTTATTTATATATATATATATATATATATATATATATATATATATATATATATATATATATATATATATATATATATATATATATATATATATATATATATAAAACATAAAATACAAATTCTGTCCTGTAAAATTGACAAATGCTTATCACTGCCTTTCTTGCTTCTTGTGTTTTTAAATTAATTTTAAGGTGTTGATAATGTATGATTTCTCTTGGAGGTTCACATGAACACTTTACTATTTCCTAGTATTCATGGTTATGTCAGTTCAACTGTTGGGGACCTGTGAGGCTAAGGCAGTTCAAACGTTGGGGGTCTTGTAGGGATAAGTCAATTCAGTCATTGGGGTCATGTGGGGCTTTCTAGATTTTGTTACATATAATTTATGCAAAGTTATGGATTTGGTTAGGTACATTATAACACATTAGTAATAGTGAATAAGATAACCAAGCAACACACCAGAAGATGAGGAGATAACAACTTTCAGTCGGTCCTGGACCATTATCAAGTAAACGCTCTTAGTTGGTATAGATTGAAGTATTTAGTGTTAGTGGTAGACCCTAATTTTTGGAGACACCTGATCAACCAGGCTGTGATTCATACACCAGGCTGTGACTCATATGTCAGGCTGCGAGCAGTTGTATTGAACAGCCTGTTGACCAGACTACCAATTAGGAGGCCTGGTCAGAGACTGGGTCATGGGAACGTTGATCCTCCGAACCATCGACAGGTATATTGTTTAATCTCGTTAAAGGAATATCTGTGCTAATCTTGCTCTAGCAGCTCTCCTATCCTTGATGAATTTGGCTTGTGTAAAATAACCAGATACTTTGATTGCAGTCATATGTTAAAGACTCTTGTGTAAAACTATAGAAATGGTTTTGAAGGAGTTTGAGCTTGCTGACTTGGCTACTAGGGAGCTAGCTAGAGGCTAGAGGGAGCCGGTCGGCCAAGCGGACAGCACGCTGGACTTGTGATCCTGTGGTCCTGGTTTCGATCCCTGGTGCCAGCGAGAAACAATGGGCAGAGTTTCTTTCACCCTATGCCCCTGTTACCTAGCAGTAAATAGGTACCTGGGTGTTAGTCAGCTGTCACGAGCTGCTTCCTGGGGGTGGAGGCCTGGTCAAGGACCGGGCCGCGGGGACACTAAAAAGCCCCGAAATCATCTCAAGATAACCTCAAGATATGGCTTCAACAAGGCGTCACATATGACTTCTTCAAAGTGTGTGCATGTCCATCCCTCTCTGCTGACATGCAGGCTGTCTAAATGATATACACCCAATGTCCAAATCACTTACACATATTGTCTAAATTTTATTTTTAGTTAACAGAATCGGTGCAAGACAGCGGGTATTTTGGCCCAACCAAAATGCGATTCACCCCATTCATGCGAGTAGAGCACCAGGGAAGTTTTGTGACTGTTGTTATTCGAGGCCTTGAAGCGGTCAACGTGCAGCTCGGCATATCGTCTCTTATTGTAGACCCAGTGGGGCACTGCATATGTGGAATTGCAGATATACAAGAGGTGAGTGAAGTTTACTCTATATTAATTAGATATTTATTAATGAAACTGTTAACAGTACATTGTCAAAATACATGACAAATTCATGTACAATATTCTTAGATTAGTTCATGAAATGTGGAAAATACAAAGTCCATGTATCTAGTAATGAACACTTAATGTAAACTTACAAGTTTTAGAGATGTCTTCTTATTAACCCCTAAAATGTATTGTTGGATATTCATACACGTCGGACCATGTGCAAAAAACTACTAAAATTAATCAAATATATTTCCTTATTAAGTGATTACAGTAATTTGATTGCAAAATGTTAGGAAGATATGAAATAATGTAAACCATACATATATATATATATATTTATTTATTTATTTATTTATTTATTTATTTATTTATTTATTTATTTATTTATTTATTTATTTTAAAAAAGTTTGTGAGGGTATCACCTCTGGTGCCAATGTGGGGACCCATAGCCTCGGAGAAGAAAATAAAAAGTATTCAGAGAAGACCTTGTGGTTTCTCACTGAACACTAATATTATCTTCTCCTACCACCCCCTATTCTTTTGTATGTACACATAGATATTTGTTTTATTTGAACTTTGTTACAAAAAAGGAGTTACATATAGGGTACAAAGATGATTATCATACGTTGTCGAGTTCCTCCAGCTCCTCAGATGGCGGGCAGGAACCTTGAATGCAGTGTGTGTGTGTATATATATATATATATATATATATACAGGTATATATATATATTTATTTATTTATTTATTTATTTATTTATTTACTGGTTAGATGCGATATAGAAGGATAGTGGGTGATACTCCCTGTCCGATCTATCAACACCAGATCTCTCATCTTGCTGACATGGCAGCATGAGGCAGAGGACCTCAGTGTTGACCTGGATGTTTCTATGATCTTTTCTTCACTTTTTAATTCAGTCACTACAGTCTGTGTTAAATAACTTGAAGTATGTACATGTAATCCTGAGTAATATTATTTAATTATAACATTACTCGAGATTGGTGACTTGTACGGAGTGAAAATAGCATTGTGAATCTTGCGTGAAGAGAAGAGAGACAGAAATAGAGATGATATGCATACATGATATACACATTTCTTCTTCATAGGGCAACGTTTCAGCTGGCCAAGACCAAAGCATGGCAGTGAAAGTAATGTCATTCCTTAGTATTGGACAGGAGGGCCAGGAGTACCTCTCCCAGTCATTGTTTGATCCTCAAGTTCTGATGGAAGCTCAGGAGCTCTGGGAGTACTCGTATTCCTGGGACAAACATTTAAAAGATACCACAGGTTTGTGACGAATCTGTTATGATACTGTACTAGCAAAGAGTGTTACTTTTCTTGCAATTATATTAAATGAATTTTCAACATGTTCTTACAAGTATTTTAAAATTGTACATATTATCAATTTGTCCTTGATAGCATCTGTAGTTAGTACACATTAACCCTTTAACTGCGCCACCTCCAAATATGACCCCCATCCCCCCTTCAGTGTGCAGGAAATAAATTCTCTTGAAAAATTCTTTGTTTTCTGGGGGGAGCCCTGTCGGCTCCCCGGAGCTATCCAGGATGAATGGTTATGTATAACTTTCTGGCATCAGTCAAAGTGCTAGGAGTTCTTGCCTACCGGGGACCACGAGCCAGAACCTGGCCCCCTCAGAGAGGCATGAGGAGCAATGGCCTATAGAAACCCCTTTGTGGTTGGGAGCATTCTATGTCTGCCATTGACCGGGATAGGCACCCAGAAAGGTAGGCGCCCCAAAACAAACCCCTATTCTGGTAAAAATATTGCTACCTAAAGCCGAACGAGTGGACAGAACTCCCGAAACAAAATTATCTAACTAGCATGACGTCATCACGTCGCTGCCCCATCATCTGCGCAACCCCCCCCCCCTCCCCAGGAGGGGGAAGGGGGAGCCCCCGACCCTCCATGCCGGCGATCCAACTGGCAGTTCTTAGCTGATGAAATTACTGGCTGGTCGAGTGCCACTGGCTCCAGTTTTTGTTTCAGTTCTGTGCCTTGTGGTGTGGACTGTCTCTACCGGTGGGGTGTGAGCCAGGAGTAAGATTCCACGGTACTCGGGCTGCATGCGCCTAGGGCTATCTTCCCTAGGTGCCCTGTAAGTACTGCCCTTGGGGCTTGGGGGCCACCTTCCACAAGTCACCTTGGGTTCTACCTCCGCTGTGTCCTTTACTGTTTGGTACTGGGCCACCCTTGGAGTCAGCTGAGGTTTTGTTGCCTTGGTTTATCTCTGGGTAGGTGGTAGTTTTCGTTACTGGTAGGGGCGCGGGGTACAGCACAGCTAGTTTTCACCATAACAGCGGCCGGCTCTGTTCCGCCTGGGTACGTTGTCCTCTTGCAGGGTTTTTCTTTTGTTTTTGTTTTTGCCTGGTGGGGGGGGGTCTGCCTTTATGATCCCCCATTCCCGTTCTAGGTGATTTCTTTCGATTCTTTCTGTTGGTGGTACCCCTCGCTTGGCCTCCGTGAGTGGACAAGTCCCAGGGGTTCAGCTTTAGCAGTTTGTTGGTAGACTTGGGCGCCGGTTCGCGGTACCCTGCCTTAGAGTGTACCAACGGCTAAGGGCCCTGAAAAACCCCACGGGGGCTCCGTGGTCCTATAGGTGTGTCCCTGGAGTCCCTCTCGCGTCCGTGGCCCGGTCGACAACCGGGCCACTGGGACGCTAAGCCCCGGAATCACCCCAAGGTAAGGTACCCTTTTCACTCTTACGTTGCAATACTGTTCCGAAAAAAAAAATGTTTATTCAGGTAAGGTACATTCATACAAGGTGTGAAACACACGTTGATGGATTTATATATTGACCTAGTACATACAATGCCTAAACCACTTCGTATCGTTGTCCCTGCGTGTCCCTTGCTCAGGGGTGCTTGTCGTGGTTCTCGTTGGTTCGCGAGTTACTTTGTACCTTCCATTATTATTGGAACGTCTGTTGATTTTCGATGTGGTTTCCCTCTGGTCTTTTGTCGGCCTCGATGGTTACCTTCTGTCATCTGTTTTCTTTTGCTTCGTTTTCGCCTTGTTTTGTTTCCGCATCGTCTCTACTTCCATTTTCGGCGTTCTTCATCTTCGTTACGCACGCCTTCCTGGTGTTTGTACGATGTGTGTTTATGATGTGTCTGTACGTTGTGTGTGTACGATGTGTGTCTCGGTTTCCTCCTGTGTCCCCTTGTGCATACGACCATATGGACATAAGACCAGAGGAACTGCAGAGGGCCTATTGGCCCGTACGAGGCAGCTCCTATTTCTTACCACCCATTCCCACTCATATACATGTCCAACCGGCGTTTGCACAAATCATGGGGCCCCACCACCACGTTAGGCGGTAATTGGTTTCGTGAATCACCAAACCTGTTACCGTGACGGTCATTCCTCAGGTCTTTCCTGATTCTACTCTTATCCCTTTTATGCCCATTGTTTCGTGTCCAAAATGTGCTGCATGGGTGGTGTGTGCCTCGGTCCCAGTTCTATTGTTTCGTGAAGATTGGTGACAATAAATACAACCACTAAGAGGCTACATATGTTTTGTTGCGTATACAGTGGTATGTGGGTGATATTTTGGTGGACATTGGTGCGAGTTCAGTGCACTGAGAGTTGGTATGGTATCTCGCAAGTGTCTGTTCTAGACCACACTTGCAGGTCGAATAGTTATTATTTGCTACTCTGCTGCTTCTATGCTCGGGCAACACCTTGCCGTTCTCTAAAGGTTGGCGGGAATTTTAACTGGATTAATTTTAACTGCTCACACTCGCGAGTGTGAGCAGCCACACCCAGACAGGCCCCTCCCTCACTCCAACATCTTACTCACCAACATTGCTCCTCCCACCATACTGTTATTGTTTTTATTACACTATTTACAAATGTTATATATACCTGTCTACATGTTTTATTTACCAGAACTATGCAAGTAAGCCGGTATTGTGTCCAAACAGTACAGTGGCCACCATACACTGCATGAAAAATCACACAGCAGACAGCAGACGACACTACGATTACGACGTCCCCTCCCTCACCAAAATAGCTCCTCTCAACATACTCCTGTTGCTGTTATTACACTATACACACACACTGTATATACCCATGAACATGTGTGTTCCCCATAGCGAAACATGAAGCTAGTATGGTGAGCAAAACAAGAGTGATTGCCACACACACAGTGAGGCTACCTCAATTCTCTCCCTTCCTCACCATAAATTGACCACAAGTTTATTTTGAAAAGGAACCTAAGAAGCCGTTTGAAGATTCCTAGATGGACGAAATATATGCTGTGGTGCTGTGGCTAGTTCTGTGAACATCGTGAACAGCATTGAATCACTGATATTTGAACATTGTACCCAGTCATTATCACACTCAGGCTCTTCTATAATACTATCATGGCTAAATAATACAGGTTATATGTATATTTTTACATTATTAGGCGATGCTGTGGTCACACGCTGAACAGCTGAACAGCAGTGCTGTGCGCTCATGCTGCGAGCACCAACCTTGGTTGCTCACTCACTACTGAGGCTCTGACGTCTGGGAATGTGGACCATTTTTTTTTTTAAGATGGCGTCTGTTTACAAGAGCCCTGAGGAAGCTGATGTGACCCCGTGCAGCCGCGGCAGTTTTCAATGGAACGTGAAAAATACAAATACCTGGAGGCGCGTAGCGCACCCCAGATGTGGGCCTGCAGGCACGTTGCGCAGTTAAAGGGTTAAACCTAACTGGAGTTACAGTAGTTGGTATGCATTAACTTGTGAAGATTTCATGTTTCAAACCCAGCCAGGCTGTATTATCATTAATGTTGTTGTTGTTATATTGGTGATTATCATGCAACTACTGTATTGTTGTTTTGCTCCTCCCTCTTGGCAGTGTCATTGTTGCTATTGCTACTGTTACCACCATTACCAATACAGTGCCATCGTTGTCATCTCATGTGTCGTCATCAACATTGTTGTACTCTCTCATCATCAGTGTCATTATCACTATTCTCTTCCTTGTTGTTATTGTTGTTTCAGTTATCCAAAAGTGGATTATTCAAAAGTTTGGGGTTTGAAGGAAAATTGATTTGGATTATCTGGTATTATAATGAATCTCCTTGTGAGAGAGAGGAGCCCTAATAGAATATACTCTAAAATTAGGAAATATCAAAGGTGTCAAAGTATTTTTAACTTTTTTTTTTTTTTTTTTTTTTAGTGTTTTTGAGATATTTCATACTCAGTTATTCAATTTCATTTGTTACAACTTTTTCAGAGGCAAATATGTTAGCAAGAACAGGAGCAGTGGCAATGGACTACTTTTACTTCATGGATCTTCCAACAGATATAAACAGTGAAAAACTTTCAGAAATCAGCACTGATTTGGAATATAGGTAAAGGGGTTTACTGCACTACCCATCACTAGATATGAGTAGCCATACCTTATGGTTTTTTCTAGATTTAAATTTTTTATGTTTCTGCTGGATGATAATTGAGCAACTTGCTAGACAGTGTAGCCCCCAGTTGGCATTTTTAGAAATATTTTCTGGGGGGGAGCCCTTTCGGTTCCCCGGAGCTATCCAGGCTGATATTGCTAATGTCAGACTTTGGCATCAGTCATGTGTATGGAGTTCTTAAGCCTACCAGGGACCACGAGCCAGAACCTGGCCCCCTCAGACAGGCGTGAGGAACAATGCTTATAGAAACTCCCGTGTGGTTGGAAGCATTCTGTGTCTGCCATCGACCGAGTCAGGCACCCAGAATGGTAAGCGCCCCAAAACAAACCCCCTATTCTGGTGAAAATTGCTACAAAAGCCGAACTAGTGGACAGAACTCCCCAAACAGAAACGAGCAAACGAAAAAACATTGCCGCGCCGCTGTCTGCGCAGCTCCCCCCCCCCCTCCCTGGGTGGCTGGGTTGATCCGGTTTCCCTTCTTCCCTGTTTCAGGGTTCAGGTCTCCCAGGTCGTCCGCAGGGTTATTAGGTCTAGCCAGCCTGCGGTCTGTCCCAGTGCCCCCTGACGTTCGTAAGTTTGCTGCACTTGCTGTTTTTGGTAACATGTCTTGGGTTGACATTAGGGCGCGATGTTTTTGGAGGTCCAGCAGGGTCCTGGCTGTGCGTTACTTGGTGAATGTTCCTGGGCCTGGGCCTCGTCAAGCTTGTGTCACTTTGGGTTGGCGGATGCAGAAAGTTGTCTTGACTTTGTTTTGAGGAGTGAGCAGAGACCGCCTCCCGGGTAATTCCCTCTGGCTTTCATCTTTTGGTAGGTTGCTTCGGGGAGCGAAGCCAGAAAACCAGCGTTGAATGTAATGAAACGCCATTTTCTGCGTGAGACCCTGAGGCTCGCCGGCAACCCTCCCTTTCCCCATTTGGCAGTTTTTCGCATGTTTTGATGTTCAGCCAAAGAACTGAGGTGTGGATTGCCAGTGTGGGGGTCTGGGGCTCCCCTTTCTCCTTCCTGGGCAGGGGGGGGAGCTGCGCAGACAGCGGCAATGTGTGACGTCATGCTCATATGCTCGTTTCTGTTTGGGGAGTTCAGTCCACTAGTTCGGCTTTTGTAGCAATTTTCACCAGAATAGGGGTTTGTTTGGGGCGCTTACCTTTGTGGGTGCCTGACCCGGTCGATGGCAGACATAGAATGCTTCCAACCACACGGGGGTTTCTATAGGCCATTGCTCCTCGTGCCTCTCTGAGGGGGTGAGGTTCTGGCTCGTGGTCCCCGGTAGGCCTTAAGAACTCCATACACATGACTGATGCCAAAGTCTGACATTAGCATATCAGCCTGGATGGCTCCGGGAAGCCTCTGAGTCTCACCCAGAAAATGGCATTTCATTACATTCAACATTGGTTTTTTTATATGTCCTTAAAACTAATGCCATTTTGCAATATGTTTTAATATACCAGTACAGTACATTTGCATTATTGCCAATTAATGGGCTGAATATAATTTTAGTGCAGTAATTTAATTTTCTGGCACTCAGTTGTCCCTAGTACCTCTGTCTTTTTGTCCCAACTCTCCTCTTCTCACTTTTGGGTCGGGCATCATATGGGGAGCTGTGAGTCTTGGAACCTTCAGATGCATCGTGATTCTGTTTATGGACACAGCTGGGCTTACACCCCCATAAGGCATCCCAATAATTCTGGTTCAGAAAGTGTTTTTTATATGCTGTGGACTCAAAATCTTATTTAGTTGCAGAGTGATATTAATAATGTTCATCATCCACAGCAATATGAGTGAACGTGCATTGTGCCGCATAGCATTTGGGGCGTCCGAGACAAACTTGTCCTCTGGGTTTTACCATAGAGTTGAAGCTGTAATATATGCTCTTTGTCAGCATGATTATCCCCCATACTTCACTCCATCTAATTGTAAGTGTTTACCACTAAAGGAAGTAATTTCCATACCAAGTCCTTACTGGAGCTTGTGGTTCAATAGAAACCATGTGTTGGTTTTCTCAAAGGTTCTTTTCTGGGGGGAAGAGCCCCTTTGGCTCCTCGGAGCTATCCGGTTGATTCAAATGTATAAGCTTTGGGCATCAGTCAATGTACATGGAGTTCTAGGCCTACTGGGGACCACGAGCCACAACCTGGCCCCCCTCAGAGAGGAGCGAGGAGCAGTGGCCTATAGAGACACCCTGTATATGTTTTAGAAGTACTCTATGTCTGCTATCGACCTGGTTGGGTACCCAGAAAGATAGGCACCCCAAAACACCCCCTATTCTGGTGAAGAAATGGTACTAAATGCCGAACAAGAGGATAGAACTCTCCATGAAGAAAAACGATCAAACAAGCACGACATCATCTCATTACCAATTTGCCGCTGTCTGCACAACCCCTCCCACCTCCTCGGGAGGGGGAGCCCAACACCCCTCACCGGCTACCCGAGCCTTTCAGTTCTTGGCTGATGTCGGTGGGTTTCGGTCAAGTACCTCCAGCTTTTCTTCTCTGTTCTTGCTTCGGTGGTAATTACCTAAGTGTAGTTACAGGATGAGACCTACGCTCGTGGTGTCCCGTCTTCCCAGCACTCTTTGTCATATAATGCTTTGAAACTACTGACGGTCTTGGCCTCCACCACCTTCTCACCTAACTTGTTCCAACCGTCTACCACTCTGTTTGCGAAAGTGAATTTTCTTATATATCTTCAACAGATTGACTGATGCCCAAAGCTTATACATCCGTATCAGCTGGATAGCTCCGGGAAGCCTCCAGATCTCACCCAGAAAATGGTGTTTTATTACATTCAACGCTCGTTTTTTAAATTGTGTTTGTTGTAATGCTGTGAAATGTGTTAAGCACTGTTGTGTCTAGTAAGCAATTAGTAATGAGTGATTATTGATTAGGTCAAGTCAATTTACTTGAATGTATGCAAGCTTGAATATTTGTAGTAATAGGTCATTGATAGCACTATTATTTATTGAAGACTAAATATAGTTGCAAGGCAAGAGATGGAAATAATAATACAAGCTGATTGATTAGGGAAAAATATTATACATTTTAGAAATAAATATTATTATAAGATTTTAATTTTTATATAAAAAAAAGCTTGAATTGCCTTCGGTCATTACGTACGTGCATTTCTGTTCCTGCATTTGTAAATCATAAAAGCTTCTCATTATGTTCACGTCATGTATGCATTTCACTTCAGATGATCCCCCAGCAAATCTAATGAGTCCTACTGAGGATGAAATTGGTGCACTTGAAGCCAACACTCCCATTCGCTCTTACATTTTCACGGTGATGGAGCCCACGGTAGTGCTGCACGCTGCCCAGCATGCTCACATTAACATGAAAACCATCTTCAGTGCTAAACGTAGAAAGGTAAAATATGACCAGTGTGAAAAAAAATATTAATAGCTGTACAGTATCCACTCAATTTAACGGCCTCTTTTATACCAATCTGCCGGTAATAACGACCGGTTTGGGAGACTGGTATTTAGAGCCACATATAACGGTCTGGCGTTCGATATTACCGAAGGTCGGTATTGGGTTTGTGTTGGCATCAGAGGGTCCTCGCATGGCAAGCAGGCCACCTACCCCTTTCATCCCCTCCCTCACCCTCACTTTGTGTCCCCCCCCCCCCCCAAGACCCTTCTGGGAAATGGCTCAGTAGACCGCCAGCCAGCCAGAGACAGCCCGGAGAATCTCCATCTAATAAAGCATTCATGAAACAAGTATTTTATAACTTTTTATTATCCTAATAATATTACTAAACAAAATCTGTAAGCAAATATATATATGATGTACATCCAGAATTTAATTTTAAAATAAATTTAATAATACTCTCCTTTACTTTAATCACTTGATAGTGAGTGTTTTCTTGAATGCTCTTTGTTTTAAATATAATATTGTAAATTAATTTTCTTTAATGATTTTATTTTTTAAATATCAAATATGCAGATTTGATATCCAGTGGTGCTAAATATTGCTGCAAAAAGATAGCAAATTGTGCACTGATAGGGACATAAATTATGTGATTGTGAGGTCCAGAATTTATATCAGATTTAATACGGATATTCTAGCATAATCATATTTTATTAGTGGCAATAACTGGATTACCTGTTTATTTCTATTCCCCAGAAAAATCAGAAAGCAAGTGCTGAGCTGTGTATGGCGCGGGTCCTGCCAGTTCCCAGTGTGCGGGTGAAGCTGTCCCGTTTAGATGTGGAGTGGACAAAGCCCATGTATGCTAAAAGACTAGTATCTGCAGCATGCATGCTACGCCCACCCTCTCCAGCTATGCTACATAACTGCCATTCACATTTAACATTCACTGTATGTATCAGTTTAAGAGTTATTTAGGATGGTTGGGGGTCATTTAAAAATTCCTTATCTATGCTAGTTTTCTCATAATTTACATTAAAATGTCCACTGTTGTTGCAGATAGTACAGTAGTGTTGCTTTGGGAATAGAGTTAAGAGTCTATGAAATGTTCAGATTTGTAAATTAAATTCATATATTATTTCTGAGCTTAAACCACCTGTCACTTCTTTTGGCAGTGTCCAGCTTCTCCCAAGATATAGCCTAAATCCAGTCTAGCTGGTGCGAATTTCTATCTACTATTCAGTGAAGATATTATGAAGTCACCCTCGCCAGACTGAGTGGGACAAGGGAGACAATAGAGAAAAACCTCTTAAGAGGAATCATTCATCTACTCTCAGAATACCTCCTTCAAGCAATACTTAGAATCAAAGAGACTGTTAGCACTAGATGTTACAATCCGCTTTGTCATGAGAGGAAGCCTTGAGAATCAATCATATGTACTCCAGGGTCCTCCCTATCTACATCTGGCCAGTGTGAGATCAATTTTAAGTTAAGTTCTTAGTGTTCATCCTGAGAATTTGTCTCTTGCCCAGTTGGTGTGTAATATTAGGTGGATGCTTGCTTGTGCTTATTTAAATTAGCTCTAGCCTGCTTCATTCGTATGACCCATTGGTCTTGCAGATACTGTAGTACGTTAATTCCTTTCTGTCAGGGGGGGGGGGGGTTGACAGTGTTAGGGGTCAACCTAACATTGACACCTTTTTGAATACCAATGCTTGGTATTCAAAAAACACGTCTTGCAACCAGGTCTCTTCTTCAGGCTGTGCTCTTTGGTGGAGGTCCTTGGATCAGTTCTAAAAGTAGATGTTGGAGCTGGTTTGTATAGTGGATTGACACGCTAAAATGGGGACTTTTGAGGTTGTTCATAATTGAGTACCCCTATACTCCATTATGTGCCAGGCATGTAGGTCAAATTAGCATCAAGATTCTTGCTTAAATGAGTGGGCTGAATGGTATCGGGTAAACAATAAAGCTTTGAGTGTAGATATTAAACTGGTTTCTGACCATGTCACTCAGTTGCTCCCATGTTTTCCCTGCTAAATTTACTTGTGCAGGGAAGCAACGCAGTGTGATTCCTTCCCGAGTTTCGGACAAGGAACTCGGCAGTCATACTGTAGAATTGATCCTATGAAGTATGATCATTTACCATCATGATCATTTATTATAAATTTACTTGTGACTTTGCTGCACCTGTGCTGGGTCAAGTGGGAATGAAAGTGAGTTGGTTTGGAAGGTAGCCTTTTTCTCCTTGCAGGTTGTGACATCTAGTGGCAGGTTAGGTTTGCAACCAAAATTGCTAGAGAAGGTATTTTCAGTGTACATGAATGAGCCTTCTAGAGGTCATGCTGGACTGGGTTGAAAACTTAGTTTTTCAACTTGGAAAGAGCAGATTAACAAGACGTTCACTATGTCAGGGATGAAAATGAAGTCTGTAACCATGCTGGGTCTGTGATATGTCCTGGGAAGAGACGGACACTGCCTAAGGCAGCACACAAGTGGCTTGTTCAGAAGGGAACATTTTGTTTACTTTCAAAGCCTTCATTTGTCCCCTTTCAGCAAAGTTTCCAAATTTTTCTGTCAGTCAACTAATGATTTTACATAAGAGGCACACAGATGTGTAAAGAAATACACAGGAGAAGGGAATATCAGGAGAAAGTGTCAGCCATCATGACTATATAGTATATATACAATATACTTTATGTATACTGAATCAATTTCTGACCCTTTGATGCTTGAGAATTTTATTATTATGATTTATGCTCCTAAAAACTTTTAACTTTTTAAAGCACTGTACTTACTTTTATTTTTGTCAATAATGTATTGTTAAAAATATATGCATATATGTATGTGTAATTCCCTAAGTATAATAAGGTAATTACACTTAGTGTGTGTATGTATGTACTGTATATATGTATGTATATATTTTCTAAACAATAAGGTATATTTTCTATGAGATAATGTAAATTTTGTCAATATCTTCCACAGGCCCACAATTTGTGCTTTGGTTTACAGTACCAGAGCAATGTAGTGGCCCTTCTACAGGGCTTCTCACCTTCGCTCTACTGTAAGAGTCTTCTGCTGCCCTTGTACTGGGCATCACCACATCAACCTAGAGATGAATACTTCTTCCAAGCTGGTTAGTGGTAACTTTCCTTACATTCTGTGACTGCTGTTTTGGGCAGCAGTACATTCTATTATACTTTATGTAATCATTGGGACTGATTGCAAAGTTATGTGCAGCCTGCATATTTAGTTAAATATGACTTACTTTAATCTGGGAGACTTACCATAGATTTGGGGTTTGGTGAGCCATATTTATAACATTTGAATATATGTGTTTATGCATGAACCCCCCTTCCCCCTCCCTCTTCCACTGACTGTGGATTTTACAGTATACATTTGTTACTATGTTATCTTCCATTAGATTCTGTTGGTGCAGAAATCAGTGCCCCTCAACTGCAGCTGTTGTATTGGTTGTTGTCATCATGGTGTGAGCCATATCCACAGCCAGAGCAGCTTCATCACTATACCCTGGTTGATGATGCCCTTTCTTCTAGGAGTAAGTTCATAAGCAGACGATGAGTCACAATAATGTGGCTGAAGATATGAACACTAAACCACACACCAGAAGATGAGATGACGTTTCGGTCCGTCCTGGAACATTATCAAGTCGAAACAACATCGTCTTCTTATCTTCTGGTTTGTGGTTTAGTGTTCGTAAGTTCATAAGTTTAGTCATTACATAATAATGCACAATTTGTAGTTGAAAATTTAAAAGATTTTTCTGGGGGGATCCGCTACGGCTCCCTGGAGCTATCAAGGCTGATTTGCTAATGTCAGACTTTGGCGTCAGTCATGTGTATGGATTTCTTTGGGCCTACTGGGGACCATGGCTAGAAATGACACCCTCAGAGAGGCAAGGGCAGCAATGGCCTATAGAACCCCCCGTGTGGTTGGAAGCATTCTATGTCTGTCATCGACCGGGTCAGGCACCCAGAAAGGTAAGCATCCCAAAACAAACCCCTATTATGGTGAAAATATTGCTAGCAAAAGCTGAACAAGTGGATAGAACTCCCCAAACAAAAACGAGCAAACTAGTGTGACGTCACCCGTTGCCGCGCCGCTGCCTGCGCAGCTCCCCCCTCCCCAGGAGGGGGTAGGGGGAGCCCCAGACCTACCGCGCCAGCGATCCACACCCCAGTTCTTGAGGCTGATGCAATAGGCAGCTGTTGTGTGCTCCGGCTCCAGACTTTTACAACGCTGTGCCTTGTGTGTGGCAGCTGTTCTCCAGGAGTGCGAGAGCCAGGAGTTACTCTTCAGTACTCGGGCTGCATGCACCTACGGTTCCCTTCCCTAGGTGCCCTGTAAGTACTGCCCCCTAAGCTTGGTACTGTAAGTACCAAGCTTAGGTGCCTTAAGAACTTCATACACATGACTGATGCCAAAGTCTGACATTAGCATATCAGCCTGGATAGCTCCGGGGAGTCTCCGGGTCTCGCCCAGATAATGGTGTTTCATTACATTAAACGCAGGTTTTATTCTAGTCATACAGTCAGATAAATAAAACAAGAGATCATAGATTCAGTCTAAGAAATCAAAGATGCTGATAAAATATTAGGAAGTTCTCTTGTGTAAGCAGAGTGGTAGATGGAGCAAGTTATGCGAGAAGGTTGTGGATGCCTAACACACGAGTAGTTTCAAAGCATCATGTGACAAAGAGTACTGGGAAGACAGAACAACATGAGTGTAGCTCTAGTTCCAAACCGTTCTCTTGAATAATACATCGCATTTTGACATATAAATCCACTAAGGCCAAAAACAGATGAACTAAAAATCATTGTGGCTCACAATTTTTACTTGTCCCGTTTTCTATTTGTGGGTCCTCGGTTAGGTTAGGTTCAGGCAATTTAGCACATAAGTTTAGTGATGATGTGAACACTTGAGAGGATGGGCTACTCATTCTGTAACTACACTTAGGTAATTTCACAAAATAGTAACAGGAATTGACACAGTTGACAAGAAGGAGTTTGTGAAACCTGCAACTTCAAAAGCAAGAGGCTATAGATTCAAGCTAAAAAAACAAAGGTGCCAAAAAAATATATGAAAGTTCTCTCTTTTGTGAATAAAGTTTCAGACTATTGGAACAATTAAAGCAAGAAGGTGGTGGATGCCAAAATACCATTTGCAGTTTCAGAACGTCCTATGACATTATAGGGAAGACAGGGCACAATGAGCATAGCTCTCATCCTGTAACTACTCTTAGGTAATTACATAAACACACACACACACACACTGTATTGTATATACATACATCTTATGCATGCAATTTTTTCCAGGATTGCCAGTAGTAGCAGTGAAGATTTACCATGTGGAAGCCAAATCCTGTGATACACCATCTCTGCGCGGGGCCATGGCAACTGTTGGGAGCATTACACTGAGCTTACGTAGACCTCAAGGTGATCTCCTTTGTCTCCTTCTCTCGGGTCCAGAAGATAAGACAGGTCTAGAGGTCCTGCTTCCAGAGACATTGTCAGTGTCTGATAAGTTGATCAAAGTTGCTCTCCAGTTACCAAAAGATAATTGTGATGAAAGTGTTCCCAGTATCTTTACTATTGGCATGAAAAAAATTGCATTTTTATTTGATCCTCAGCTCATTCAGTGGCTTAAATATTCCCCAAGAAAGATTGATTCAGATATTCTGACAGATTTGGTGTTTTTAAAAAAGATATCTGAAGTTCGAGGTATAGTGAAGTCTCAAAGAAAAGCATCGGAAAGCGAATCTGAAGCAACGAAGGTCGAGTCATCAACCTGTACGCTGTCTGAAGCCAAGACAGGAAGCCGAGGTGGGATTCACTCAACTCAGGAATCTGAAGTGGATCAGTCAAAATCCTGGAAAGAAAAATTTGTAGCTTGGTATCCTATTCTCAGCAGACTGTTGATCCATGTAGACTTGGACACTGCTACTATCTTCTTTTCTTCATCCCAGCTGAACATTGCATCAGAGTCGGGGCTGGTGAACGCTGTCCACCGTACATACCTGACCCGAAGTGAGAGAGCAACCCTGGGAGACACACTGGTATTATGCCTACCTCATCTTGTTCTCCATAATGCTGCACAGAAGCAAAGTCTTCTGCACAATGTTCATGATGTTCCTGTTATTTTGCCTGGGGAGATTTGGGCAACAGGTACAGTTAAAATACATTTAATTCCCTCGCTCTGCTTGAGTGCTCTTTATTTATATCTGACCTACATTATTGCATCAATCACAGACCAGATTGGAAACTTTCTCTAACATCCCATATTTAATTGAACTAAGCTATATTGGATTGGGAATCCAATGCAGTTTAAGAATTTCACTATGAATAATGTGCCATTTTTATTTATAATTATGGTGTATGCTTTCATTTAATTTTTATTTTGATTTCTACTGAAACCAGAGCGAGATAAATTGCCATGGTCATTGAATTTAGGAGGGTTCAGCATGTACAGTCTACAAGGTAGAGGTCAGCATGTGAAACTGCCAGTTCTTAAGCCTGTCAACACTACAGCCACTCTAGCCATCACTACTAAGTACCAGGTGAGATAACTTTCATTTTGGTATATACGTTTTCTCTGTTAATAATGCTTTCTGTTGCTGTCATAAGTTACATAGTTGATGACATATAATTGAGATGGGGCCTCGTGGCGCGGGTTCGATTCCCGCACGAGGCAGAAACAAATGGGCAAAGTTTCTTTCACCCTGAATGCCCCTGTTACCTAGCAGTAAATAGGTACCTGGGAGTTAGTCAGCTGTCACGGGCTGCTTCCTGGGGGTGGAGGCCTGGTCGAGGACCGGGCCGCGGGGACACTAAAGCCCCGAAATCATCTCAAGATAACCTCAAGATGAGCACTAAATGATTGTATGTCTCAACATTGAATGACTACCCTTTTCAGTACTGAATGAAGACACCCATTAGAGTGCTTAATGACTCTGTCCCAGGGGTGAATGACACTAGGCCCAGTGTTAAATAGTTGCCCATCCTAGCATGATTGAACATTCTGTATTAGTGTTGGCTATTTGTTCCAGCAGTGAATGACTATCTAATTTATTACTGATTGGTATTCCATCCCAGTTTAAAAGATCATCTGTCTTATAACTAAATGACTACCTACCTCAGCAAACAGTCATTGAAGAATACAAAGGCAAAAGCAGTAAAGTCCTTCCTACTTAGCTTGTGCCATGCAAGTCAAACACACGACAAGTAGTTGTTGTTGTAATGAGCATTGTCACACCACGAAAAATGTTCACTTTGAGTTGATTCTGCATGAGTGTACTGTAATTATACAGCTATGATTAGCCAAACCCAAGAAATACTACAACTGGCATGATAGTAGAAACAGACAAAGTTGAGATTATTAGCATTTTGTAATACTGTACTGTATGTCCTAAATAGAACATAATTAATTATTGATTATTGCATCCTTAGGGTCCATCTCTCAACCAGCTGGGGTTGGTGATTCACACGGACATGTCACCCCTGGACTTCTGCGGCAGTCGCTGTCAAGTTGTCGGTCATGTTGCAATAGTAGAGAATGTACTTGGCCTTGCATTGCATTTCATTAAAACACCAGCTGAGTCTGTAAGTTGAGCCTAAAAATATTTGATGCCATTATATGTAGTAAAGATATTTAAAGAGTGACAGAGTGGGAGTGTGTGTGGTGTGCATGTAGAGTAAAACCACCATGAAATCTGTAAGAAAGTTATTGTAATTTAAGTGGTAATAAAGATATTTTTATTGAAGTTTTGGACAAACCTTTGACATGACTTAAAAGAAGAAATGCTTATCATAAAATAACATCATAGTCTGGTCTGTGGTTGCAATATTTGTCGAGACATTTAACAAAATGTGGTTTCCCTCTGTCGGAAACTAGAAACATGTTAGGCTTAGTGAGGTTCTCCTAGGGCTACTACTGACATCGAGGATTCAACCTCAATTGTTGTCAAACTCCCGGGTACCTGTTTACTGCTAGGTGAATTGAAGCATCAGGTAATTGAAAACGTGTCCAAATGTCTCTTACCTTGCCACATGAATCCAATCTGGGATCTTTCAATTATGAATTGACAGCACTGACCATTGTGCTGCAGTACCCTGAAGTATTGCTGCATGCTAAGAGATCAGTCAGCTTTTAAAAGAGTTATACCAGTATAAACATGTACTGTATACTGTATAGTATTGTGTTTACAATATACGTAGGATGATGAGCATCCACAGGGGACTACTTGTAATGGATATCTTTGAACCTGTAATATTCCCTAAAATGTTGAGTGTGTTTGGGAGCCTACTTACTGCTTAGAACATGGTAGACCCATGGATTAGCATGAATTATCCTTCTAATCCATGTTTAATCTATTTTCAACCCACATAACTCCAAAATTTGTCCATGCTCTTTCAAACATGGTAAAAATGTGCTTACTCACATAACTTCACGTCTGAATAATCCGGTTCTTCATAAATTGTGGTCCACCTGTATACTGGTGGGCCAGTATACAGGTAGAATACTATAATACCTGGAACTATGCAGGTGCGTAGTTCACTTAAATTATGAAGCAAGAAATTGTGATGAGTGAAATATCTCTGTATCAGAAAGTGAGGAGTGACCATGAACAAGGTGATGAGCCATTGGTGCTCTCTGGACATGCAGTAGTGTGTACAGTGGAACCTCAAGTGACGAACGACTCCAGTTACGAGCATTTCAAGTAACGAGCGAGCCACTCGCAGAAAATTTGTCACGATTAACGAGCAAACCACATGGTGCTTCTTAGCATTCTCGCTGGTTATCGGACGCCTTCGACGACAGTGTTGTTGTTGTTTCACATGACGAGCTCGGTGCTGGAACGGATTAAATTCGTTAATTGAGGCACCACTGTACATTATTATAAGGGAAGCCATGGATATAGCAATGTATACTGTAAATAAAATACAAATCTAATTGAAATTGGTCTTGAAATTAAAATATTTTAATATTTCATTACATATTTATACAGTTCTTCTTTAAGTACTGTATAAATATTAATGTTATACACTAAAATATCCTTGCACTTAAATGTACTATATAGTACTAGTAGTGTACTGTACTCTGAAAATACTGAAGTTGGCATTGTGGTATACAGTTTGTGACTACATGTGCTTACATGTACACATGGTTACATATGCACATCATTATTTACAAATACAGTACAGCACATAATTCATCGAGAAAGAAATGTACATTGATACCTTCACTTACGATTCTAATCCGTTACCAGAGACGCGTCGTACACCAACAAATCGTAAACCCAAACAAATTTTTGCCAAAGAAATAATGTAAATTTAATCCATTCCACACACCCCAAAATATTAACTTATGTGGGGGTTTTCCTTTTTTGCTTTCCTGACTGCAATCGAAAAGACGCTGAGTTTAACTTGACGGTGAGGAATGGACGGTGTTCAGTCTATTGCCCGATAGACAGAACAGGACACGTCCTCTGTGTAAGGACTCCTTCACGAGAATGCTCTTCAAGAGGCTGCCAGGCAACTCGTGGGACACACACAAAAGAGTTACAATTTGACCAATAACATTGCAGCAAATGAGTGGGAACCAATCATATTGAATGTTTCCTGATCAGTAGCAGAGGTGACGTCATGAACACGTCACAACCACGTCACAGCTGTTATTCTCCATCGCGCCGGTTGAAGTTGACCTCAGGGTCAGACTGTCGCCTCGCAGGCGTCCCCTCTACTCTCTCATGCTTCGCACCGGTCAATGTACTCGCTGAAAATGAATACCAGTATATACGTGACGTATACCTCTATTGCTAAGCATACTTGTGGCAAGTATGCTTAACTTCCCTGTATCTACTTCCTGCCTGGACATATGGCGGCCTCCGTATTATAAACGTATTCCTGGTTAAGTGGGCATTCTGGAGATACCCAACATGCCAGTTTATTATCCAGGGTTAACAGAGATAGGGCTTGTGCACGAAAGATCGGTGCACTGTGCACTGCAATGAGCCAGTCAAGTCAGCTGTGGGAGAATCTTGAGAGACATACTCTCACAACTTAAAAATACATTTATACTGAACACCATTCATATTTTGTACTACAGTACAGTATCTCTTACCTTTATTGAGGACTCTTCTTGGCGTATAGAAGACGGTGAGGAGGGGATGGAGGAGGAGAGGTATTAGTGTTTGGAAAGGAAGTCCCCTTCCATTATAACATAAGGCAGTGATCACATTTCTGGGGTACTCTCTTCCTACATTTTGCAGGCATACCACTAGGACCTGGTTGTGGCTCACTGCTTACTTGTCTTACTAATAATCTGTTTATACACTTGTTTTTCCCTACATTTTAACACTTGTCTGTAGTGAGACATCACATTGTCATTAAAATGGTTAATGCAACGGCCTGCTACAGTTTTATCTGGGTGACACTTTTCAGCAAACTTTGCAGTTTTTCCCAATACTGCACACATTTTCTTAATGAGGAAGGGACGTTCTTTACTGCCTCCTCCTTCCCTGAAGAAATGTTCTCAGTTGTCTCTTGTTGCTGTTCCTTGTGAAGGGCTGCGAGTTTGTCAGTGGTCAGTTCTTCACTATGTTCCTCCACCAACTCCTCCACATCAGCACCATCCAGCCAGCTAGTTCAACAATCCTCATACCATTTTCATGTTTACGAGTGATCTCTTGTTTTCCCTCTATTGTCATCCTCACAACTATTTTCTTAGGTTGAACTTTACCACTGACTTTCCTGGGACCAATAGTTTGATATATAATGAGAACTTTTATGTTCAGAAACCATAAAAAAGCAGAAAAAATGACATTCTTTACAAAGAATTCAAGTACGGTCGCGATCGTCACTTTGCGGGATACACTGGTAAACAACTGAGCATGCCTTGCTCCCAGCACCATGCGCTCGTTCGACCCATACACGTATCAACAGATGTCGTATTCCAAGGAAAATGTCCTTCACCAATTCAAATTTTACGATGAATTTGACGTATACCAAAAAAGTTGTACTATAGGACAGTTGTAAACCAAGGTACCACTGTACTTCATTTATTGTCACATGTCTATAATTTTTGTTCTGAGTTTCATCAAAAAGGAGTTAATGTATAATATATTTAAATATTGAAACATTTAAAACATTTGTGTACAGTACATTTGTTTACAGTACAGTACATGTAAAAATCTGTAAACTTTTTTTTTTTCGATTTTTCATGCAGCAGCCATGTTCAATGACTTCAACACCGGTGCCTCAGCAGCCAATACTGGAAGCTTCTTCACAGCCGACCACTCAACCCCCTCATCACCAGCTCCCATCACCCCCGCCACCCCCACCACCTCCACCGCCACCGCAACCGACTCAATCTTATCTGCAACAAACGACTCCCAAACCCCTGCATCGTAGTGGTTCAGACCCAAACACTTTGCTAGTGACTGAAGGCGAGGACATGGAGGAAGAGAGGGGTATGCTTGCTTATCTCCTTGTGTATTGGGTTAATTCAAAGTTGTTTTAAACCAGTTCTCATTGGTGATAGTCAACATACAGTATATTCCATACCAAATATACATTTGCCACAATAATGGTGTACAGTATTAGTGTAACTTAGGATTCAACAAGTGTGTAGAGGCAGTATAATTGAACAGCTGAGACAATTGGAGCAATGAGGTGACTTAAATCAGCGATCAGGGTACTCTCAGCCATGCTCCTTACCCTTGTACTATGACATGGTATAAGTTATAGAACCGGGGGTTCCACTAAATCCATGGGACGTCTGGAGGTCCCTAATGAAGTCAATCCAATTTTAACCTATAACCAACATGCACTCTGGTGTAGGTAAAGTTGTTCATTAACTGTATGCTCCAGCTTCACATATACAAAGAAATCACACTACAGTAATGTGATACATAATTAATTGTGTATTAATTTAATTAATACACAATTAATTGGGACATAATTGGCAAACCCCTCACAGTGTTCAAGAGAGAACTGGATAAGCACCTCCAAAGGATACCTGATCAACCAGGCTGTGACTCATACGTCAGGCTGCGAGCAGCCGCGTCTAACAGCCTGGTTGATCAGTCCAGCAACCAGGAGGCCTGGTCGACGACCGGGCCGCGGGGACACTAAGCCCCGGAAGCACCTCAAGGTAGCCTCAAGGTAGGTACATGTCAATGTGATATATTTCACTTTAGTGTGATTTCTTTGTGTATTGGAAGCTGGAGAGAACAGTTGATGAATTATTTTACCTACACCAGAGTGCATGGGGTTATAGGTAAAACTTGGACTGTCCTGATTAGAAGCCTCCAGGCTTCCTGTGGATTTGGTGGAAGCCCAGGTTGTGTAACTTATGCCATGTCGTGGTACAGGGGTAAGATGCATGGCTGGGAGTACTCTCATTGCTCCAGTTGGTCTTCTCATTGATATATATATATATATATATATATATATATATATATATATATATATATATATATATATATATATATATATATATATATATATATATATATATATATATATATATATCACATTAGTGTGATTTCTTTGTGTAATAGAATAAATGATTGCAGTGCTATAATAATATATTGATATTACTCAAGGTTTTCAAATCACATCAGTATCTGTATTGTGATACTTTGTAGTAATTAATTATTGAAATTGGTTTAGCAGCTCATAGCAGTACCGACTTGTTACAGTTCAGGTTGTTAGTGAAGCTGAAGCTCAGTCCAGCTCTGGGCCAATAGTTACTGCTTGGGTTCAGTGGACAGTGGCTCGTGTATCAGCTTCTCTCTATGCCAAAGATGGTAACGAACTAAGAAAATTGCGGGCAGAGATGGAAGATTTGACAGCAGCACTTGACCTCCATCAAGTCTACTCCAAGGTTAAGCTTAAGGTCACTGCTGTCAGTGTGCTGCACTTTACTAAAAGGTAAGACTCATCTATATCTTGATCAGTATTATAAGGAGTCCCTTGGCAGCATGCATGTTGATAAAATTAAAATTTGTTTTCTAGAGTGAGGAATGAATTTATTGCTAAATTATACACTGTACAGTGCTTATATTTACATTCTTAGATTCTTCTGAGGGGCATTGCTGATATTTTGCAACATTTTGTGAGAGTTAAGAAGAGTTATGAAGGAGGGAGTGGGAGGGGGGATTTTTTTCTCTGTCCCTTTTGATGAACTGTTAACAGTATATTTTCTGGGGGGAGCCCCGTCGGCTCCCCGGAGCTATCCAGGCTGAATGGATATGTATAACTTTCTGGCATCAGTCAAAATGCTTGAAGTTCTTGCCTACCGGGGACCATGAGCCAGAACCTGGCCCCCTCAGAGAGGCACTAGGAGCAATGGCCTATAGAAACCTCCTTGTGGTTGGAAGCATTCTACGTCTGCCATCGACTGGGACAGGCACCCAGAACAGTAAGTGCCCCTAAACAAACCCCTATTCTGTTAAAAATATTGCTACCGAAAGCTGAACGAGTAAACAAAACTCCCCAAACAAAATTATCAAACTAGCATGACGTCATCACGTCGCAGCGCCGCCATCTGTGCGCAACCCCCCCCCCCCCCTCCCCAGGAGGGGGAAGGGAGAGCCCCAGACCATCCGCGCCGGTGATCCAACTGGCAGTTCTCGGCTGATGGATTTACTGGCTGCTCGAGTGCCTCTGGCTCCGGTTTTGTAATACCCATCCGGCGAGGATGGTCTGGGGCTCCCCCTTCCCCCTCCAGGGGAGGGGGATTGCGAAGACTGCGGCGCGGCGACGTGATGACGTCATAGTTTGATAATTTTGTTTGGGGAGTTCTGTCCACTTGTTTGTCTTTTGGTAGCAATATTTAAAAAAAAATAGGGGTTTGTTTTGGGGCACCTACCTTTCTGGGTGCCTGTCCTGGTCGATGGAAGACATAGAATGTTTCCAACCACATGGGGGTTTCTATATATAGGCCATTGCTCTTTATGCCTCTCTGAGGGGGCCAGGTTTTGGCTCGTGGTCCCCGGTAGGCAAGAACTCCTAGCATTTTGACTGATGCCAGAAAGTTATACATATTCATTCAGCCTGGATAGCTCCAGGGAGCCCCCAGGACTCGCCCAAAAAATGGCGTTTTATTTCATTCAATGCTGGTTTTTTGTTGTTAGATTTACTTACTTAATAATTTTTGTTAACAGGAACAACACGTGGATAGCTGGAGGGCATGAAGGTGTTGTCATGACCTGTGGAGACCAACTGACCCATGACCTGAAGGTGATAAACCCTCGCAGTGGCACTGTTGATCCCCATTACCTTGGTGAGAAAGCTGACAACAGCCAAGCAGAACAACCTAAGGCACACGGATTTATCTCGCTCACATTCACTACTGCATTATGCAAGAATATTCATTCCTGCTGGAAAACACTGATTAAAAAGCATTTTAATGAAGATAGGTAATATTAATACTGTAAATTGTTTACTAGTCTGTATATATGGGAGCATTAGTGAATACTTAAATACCTGTAAGTTTATTTTGCTATTTCAATGAGCATGATCAATGAAAATACTGCATATTTATTTATGTATCTCTCTATTTCAGGTCTTTGTCAATGGATAATACATTTGATCATTATCTCAGTGAAGTGGACATAAGAATCCAACCCTTTGACTGTGTTTGTTATCCAGCATCATTACAGATTTTTGCTACAGTATATGAACCATGGATGCAACTGCAAGTTCCTAAACAGCTGTTAAGTACAGGCGGAAAGGTTGCAAAAGAACCCATGGGGATGGGGATCAATAACCATACATTACCTTTGGTCTACCTCCACACTGAAAATATCCGCCTCCTTTTTCCTGCAAGAGACACCTCCAGTGAGGACACCTCAGTCCACAACATGTTTCTGGTACAGTTGGACTCAATTGTAATTACCCCGCAGGTGGATAATCCTCTCTCCCGCATTATGATACGTTCAGATATATTCCACATGGCAGAACGTGCAAGAATTTTAGGAGTTCCAGGGTCAGAAGTTGAGGATCGGCAATACCAGATTGACCTCTTAGGCTTCAGTGTTAGTACAGGTAAGTTCTCCAGGTCTCACATACAAATACAATAGTAAGGGATAGTCAACATAAGAAGGGTATAAAATAATATTGATTTAAAAGTATATTAAAAGTGAATATGAAAAACTACTTAAGAGCATTACTATTAACCCTTGTGTTACTCAGGGCTAATTAGCCTTGAGTAACCCTGAGATTATTACAGGGCTGATTAGCCCTGAGATATTAACCCTTTTACATGGTCATTATTGGGTAACTGGTGCAACCTGTTCTCGCACTTTCTTATAGTCAATATTGACTTATTAAATACGTGCATATGTGACATACTAATTTATTGTGAATATTTTAGTTTACCTTGAAAAGCTTCATAGAAAACACCGACCTTACCTAACCTTTTTAGTATATTAAGATAAGCATCTTATTGCTTCGTAATTACAATTATTTCGTAACCTATACCTATAATAGGTTAAGTAATAATTGCAATTACGAAGCAATAAGATGCTTATCTTAATATACTAACAAGGTTAGGTAAGGTCGGTGTTTTCTATGAAGCTTTTCAAGGTAAATTAAAATATTCACAATAAATTAGTATGTCACATATGCACTTATTTAATAAGTCAATATTGACTTAAAGAAAGTGCGAGAACGGGTTGACTGGTGGGAGAAGAAAGTCATATTGTATTATTGAAACTAAAGTCATAGGTTCATTTGTAAAGAAGAGTTGATATTAATTTCATTCTTAAACTTGCTTAAGGATCTTGGTACGATTTAGTGCGTGTAAAGGGAGGACGTCCCCGCAGTTCTTCTGGTGAACGCCTTCGTGTAATGGGAGAGAATCCTGCTCTTGAGTGGAATAACTATGACCCTACTCAGGATAGCAAGAACACAGATATTGTACTCCATCCATTTATTGCCAGGTTAGTAACCCGATGACTTCTATGCAGATCAGATCACCTAAAAGTAATTAATGGAGCTACCTGTAATAAAGCATTTGGGCTAAAGCTGAACATTCCATAATTCATCAACAGTTTTATCATCAACAAGTCAATATGCAGGCGATGAGTCACAATAACGTGGCTGAAGTATGTTGACCAGACCACACACTAGAAAGTGAAGGGACGACAAAGTTTTGGTCCGTCCTGGACCATCCTCAAGTCGATTGTGACTTGAGAATCGACTTGAGAATAGTCCAGGACGGACCAAAACGTCGTTGACATCCCTTCACTTTCTAGTGTGTGTGGTCTGCTCAACAGGTCAATAGTTTAATAAATGTCAAAATAGGTTTTGAATTGTTATTATTACCTAACAGAAATTTATATTTTGTAAGCAAAGATCACACTCATTTAGTGTCTTAGGCAAATATTTTTGTATATGCCAAGATTTCTAGTATTGAATTAAAGATTTAAAGTCTATTTATTAAACATGGCTTCCCGGCTTGGTGCCTTCTTTGATAATTACTTACTTACTTATTAAACGTGAAATAATTTAGGCTCTCTTATTACTTAAACATACTTGCAAAGGTGTATTTAAGTTAACTACAGGGAAATAAATAAATAAATGTCCACTGTAAGCCAGAATTCTGAGCATTGTTACCATATATTGTACAGTACAGTATACAGTATATAATTTATATTTAATATCCGTTAAAATCACATAATGGATATAGAATATGCAGAAGCTAGTTACGGAGATCTTCATTGACTTGACAGTTGATCTTTACCAGCTCATTGTTTTACCTTTATTCAGATTTGACAGTCGCGTAATAGCTGCTCCAGCAATTGTGTATCGAGGTGGTGTGGATGAGGAAGGAGTTCCCCGTAACACATTAGTGGCAGGACACTCGTTGGAGATCAATGCCACTTCAGATATTGATCTTCACATTAGTCTGCCTCAAGTCACTTTGCTACAAGACATTGTTGAGGATACTACAAGGTAAACATCATCCTTCATTATTGTCATAAATCATCCCCGTTCACTTGATTTGCCATAATGTACTAAATACAAAGAGCTAACCTAATCAGAAATCCATGAACCCAAGCCACCCACTTAACCTAACCAACCTCTGCATAGAAACTGTGGATATTTGGGAGTTGCTACTTTTCATAGTACTGTACGTACCTACAGTGGAACCTCGTGTGACGAGCGCCTCAATTTACGAGCATTTTGAATAACAAGCTCACAGATCGCTGACAATTTGTCTCGATTGGCTCGTTTGATTAACGAGAAAACCACATGTTGTGTTCCTGCTGCTTCTCGAACATTCTCGGATGCCTCCGACGATGCAAATAAAATATTTTTTCTGGGGGGAAGCCCCTTTGGCTCTCCAGAGCTTACTAGGCTGATATGCTAATGTCAGACTTTGGCATCAGTCATGTGTATGGAGTTTTGTGGGCCTACCGGGGACCACGAGCCAGAACCTGGCCCCTCTCAGAGAGGCATGGGGAGCAATGGCCTATAGAAACCCCTATGTGGTTGGAAGTTCTGGCTCCGGTGGTTGTTTCAGCACTGTGCCTAGAGTGTGGTGTCTGTCTTCTAGGTGGTACGTGAGCTGGGAGTGATTCTCCAGTACTCGGGCTACATGCGCCTAGGGTTTCTTTCCGTAGGTGCCCTGTAAGTACTGTACTGCCCTTGGGGCTTGGGGTTACCTTCCACAAGTTCCTTGGGTTCTGCCCCTGCTAGGCCATTTACTGCTTGGTTTTCAGCCACCCCTTGTATGCTAGGGTGTTCTGTCTGCTTGATACCTGCTTGATGGGATTCTGGGAGTTTTTTTTTTTTTTTTTTTTTTTTTTTTTTTTTTGAGATATATACAAGAGTTGTTACATTCTTGTACAGCCACTAGTACGCGTAGCGTTTCGGGCAAGTCCTTAATCCTATGGTCCCTGGAATACGATCCCCTGCCGCGAAGAATCGTTTTTTCATCCAAGTACACATTTTACTGTTGCGTTAAACAGAGGCTACAGTTAAGGAATTGCGCCCAGTAAATCCTCCCCGGCCAGGATACGAACCCATGACATAGCGCTCGCGGAACGCCAGGCGAGTGTCTTACCACTACACCACGGAGACTGCACGGAGACTTCTTCTACTCCCCAAGCCCGGCCCGAGGCCAGGTTCGACTTGTGAGAGTTTGGTCCACCAGGCTGTTGCTTGGAGCGGCCCGCAGGGCCACATACCCACCACAGCCCGGCTGATCCGGAACTTCTCTTAAAAAACAGTCCAGTTTTCTCTTGAAAATGTCCACGGTTGTTCTGGCAATATTTCTTATAGTCGCTGGGAGGACGTTGAACAACCGCGGACCTCTGATGTTTATACAGTGCTCTCTGATTGTGCCTATGGCACCTCTGCTCTTCACTGGTTCAGTCTGGCATTTTCTTCCATATCGTTCACTCCAGTACGTTGTTATTTTACTGTGTACATTTGGGACCTGGCCCTCCAGTATTTTCCATGTGTATATTATTTGGTATCTCTCTCTCTCTCGTCTCCTTTCTAGAGAGTACATTTGGAGAGCTTTGAGACGATCCCAATAATTTAGGCGTTTTATCTCGTTTATGCGTGCCGTATATGTTCTCTGTATTCCCTCTATTTCAGCAATTTCCCCTGCTCTGAAGGGGGAAGTGAGTACTGAGCAGTACTCAAGATGGGACAACACAAGTGACTTGAAGAGTACAACCATTGTGATGGGATCCCTGGATTTGAAAGTTCTCATAATCCATCCGATCATTTTTCTGGATGACGCAATATTTGCTTGGTTATGCTCCCTAAACGTTAGATCGTCGGACATCATTATTCCCAAATCCTTGACATGCTGTTTTTCTACTATGGGAAGATTCGATTGTGTTTTGTACCCTGTATTATGTTTCAGATCCTCATTTTTGTCGTACCTGAGTACCTGAAATTTATCACTATTAAACATCATGTTATTTTCTGCTGCCCAATTGAAAACTTTGTTGACATCTGCTTGTAGTTTTTCAATGTCTTCAGCAGAGATAATTTTCATGCTGATTTTTGTGTCTCACTTGTTCACCTTGGGGTAGGAACAGTTTGCACTGGTAGGGGCGCAGGGTACTGCGCAGCTTGTTTTCACCAATCATAGTGGCCGGCTCTGTTCCGCCTGGGTATACTGTCCTCTTGCAGGGTTTTCTTTTTCTTTTTGTTTATCTGCCTGGTGGGGGGGTTTGCCTTGACAGTTCGGGAGTTCGTGGTTGTCTGGTTTGCGCTTCGGAGGGTTTGGGTCACTCGGTGCTCTACCATTCAGCTCTGTTCAGACTGTTCTCTGGCGGTTCTTGCCGGAACCACAGCCCTCCCTCCCCCTCCCGGGGAGGGAAGGGCTGCACAGACAACCGGCGTGGCAGTAAATTGTGATAATTGATTGTTTGACTGTTTCCTTGGGATTGTAGGGAGTTTCTACCTCTGTTCAGTTTTTGTTTTAGTTTCTTACCATGTGGGGTTTGTTTTGTTGTGCCTACCTTTCTGGGTGCCTAACCCCAGTCGATGGCAGATAAGGAAAATCCCCAACCTCAATGGGGTCTTCCAGGGCCATTGCTCCCAGAAACCTCTCTGAAGGGGCCAGGTTCTGGTGCTGGTCCCTGGTAGGTCTGAACTCAATTGCTAATGTCCCGGTCTAACATAACATACATAAGCTCCAGGGAGCCTCCAGGGCTCACCCAGAAAATGGCGTTTCATTACATTCAACGCTGGTTTTTTTTTTTAAGAAACATGGAGCAGCCTAGCTGCCGAACACCTAACGAGCCTTTTTGACGTTTGTTTTGTTTTTCAAAATTTTTAATTTTTTTATTTTTTTTATTAGAAACATGGAGCAGCCTACCTGACAAACACAGAATGAATCTTTTGCTTTAAAAAATGAACAAAAATTGAGCAAACTTGAAGAAAGAAAAATGTCATAAAGGTTTGTTCAGTGTATGTATGATAGGCTGCTCCATCATTTAAAACATCGAATATCATATTGATGTTTTTCGGTAGTAGAACGGATTAATTTGATTTCCATTATTTTAAATGGGGAAATTCGTTTTGAAAGACGAGCATTTCACATAACGAGCTCGGTGCCGGAACGCATTTAATTTGTTATTCGAGGTTCCACTGTACTTGGTAATTTGCACGTTGGTGACCATGACATTCATTATTAGACATACTAGCTGAGATGACAGGTTACATAAATAGTATTAAATACCCCCAGAGAATATTGGCCAGCACTATTGGGAAAAAGATTTTATAAAATAATGTATATCCATTCACCATATCTTCCACACTACTATCCCTGATGGAGAATCAGCACCACTACACTTTTTTGGTACTACTTTTTAGAAGTACGTACAGTAGTGCCTGATGGCCATAGACTATTAATTTCTTATATTTTCAGACTTGTTACTCAGATGCTTTCAAGTGGGCGACAAGGAAGAATTGCCTGTACACCCTTAGATATACAAGACAGTGGAGTTGATTGTGATATATCATCTGTAGAGCTGTCAAAGGGCATGATGAGCCATAAGACAACTGAAACCAGCAGCAGCAGCAGCAGCAGCACCTGGTCCTTTGTGCCTCTGGAATTACTGGTCACTGGAGGGAAGATCACTGCCAGCATCTTTGATCGAGGCATCTTGGAAGATGGACAGAAATTTAGTGTTAAGGTGAGAAATACAGAAATATTAATGGGAACAATATTCATTGTGGCACTGAGATTTATTAACACGTATGCCTTAAATTTCTCAAACCTTCGTTTTCTTCAATTCATTTCATCTTCAGGAGACTGTCTTTCCCTGTATGCAAGAAACAAGGTGATTAATTATTGATGATCTTTATTCAAGGGGAAAAATGTATTGAGAAACATACTTAATTTGAATATTAGTTTCAAAATTAATGTAAATTTGTGGTGAAAGTTGAATAAGTAAGAGACCAACATATAGTGTGTGTTGACATGTCACCTGTCTAGCCTCCTTCACCACTCAAATTATGAGGCAACTTAATTAATATATTTAATTCCCTATAATATTCTAATAGATTTGATCTCTTATTATTCATGCATTTTCCATTTATTATGTATTAATGGCTAGTGTGAGATTTATAAAATGAATGATGACGGAGGCTGTCATTAACTCCATAATTGTGTGTGCGTTAACTATCAGTAATTCTTTGTCAGTGTTAGGTTTGACAAGGGGTAAGGAATTGTCAGTCCTCCTGACACAGGTGACAAACCATCGTCAATCCTCCTGACACAGGTGGCAAACCATTGTCAGTCCTCCTGACACAGGTGGCAAACCATCGTCAATCCTCCCAACACAGGTGGCAAACCATTGTCAATCCTCATGACACAGGTAGCAAACCATTGTCAATCCTCCTGACACAGGTGGCAAACCATTGTCAGTCCTCCTGACACAGGTGGCAAACCATCGTCAATCCTCCTGACACAGGTGGCAAACCATTGTCAGTCCTCCTGACACAGGTGGCAAGCCATTGTCAGTCCTCCTGACACAGGTGGCAAACCATCGTCAATCCTCCTGACACAGGTGGCAAACCATTGTCAGTCCTCCTGACACAGGTGGCAAGCCATTGTCAGTCCTCCTGACACAGGTGGCAAGCCATTGTCAGTCCTCCTGACACAGGTGGCAAACCATCATCAATCCTCCTGACATAGGTGGCAAACAGTTGTCAATCCTCCTGACACCGGTGGTCAATATAAGAAAGTGAATAGGTGAATAGGAGTACAAACTGGTCACATCAAGTGTTAAGAATGGTTGCTTGATAATGATTCCCCATCATTCAGTACACTGGCCCTTTAGTTTAGTTATGTTCATTAGTCATAAGGATGCAAACTATTATAGTCCATGTGCAAAATTGCCTTTAAAGATATTTATTCAGCAAGGATTTTATATTTTCAGTTTCAGGACAATTCCTCAATTGTAAACATGGCTCAAAGTATTTACAAGTCTTAAGTAGAATATTGTTGAGCGAGTATAATTAGATAACCAATTAAGAATGACCAACCAGTTATTCGCATTTGAATTTCTAATAACTTGGAAAGTCTTGGCACAGTTAATTTTTTCTGGGTTAAGGCTTTTCTAATGCTCCCTAATCCAGAAGCTTTTGCCCATTGCCTGACAAGTATCTTTTTCTTAATGGTATTTTCAGCCTCATAAAAAGTGTTTTACCATACTCAACACCATCTTTTTGTATATATTTCTGCACAGTTGAATTTTCCAGGGATGGCAGCGTAGCAAACTAGAACAGCGAGCCAAAAAGAGGGAACGGGAATTAGTTGGAGAGGCTGCATCAACCGAGTCAGAACCATCTCCCAAGCGCCTACCTCACCACCGTACACGACCTCCAACCAGAGATGCTGACTCAGATTGTCATTCAGAAAAGGAGGTTGAAGATGGGTTAGTTATAAGGCTTGCTTTGCCATTTTGGTGCTCTACCGCCACTTTGCTTCGTCATCACTGTTTTGCCGCCAACTTTATATGCCACCATTTTTCTTGAATAAGATTTTAATTCATTATACCCAGCAAAATATCATTAATAATTATTCTGAACGACAGTGCTGTACTTTATATTTATACCATAATTATTTGTAGGTATGAAGGCTCAGAAGAGGGATCAGTCTGTGAGGGTGGAGGGGTGAATCTGAGGCAGCCACGAATTTCACCTTTGTTGTTTGCAGTGGTTTCACAGCCCCACGCATTCCTATCTTGTCAACCACTCAAACAGAAGCTGGATATCTCTTGTTTCAACTTCATCCTTCGTAGTGTTCTTAAGGGTTTCTCTGTTAAGGGTATGTTATATTCTTGCAGTTTTTCATAATAGTGTTGTGCTATTTTTGTTTATATCAAAACTTGACTGCTTAGTTTGAAAAGAATTTTGCAAAGTTAAGTGGCCCTGGCCATTCATCATACCATATAATAGTTCTTGTTTGGTGTGCTGCTTTTTAGCAAGGGTGTTTATTATGATCAACTTTCTCAAATAATGTGTACTGAACAAATATTAGTATAAAAAGTTGTCCAATGTTAGAGGTTGCCACAGCCTGATGTAAAGAACGAAAGTCTAAGAATACTCTACTCTATTGTATTTGGTAATAATTTTATACTTTTTACTTGCCTATTTTAAATATCTGGACATGTGTTGTAGTATTACCAGTTGAACTTACTTCTTGGAATGCAATACATTACTTATAAGTATTCCAGTGTTTTAGACTGATTCAAAAACACCATGTAATCCATAGAAGATACCCATTTCTGGGGGAGCCCCTTCGGCTCCCCAGAGCTATCCAGGCTGAAATGCTAATGTCAGACTTTGGCATCAGTCATGTGTATGGAGTTCTGTAGGCCTACCGGGGACCACGAACCAGAACCTGGCCCCCCTCAGAAGAGGCACTAGGAGCAATGGCCTATAGAAACCCCTGTGTGGTTGGAAGCATTCTACGTCTGCCATCGACCAGGTCAGGCACCCAGAAAGGTAAGCATCCCAAAATAAACACTTATTCTGGTGAAAATTGCAATGAAAAGCTGAACAATTGGATAGAACTTCCCAAACAGAAACGGGCAAATGAGTATGACGTTACATGTTTCCGCGCCGCTGTCTGTGCGGCTTCCCCCTCCCCGGTAGGGCGAAGGGGGAGCCCCAGACCCCCACACTGGCAATCCACCCTTCAATTCTGAGGCTGGACATCAATACACGCAAAAAAAACGCTGACCGGAGGGAGGGAGGGTTGCCGGGGGAGCCTCCGGGTCTCACCCAGAAAATGGTGTTTTTCTGGGAGACTGACCTGGTCGATGACAGACATAGAATGCTTCCAACCACACGGGGGTTTCTATAGGCCATTGCTCCTTGTGCCTCTTTTGAGGGGGCCAGGTTCTGCCTCGTGGTTCCCGGTAGGCCCACAGAACTGTAAACACATGACTGATGCCAAAGTCTGACATTAGTATTTAAGCCTGGATAGCTCCGGGAAGCCTCCGGGTCTCACCCAGAAAATGGCATTTCATTACATTCAACGCTGGTGTTTTGTTTACCAGTATTTTAAAATTTAACTGGAACTAAAATTATATTATTATTATAGCAACTGAGGCAAAACAGCTGCCTTGTCCAGAAGATTATACAACTTCTTGGTTAGAAACTAAACCTGGTGATCCACACCCTAGGACTGGCATCCCTCCTGCTTTACTACTTGTTTCAGCCACAGATTTTCTTCATAAACCAGGTAAGTCACAACACCTTTTGACATGTAGGTTAATTGGAGCCAGAGCCACCTTAACAAATTATAAATTAAGGACAGTAGATGAGCCTGATTTATAAAAGAGACATCATTTATATATCTGAACTCCCTTCAACTTCTGGGCATGTTCATACAGGAGTAAAGCAACTTTATTATTAAGTGTAACTTTTATTAATATAATATTTTGATTTTGCAATTACTGCACAAACTTACATTATCATAATAAAGAGTTTCAACATATATTTTTTTCCAACAGCTCGAATAAACATAGAAGTTGGAAGGCCTGTTCGTCTTTATTTAAGTGAGAGCCGCTGGCAGCAAGTAGTCCACGTCATGAATTGTATGGCTAAGGTTTTTCCGCCCGTGACAACTATGTCAGAACAAGAAAGAATCGGTGCTAATGAAAACATAACTAAAGAGGCTTCTTCTCCTGAATTACTTAGACAGGCATTGGCAAATTTTGATAGTATATCTTTTATTACCAGTCAAGTTGTTGTTAATTGTGAAGTCTTTAAAACACACAAGGCAAGAAGTGAAGTGCACAGTAGTTTTTCAGGAATTAAATTTTGCATTACCACTTTACGAAAGAGAATGAGCCAATTTCAAGATGCAAGGTCAGATATCATCTCTGAAATTACTGCTGCTGCAGAAATTCTGGATTTCCAACTGAAAACTATTTATCATTCCCAAAAACTTCAGCCTTTCCTTAAACCATGGACAGTAACAGGTGAATTTAAATTATTGTGGTTGCAGTGGAGTTTGCATCCATATATTGAAATTAAGATTGATACTGAAATTGTGACTGTGGATCTTGGGCCAGAACATTTATTTTGCTTCATAGATATATACAATCACATATCTTCCTTCATGTATGATAAAATGAAGGAACAAACTACACATACTTCATCCAAACCTGAAGAGAAAGAACATCATCATGATATCCTGTATCAGGATGACCTGCGGGCAGGAATATTCCAGTATATTAGTCTGGCTATTGAAGATCCCAAGCCATACCAGGTTGTTTTTGACAAAATGGCAGGAACTATGGTATGGTGTTATCCAGAGCCACGAACACTAACTAGAGTAGACATTTATCCTGTTCCCTTTATTGCTGCATCAGAATACAGTACTTCCATAGATGCTCAGGACAAAGACCAAGTCTTATGTGCCCTGCAATATTTTGATTCGCTACGGGAAACTTTTATAACGTATCGTCAGTTCCAACTTTCAGAATCAAAATTTTGTCAACTTGACTTGCCAAGTTTTTACGAAAAGCAGCACATTGCTGTGTCCTCCATGTGGAGAGTCTGTATTGATTTTTGTGAAGATGACAGCAGTTCTGGTGATGGCCGAATTGTTGTTTCTCCTGGGGCTTTAGCAGCCTGTATGAGAGTTGACTCCATGTTTTCAGTAGATTTGCTTCCTCGAACACAAGCAGTTGTAACAGTTGGTCAAGCACAAATAACATTCTTAAATCATCTGTCTCTTACAGGCAAGAAACTGCCGAAAGAGTTAAAATTTTTCTCACTAGACAGATTAGCACCAGAGGAGCAACCATTTCTCACTCTTACTTTGGAAAACTTGTTCCTTCGTAGCTATGTGTGGTCTTCTGCTGTGCATGTGCAGAGTGGAGGTGCTTTACGCTTGGATGTTCTGAGCTACAGTTTTTTGACAAGTAGTTGTCTGCTTGAGCCCACTTTCATAGAGGCAAGTTTAGTGAGACAAGATGCTGACGGGCCAGACAAACCAAGCTGTATTGATTGTGTAATGACAGTGAAGCCAATGTTTATACATATTAATCAGTCCATTATCCACACTTTAAATGTTGCTTATGAAAGCTGGCAGCAGGTCTGTGATACTGTACCAGAGAGTTCATGTGGTCCTAATTTAGTGCTTATCAAAAAATCTCCTGTAATTTTTATGACAAATTACCTTATTTGTAATGATACATTAGAAACTATCAGATTTGGACAAGTGGGAACTGATGAAAATGTACTTTTGACATCCCGAAGTATGCACTTGTATTGCTGGAGAAGCCACAAGCTCTTCCCTCAGCTGCATGCTTGTGTAGAAGGGGGAAAATGGAAGTGGTGTGATCCATTCACATTAGAAGCTGAAGGCTCACAGGTAAGAAAAGCTTTTGTCAAATTTTAGCATCCATCTGTAAATGTTATTTTAGTGTCTGTAATGGTTTACATATTTCATTTTTCTTCATATAGTTGAGATAATTATTATTATTTTATTGAAGCCACAATATACTGTTTATAATTTAAAGGATTGTTGTATTTAACAGGTACACACAATCCACCATGAAAATCATCATTTTCATTTTATGGTGATCATTGAAACCCTTTCACCTACCCAAAAACTTATCACCTTCTCTGGCCTTCTCTCCATTGCAAACTGTCTCAGTGAAGATCTGGAATTTCGAGTTATAGAGAATGGCAAAGATAAAGAATCTCCCAAGCATATATCTACACATGTGCTTCATAGCGAGTTTGTGGCTCCATCTTTTGTTGGAGAAGCCCTTGGTGTTAGAGTGAGATTACTAGGTAGTCCATCTGTATGGTCTGGGGAAATTCCACTGTCATATGAACGCACAAAAGATTCCATGCTTGTTAAAATCCCCTTGAAAGCCAAAGGTGAGAGCATCATTGCTTGGTGTCGTGTGCTGCGACAAAGGGTTGGAACAGTTTGGAGATTGTTAGTGATATTCAGCCCCCAGTATATGGTAAGATCACACTTACCAAGACCTCTGATTCTTCATATCAACACCCCAAGCAATCACAGTTTTCAACAGGTGAGTGAGTTATCAATGGACTTAATGAGCTAAACCCACTTGATTATTCCTTTAGGCAATGTACTGCTCTTGCATGGACATGGCAAAGCATTTGGCTGGCCAAATTGCCTTTCTAATCCACGATGTAATGAATCGTTTTCAATTCACCCTTGCTAACTCATTGGGAATTTGAAGACACAGGAGAATGTCACTCAATTCAGTTGGAATTTACCTCCAGAAGATTCATTCATCTGTACTCGAAAGTTCCTCCTCCAAATAATACTCAGCTTGGAGAAGGTATTATAAGCCTGCTACATACCAGTAGCGATGATTAGTGTAAGTGTAGATGTCTGACCCTCTGGAGGTTATTCTGAACTGGATTGAGATTCTCAAGTGTCTTGCTTTCTTCATTAATAATCAGGTGACAGCAGATATGAGAATGCTTCACTGTGTCGGGGTAATAAAGTCAATTTGAGTATTTTACCTGGTTCACGTGAGAGTGGGATATTGCCTGAAAAGAGTGACTGCATAACTTGTTCAGAAAACAGATTTTTTGTTTGAAATTAAAGTCTTTATTTTTATTCAAGTAAATCTTGGGTTTTAATAGTAACACATTTGTAAATAAGCTGAAAGCAACAATTTGTTACCCCCTGATTGTGAGCTTTTCTGTGGGAGCCCCTACGGCTCCCTGGAGCTTATCAGGCTAATGTATGTTATATTAGACCGGGACATTAATTAAGGAATTCAGACGTACCAGAGACCAGCGCCAGAACCTGGCCCCTTCAGAGAGGCTTCAGGGAGCAATGGCCCTGGAAAAACCCCTTGTGGTTGGGGTTTTCCTTATCTGCCATCGACCGGGGTTAAGCCCCAGAAAGGTAGGCATAACAAAACAAACCCCACATGGTAAAAAACTAAAACAAAAAACACGAACAGAGAGGTAGAAACTCCCTACAATCCAAACGAAACAAGCAAACATCACACTTTATTGCCGCGTCGATCGTCCGCGCAACCCTCCTCGCCTTGAGAGGGGGAGAGGGGAGCCCCAGACCTCACCGAACCGTCTGCCTAGCATCAGTTCATAAGCTAATGTCAACCGGGATAGATGCTTCTCTGGCCTCAGTTTCCTAGGCGGTGTTTGCCTTGTGTGGCGTTCACTGCTGGGTGTTGTGTTGTGCGGTGGCCAGGTGTTCCTCAGCAGTACCAGGGCTTATTGATGCTTGATTGTTTCAGCCGGGGGCGCGTCCTGTGTGGTCCGGTTGCTCTTTTTTGCCATTACCTACGTACCGTGTCTGGGGATGCGCTTTGGGTTGATCCGGTTCCCCCCGTTCCCTGTTTCAGGGCTCGGGTCTCCCGGGTCGTCCGCAGAGTTTTTAGGTCTTCCAGCCTGTGGTCTATCCTTGCGCCCGTGCTGTTCGGACGTCTGCAGCTTTTGCTGCTGTGTTGGTGACGTCTAAGGCTCATTTCGGGCACAAGGATTTGAGGGTCGCACATGTTCCTGGCCGCCGTTTCTTTATGCGCGCATCTTCTCCTAAGCGTTTCTTGTTGCCTTGGGTCGCAGGTTACCACCTGTTGTCTCGGCTTCGCGTTGCGGAGTTTGTGGCGGCTGCCTCCCACGTCAGCCCTTTCTTTTCCTTCTCTTTGGGTATGAATCTCCAGGGAGCCGTAGGGGCTCCCCACAGAAAACCAGCGTTGAATGTAATGAAGCGCCATTTTCTGGGTGAGCCCTGGAGGCTCCCTGGCAACCCTCCCTCCCACCGGTCGGCGGATTTTTCGCGTTGGTTGAAGCTTAGCTTCCGAACTGATGCTAGGCAGCCGGCACGGTGAGGTCCGGGGCTCCCCCCTCCCCCTCTCGGGGCGGGGAGGGCTGTGTGGACGATCGGCGTGGCAGTAAATTGTGATGTTTGCTTGTTTGCTTGTTTCTTTAGGATTGTAGGGAGTTTCTACGTATCTGTTTGATTTTTTGCTTTAGTTTTTTACCATGTGGGGTTTGTTTTGTTATGCCTACCTTTCTGGGTGCCTAACCCCCGGTCGATGGCAGATAAGGAAAACCCCAACCACAAGGGGGTTTTCCAGGGCCATTGCTCCCTGAAACCTCTCTGAAGGGGCCAGGTTCTGGCGTTGGTCCCTGGTAGGTCTGAATTCCTTAGCTAATGTCCCTGTCTAATATAACATACATTAGCCCGATAAGCTCCAGAGAGCCTCTGGGGCTCACCCAGAAAATGGCGTTTCATTACATTCAACGCTGGTTTTTTAAACAACTTCTTATATTTTATTAGTAATTTTATAGGATTATGGGCAATATTTGTATCTATAGAAACAGATTGGATTATATACAATATTTGTATCTGTAGAAACAGATTGGATTATTTCCAAAGTTTTTGTAAATAACTTTTGTTTTAATGTAAATAACAAAGTTTTTTGTAAAAAAAATTCCAACCATTTTGGAATTGACTTAATCTCTAGAAGCTTAATTAACAGATGTTATTGCTTGTGTACACCTGAGGTTGTTAGCTCATATTTTGGTCCGCAGACAATGAGTAACACTAATGTGGAGGAAAATTGTCAATCAGGTCACAAATCTGAAAATGAAGAACGGACAACGTTTCGGTTTAAACTAACGACCGAAACGTCTTTGGTTCTTCGTTTTCAGATGTGTGGTTGGGTGTGAACTCTTCATTATGGTTGATGTTGTTGTTCCCTGGCCACACTGGGGAGAGTGCCGCTCAGCCTTTACTGTTCACTAGTGAAACATTAGGCCAGGTTTATTATCACCTCACCAACTTGTTACACTTCGCACTTTATCTTTCCTGTTTGAATAAAGCTATAAAAGTTATATTTATTGGACAGATTACTTATGAATTGAATGTGTTGTTAAATTTATATTACCAACATATGAGCATGTATTTGTAAATATTATATGACTTATACTCTACAGTTAATATTGTTGGTATTCCTGCAGGTTGTGGTGAAAGGTCGTGGACACACGCACACACTACACTGTGATGGCTCTGTTGCACATCAACTAACATTCCAATTGAACCCAGAATTTGAAGTGTCCAGTCCTCCAATTCCTCTTTCAAGAGGTTTGGTTGATCAGGTAATCAAACATCATTGAATAGTGTTGCAAGATGCGGTTTTCTGAAACATTACTTTGTGTTAAAAAATTTAGATTTGCTCTAGTTCCAATATAGCCACCTGGTCTTGTTGCTTTCTTTTATGAATTACTTGCATAGATTTCATAAATGCTTAAAAACATAAATGTTTAAAAACTAAAATTTTGTTTTGTTTTAAGTTTCAGCTTAATTAAAAACTGATACTTATATGATCTGTTTTGTATGTGTTGCTTAGGGGTGATGATGTGAACAGTATTGACGTGTGAATTTGGTGGTACTGTACTGTACAAAGATGAGCGCTTTAATACCAAGTTTTGATGGCTCAGTCTTAGGTGTTTGTACTTTGGCCGGCTCAGTGTAGATTTGTTTGAATGATGTGTGTACCGCTACACAGGTCTGCCTCACTCTTGGCAGTATATCAGGTTTCCACACAAACTGTCTTGTACTATATTTTACAAACTTTTTGGATTATATTCTTACATCATTGCACTCTGGTAATCATAATTTTGACCATAGCTTTAAAGTTGAGAAACTCTGATCTGATGTTTCTTTTTTTTTGTATATGCACAAGATTTACTATAAATGTGGTTGTGCTTGTAGATATACTGTTGACCTACTTTTAATTCTCCTTTTGCACACACCGTTATACAAAGTTATTGGCATTTTTAATCATATTCAACATTTTACAGATGAGATTTTCACAGCCTCAAGAGGCAGTGGATATCTCACAATACTTGCAACAGTTATTTGATGGTCCTGAAGATCGCTGGCCCTACGTAGACACATCAGACTTTATGGGCGATGTCCTTTTTGCTGATCAGCCAAAGATTGACCTCCAGGTGAGACCAGAATGACAGTGCTCAAAAGTAGAAGCCGTGGAAATTGGTTTTGTTTCATAAACGTACCTGGTGAAAGTAAAGTGCGTGCAATAGGTATACAGTAATAGGGTGGATGTTGTATAAGTGAAAGTTGTCTGAAAAGGAAATATATAGCAGAGGTGTAGGTGGAGCACAGTACACCTGTACAGTGTTTACACTTGTGCTATGAAGCAGGTGTAGGTGGAGCACAGTACACTTGTACATTGTTTACACTTGTGCTATGAAGCAGGTGTAGGTGGAGCACAGTACACTTATACAGTGTTTACACTTGTGCTATGAAGCAGGTGTAGGTGGAGCACAGTACACTTGTACAGTGTTTACACTTGTGCTATGAAGCAGGTGTAGGTGGAGCACAGTACACTTATACAGTGTTTACACTTGTGCTATGAAGCAGGTGTAGGTGGAGCACAGTACACTTGTACAGTGTTTACACTTGTGCTATGAAGCAGGTGTAGGTGGAGCACAGTACACTTATACAGTGTTTACACTTGTGCTATGAAGCAGGTGTAGGTGGAGCACAGTACACTTGTACAGTGTTTACACTTGTGCTATGAAGCAGGTGTAGGTGGAGCACAGTACACTTGTACATTGTTTACACTTGTGCTATGAAGCAGGTGTAGGTGGAGCACAGTACACTTATACAGTGTTTACACTTGTGCTATGAAGCAGGTGTAGGTGGAGCACAGTACACTTGTACAGTGTTTACACTTGTGCTATGAAGCAGGTGTAGGTGGAGCACAGTACACTTGTACATTGTTTACACTTGTGCTATGAAGCAGGTGTAGGTGGAGCACAGTACACCTGTACATTGTTTACACTTGTGCCATGAAGCAGGTGTAGGTGGAGCACAGTACACTTATACAGTGTTTACACTTGTGCTATGAAGCAGGTGTAGGTGGAGCACAGTACACTTGTACAGTGTTTACACTTGTGCCATGAAGCAGGTGTAGGTGGAGCACAGTACACTTGTACATTGTTTACACTTGTGCCATGAAGCAGGTGTAGGTGGAGCACAGTACACTTGTACAGTGTTTACACTTGTGCCATGAAGCAGGTGTAGGTGGAGCACAGTACACTTGTACATTGTTTACACTTGTGCTATGAAGCAGGTGTAGGTGGAGCACAGTACACTTGTACATTGTTTACACTTGTGCCATGAAGCAGGTGTAGGTGGAGCACAGTACACTTGTACAGTGTTTACACTTGTGCCATGAAGCAGGTGTAGGTGGAGCACAGTACACTTGTACATTGTTTACACTTGTGCTATGAAGCAGGTGTAGGTGGAGCACAGTACACTTGTACATTGTTTACACTTGTGCCATGAAGCAGGTGTAGGTGGAGCACAGTACACTTGTACATTGTTTACACTTGTGCCATGAAGCAGGTGTAGGTGGAGCACAGTACACTTGTACATTGTTTACACTTGTGCTATGAAGCAGGTGTAGGTGGAGCACAGTACACTTGTACATTGTTTACACTTGTGCCATGAAGCAGGTGTAGGTGGAGCACAGTACACTTGTACAGTGTTTACACTTGTGCCATGAAGCAGGTGTAGGTGGAGCACAGTACACTTGTACATTGTTTACACTTGTGCTATGAAGCGGGTGTAGGTGGAGCACAGTACACTTGTACATTGTTTACACTTGTGCCATGAAGCAGGTGTAGGTGGAGCACAGTACACTTGTACATTGTTTACACTTGTGCTATGAAGCAGGTGTAGGTGGAGCACAGTACACTTGTACATTGTTTACACTTGTGCCATGAAGCAGGTGTAGGTGGAGCACAGTACACTTGTACATTGTTTACACTTGTGCTATGAAGCAGGTGTAGGTGGAGCACAGTACACTTGTACATTGTTTACACTTGTGCCATGAAGCAGGTGTAGGTGGAGCACAGTACACTTGTACAGTGTTTACACTTGTGCCATGAAGCAGGTGTAGGTGGAGCACAGTACACTTGTACATTGTTTACACTTGTGCTATGAAGCAGGTGTAGGTGGAGCACAGTACACTTGTACATTGTTTACACTTGTGCCATGAAGCAGGTGTAGGTGGAGCACAGTACACTTATACAGTGTTTACACTTGTGCTATGAAGCAGGTGTAGGTGGAGCACAGTACACTTGTACATTGTTTACACTTGTGCCATGAAGCAGGTGTAGGTGGATTCATTATAATGCTTACTATAATTATTCTCTATTTTATTACATAAACATAAATCTTTTTATTTTATCCAAATGCTTGTTTTACTTGTTATTCGTGATCGTTAATTTTGTTAGCATTAGTTTCGTTCAGGTTAGGCTTACCTGATTTCTGTTACTTTGTTAAGTATTAAACCAGTAGGTATTGGTTGTCTTTGACTGTCTGACCAGCAAAGTTGTTGACTTATATTTTATAGTCAATACTTTTTCAAGAGTCTTTGGTCTTCAATTTTTCTGGCAAGAGCATTCAGGGAAGAATTGATTTACTGTAATTTTAAAGCTTTGTTCTTTCTGGAGGAAAATATAATTGACTTAGAATTGTAGGTTGAATAAGATTAATATTTTATTGTTAAATGTGTGAAGGAAAGACTTGTACTACAAAGTAATTATTTCTTTTGCAGGTTGGGTTCTCAGGTCTATATCCATATTGCAACACACTTGTGGTTGACATCCGACCATGGGCCCTAATGGTAAACCATACCGGGATAGATATTCTACTCCAAGAAGCCGGCTCCTCGAGTAGCTGGTTTGTACCTCCTGGGGCTGTTTTTGCTCCCCCAAAATTGGATGGACTTTTCACAATTGGCTTGGTAGAAAATGACCAACATTTCCATACTACATCTCTGCAGCTATCCAAGGAAGACAGGTGGTACAGTCTAAAATTTGAGGGCCGTATTCCTCGAGAAGGCGCCACAAATCTCCGTATTCCTACTCAAGACAAAGTGTGCTTTATCACTGTGCTCTCAAGGTATGAGGAGAATATTCAAATAATGCACCTTCTTCCAACATATTCAATCACCAACAATACTCGAGATGAATTAACTGTTCGCTCTATGTATGTCTATTCGGGTAATACCAAGATCCAGCTTCCTGTATCATTACCTGCTTTGGAACTGTCTTCCAAATCTGGAAGCAGCTACATGAAGGAAGTCCCACTACTTCTATGGTACATTCTAAAAGACCCAGGCTCATCAAGCTCAGATGAAGAGTTTTGTTGTATTCAAATTGGCCAAAATGGTTACCAGGCTCACCCAGTTGTTATAAAGGATGCCCCTCCAGACCAGCGTATGACATTCACCCTGCCAAATAATGATGATGGGCCTGTTCTCAACAGATCATTCTTGGTTACTTCTCACAAGCACTTTGGCCAAATTAAGATGGTTGTACAAATGGATCCATCACCACAAATGCTTATACACAACTGCACTAGTGCATTGCTTATATTGGGTAAGTCAACTTTGTTAAGCAAGATTCATAATGTTGAAATATAATTCAAGAATTAATTTAGTAACCAGGAGCAGCCATTTGTCCAAGTTTTTCTTAAGGTTAACATGAGAGGATATGCACCTTTCTCATATACCGTAGAGTGTGGGGGGAAAGTTTGATATACTCTGTATTGTCTTAACATACAGGTCAGAGTTCAACCAAGGAAGAGGGCATAATGGAAGAAGAGTTGGACATGTTTGCAGCGATGCCTTCAGTTCCAGCCAGCAAAGCTGTCCATTACACATTCCCGTATATTTCACACAGGTTTCCAGAGATCACAACAAACAATACAGCATACCCACGTCTTCATTTTTCTCAACCAGATATTCTTAATAATGGTAGGTGATGCTTCATTTTAAGTTACATTACCTAAAAAAGGCAGCTTGGACAAAGGTTTCTTCTATGTTTATGGAGGAAGTTCTTATTCCTTCTGTGAGTGGCAGGCAAGTTTGGATGCATTGAAAGAAGAGGTTGTTGAAGCCTCTCATCCAAAACTTTAAGAACAAATGTGATGAGACACTTAATGGTGACAGGTAATTAACAAGCCAGGTATAAATTACTAGGAGACAGGGCAGAAAGGACTAGAGCTCACTTCCATGTAATCATTAATAGGTTGTCAGTGGTAGGTAAACAGGATAGTTAGATCTTGCCAACTTCTACATAGTGGCCTCAGTATACCTCTTCTCTTAATTGTTAAACTAAAAGTATGGCAATTTTCTGAAAATAGGAGCCATATTTGTTTTATGATCCAGCTTTGTGAAATATGGGTATAATAGTGTTACCTACCTCCAGCCATTTCTGTGTATGCTTGACTATTCATATTTTTGTATACTTATCAAAGGCTGGTGTATAATTGTTCATCTCTATGTATACAACATGCAATTTTTCTGGGGGGAGCCCCGTTGGCTCCCTGAAGCTATCCAGGCTGAATGGATATGTATATCTTTCTGGCATCAGTCAGTGCAGAGAGTTCTTGCCTACCGGGGACCACGAGCCAGAACCTGGCCCCCTCTAGAAAGGCACGAGGAGCAATGGCCTATAGAGACCCTCCCCCTGTGGTTGGGAGCATTCTATGTCTGCCATCGACCGGGACAGGCACCCAGAAAGTTAGGCGCCCAAAACAAACCCCTATTCTGGTAGAACTATTGTGACCGAAGGCCGAACAAGTGGACAGAACTCCCCAAACGAAAATTAGCAAACTAGCATGATGTCATCATGTTGCTGCACCCTCCTCCCTGGGAGGGGAAAGGGAGAGTCCCAGACCCACCCACCGGCGACCCAACCTACAGTTCTTGGCTGATGGGAGTCTGGTGCGGTCGTGCCTCTGACTCCAGTTTTTGTTTTAGTTCTGTGCCTTGTGGTGTGGGCTGTCTCTTCCAGGGGGTGCGTAAGCCTGGAGTTGTATTCCACGGTACTCGGGCTGCATGCGCCTAGAGTTTCCTTCCCTAGGTGCCCTGTAAGTACTGTCCTTGGTCCGGGATTGTTTCTCCAAGGCTCTTTTCTTGTTGGCATTGGCCTCTGCGGATCGGCTTGGGGAGCTTCATGCTCTCTTACGGTGCAAGGGTTTCTGCTCTTTCAGTTGTGGCGATTGTTTTGTTCGCTTGCAGCCATCTCCTTCTTTTCTGGAGAAGAATGAGACTGGTGCGTTCCGGAGGAGTCAGTGGGTGGTTGATGCTTGGTTGGTACGGCCGGGGGTGCATCATACTTTGTGTCCGGTTGCGGTGCTTCGCCGTTATTTGCGCGCGGCGGCTTCTGTGTCCGGGGACGCACTTTGGGTTGATCCGGTTTCCCTTCTTCCCTGTTCGCGGATTTGGGTCTCCCAGGTCGTCCGCAAGGTTATCCCATCCAGCCAGCCTGCGGTCTATCCCTGTGCCCATGACGTCCGTATGTTTGTGGCTCTTGCTGCCATCTTTGGGAATATGTCTTGGTCTGATATTCGGGTGCTGGGTTTTTGCCGGTCGAACAGGGGTCCTGGCTGCTCGTTACCTTGTGAATGTCCCTGGGGCCCCATCAGGCCTGTGTTGCTTTGGGTCGGCGGTTGCAGCCAGTTGTCTCGACTTCGAGTTGAGGAGTGAGCGACGACCGCCTCCTGGGTAAGTCCCTCTTTTTCCGTCTGTGGGTAGTTAGCTCTGGAGAGCCGACGGGGCTCCGCCCAGAAAACCAGCGTTGAATATAATGAAACGCCATTTTCTGGGTGAGTCGCGGAGGCTCCCCGGCATCCCTCCCTCCCTCTGGTCGGCGGTTTTTCATGTTTTTGACATCCAGCCTCAGAACTGAGGTGTGGGTAGCTGGCGTGAAGGGTCTGGGACTCCCCCTTCCCCCTCCCGGGGAGTGGGGATCTGCGCAGACAGCGGCGTGGCAACATATGACATTATACTAGTTTGCTCGTTTTCTTTTGGGGAGTTCTATCCACTAGTTCGGCTTTTGGTAGCAATTTTAACCAGAATTGAGGTTTGTTTTGGGGCGCTTACCTTTCTGGGTGCCTGATCCGGTCGATGGCAGACATAGAATGCTTCCAACCACACGGGGGTTTCTATAGGCCATTGCTCCCCTTGCCTCTCTGAGGGGGGCCTGGTTCTGGCAGTGGTCCCCGGTAGGCCTAAGAACTCCATGCACATGACTGATGCCAAAGTCTGATATTAGCATATCAGCCGGGTATAGCTCCGGGAAGCCTCTGGGACTCATCCAGAAAATGGCGTTTCATTACATTCAACGCTGGTTTTTTGAAAAAAAATTTGTTGTTGCACCTGTGGGTGTTGAAGCCATTATGACCCCTAGGCGCCCAAATGTTAATTAGAAAATCATTATTGTTTATTGTTTAAAATGTAATATAGATATAATGTACATTGAAGGTAGTCCAATGTTGCTTTTCTTTATTTTACAGCTGAGACTGAAGAAGTGTTGTGGAGTCAAGGTGTAGACATTCAACAGCATTATGATCAGTTTGTTAGTGTGCCAGGCTATGGAGATGTGAAGGTGCGGATAGAACACGTTGCACATACCACACACGTCTTCATTGATCCAGTCAGTCGAGTTGAGGTTTCAGCGAGAGACATCCGAAGTCGCATTGCAGCCGAACCGTCAAAGGGCAGAGTGGCTACATCGACGAATAAGGGTAGAACTATAAAGGAAAAAGAAGGCATGGTATTGGAGGTAGAAGATACAGCTGTACTTGAAAACCCTCAGAGCACTGAAGGCTTACCAATAAAGGAAACAACATGTGGAAAGAAGGTTTCTGAGGAGGATGGATACCTCATAAAAGTGGCACCACACGAGAAAGAAGTCAAGTCAACCACTGTTATTTATTGCACATTCATGTGCACACAAGTGGTTTTAGTTTTAAAAGATGATGTCAGTGACCAGGAAAATATATCTGAAATCTTAAGAGTTACTCTGGATAATTTTATTGCAAGTCTGAGACCTAAAATTGATTTATCCGAGAAACTTCGGGCTTTAGATTATAGAGTTAAGGAGCGAGTGGAAGTTATCGTCTTTGTTGGTGATGCTCAGATTGATAACCAGCTCTTTGTGTCTGGTAAATTTGACTTTCCAGTGATATTAATTAGACAGGATCCTCAATTGGCTCCCAAATTTTCACCATTGGATCCCATAGAGAGAGCTATACAAATTTCTCACAATAATGCACTATTTACCATTTCTGTTGTCATGGAGCGATCTCCAACAAAAATGTGCATACACTCAGTCCATATAAAGCAGAATCCCATTACTGTATATGCTGAGGATGCAGTATTCTACTCTCTTATGGAAATTCTTTCTTCTTTTCTACCTGTATCAAGACACAAAGCCATTAAATTTGGGAGAGAGCGAGAGACGAATGAAGAGGAGGAGGAAAGTTTACCTGTCGTAATGAGAATGCCTAAAGCAGTGTTGCTGAAGTCAAAAGCCATGACTCATCCTGTCCAAATGTCTCGCCTAACAATTGAGCCAATTGCTCTGTTACTTAGTGTCCATGCATCAATAAAGTTATATGTTGCTTTGGACCAGTCTCCACTCAACTTTGGTCAATTTCATCGATCTGAAATCATGACGACAAGCTACACGCTCGGGCACAGTCTGACTATGCATTATTTGTCAGGTGCACTCATCCGAGCTGGGTGGGTAGTGGGATCCCTTGATTTACTTGGCAATCCTGGAGGATTTGCCAGGACAGTTGGGTCAGGTGTGAGGGATTTTGTACAATTTCCATACGAAGGAATTCTTCAAGGTCCATGGGCATTCATTGCTGGAGTGACTCATGGCTCTATGTCATTGGTGAAGCATCTTACTGCAGGTAAGAACCCAGATTGTTGACAAAGTTGCTTTTGCTATATAGGGATATTAATGTATAACACAATATTATTTTAATGTACTTTATGTGTAAAAGTAATAATTCCCATGTATTAAACTTAAATTTGTAGAACATTACTTGCTAAACATGCTTGTTCATACATGGCACACTAATAATAATGTATAATACTGTATTGTATAGGAGAGTATGAAATTCAAACCTTGAGCTACAAATGCTTACAATGAAATTTATCTATTACTCTGATCTTGATAATATATATGCTTTCAATAATGTTGCTATATATTGTCATATATAAGAAATCTTATAATTTAAATTACTGTTAAAGATATCTTCTCACTTCTTACAGGTACCGTAGTGTCTTTAACAAACTTGGCTAGTTCAGTGGCTCGCAACATGGAACGGCTCTCACTGGATGAAGATCATATTGAACGAAGTGAAGCAGGTCGACGCTACCAGCCATCTGGTCTTGTACACGGACTTGTACAAGGACTTTCAGCTTTTGGAATATCTCTTCTAGGTGTGGCTTTTGTTACTACATATTTGAAATTACAGTATAATTGTATTATCTATTTGGAATGTATAAGCAACCCGCAATATGTACTGTGGTTGTATTTCTTTAAAATCCTTGTATAGCCCCACATGCACATGTCAAACTTAGCTATTGTACAGCTTACAGAAAAAATAATGTTACATTTAAGAGACCTCCAAAAGTCATCCTTTTTCTAGTTGAAAATGTATACAAGGAATTGTACACACAATGTTACTGAACGGCATAAACTACATGTAATATTTTTAACAAGCCACTTTTTTAGATAAAGGAAGTATATGAAGTATATGAGGGGGGTTGTATCCACATGGTGGACTTGGTTGTAGGTTGTGGCTAAGATCACCAGTCATCTTAATGTTATGAAGCTGCTGGTATTTGGTGAAATTGTAAAACTAGCCACTACTTGCTATGTAAGGTTTGGTACTTAATGTGGACCCTTGTTCTTATACTTAGATTTCAGATATCTTCAAAATCTTAGCATAGTCACAGCAAAATTTAGTTGCACATGTATTCACATTTACAGCGTTACACAGAGACACAGAGACGTTAGAAAGAATTTTTTCAGTGTCAGAGTAGTTAATAAATGGAATGCATTAGGAAGTGATGTGGTGGAGGCTGACTCCATACACAGTTTCAAATGTAGATATGATAGAGCCCAGTAGGCTCAGGAATCTGTACACCAGTTGATTGACAGTTGAGAGGCGGGACCAAAGAGCCAAAGCTCAACCCCCGCAAGCACAATTAGGTGAGTACAGCACTTTCTCCAATCATTCAGGATTTCTTACCTTTGTTTCTTGAACATTTACTGAACGTGTCACTGCTACAGTACCTTTAATTGCTACGTTAGGACTATCCCTATCGGTCTGGATAGCTCTGGGGAGCCGTAGGGGCTCCCTTCAGAACAAAAATGGATTGATAAACACTTGAAAGGTGGGCCGAAAGAGCCAAAGCTCAACCCCTGCCAGCACAACTAGGTTTCTACATGCTAACCTCTCATCTACATATGCCTAATAGTGATGAGGAGGTTATTTAATTATCTTTTTGTTATAACACTAAAGTGCAAAATCTTATGAATCAAAACCCTCTTCAACTGCTAATTAATATCACATGGACAGCCAATTATTCCTCTTCAAACTACCAGTTAGCTAAATATTTACTATGCTGATCACCACTAGATGGCAGGTTGACAATATTCTGCCTATATTTTGAACCCAAACTCATCCTCAGCATACCAGTGATATGTTTTATTACTTTATTCACTAATTAGGTTTTCCTGTGTTAAGTTTTTTTACACAGGTGGGTACAGAAACAGATGAATTCTGACTCCTGTTAGCAGGCTGAGAGCTTTCCCTTCCCATAGCTCATGGTAAGCCTTACCCTTCTAGTTTTTCCTGGAACATTACCCACCACCAATTGGTTAACAACCAGGTTCTCAATTACTGATGGATAACTAAGGGGCAAATAGTACAGATGGGTGCCCAGTAAATCCTTCCCTGGCCATGACTCTAATCCAAATCAAATCACTAGTTAGGCATGGGGTGAATGTTTACCACTGTGCCACCAGGAACTGATATATTTGTTGTAATTGCATCAGCATACGTAGTTTACCAAGTATCTTAACCCTCATACCAGGTGCTATTGGTGGACTCGCACACCAGCCCATGCAAGCTATGATGAATGATGGAGTCAGTGCCAGTAGTGTGGTTGGAGGAGTTGGCAAAGGCTTAGTTGGGATTGTGACGAAGCCAATAGGTGGAGCTGCAGATCTTTTGGTTCATACTGGCCAGGGACTCTTGCAGGTAATGTATTGGGGTTGAATTCATCCTTTATATTTTGTATAATGTAGTTCATTTGAATGAATTTTCAGTAGCTAACTGTGCTCTAACTTTCGTAAAACTTATTTATATTCATTATAATTACTGTACCTTATTTCATACTTTTATGAGTTTGGGAAAGGGATAAGTTTTGTGAAAAGCTCATCAGATGCAGGAAGTCTTTAACCCTTAAGTTGCGCAACCCATCATATGATGTGTTGAGTGACTTGTTATAAAATGAGCATTCCATCATATGATGTATTGGAGTGCTACGCAAGATTTAAACGGCCTGCGGATTCACGGGGTTCACCTCACCTTCATCAGGGCTCTTGTAAACAGACGCCATTTTTTTTAAAAATCGTGGGCCAAATTCCCGGGTGTGAGGGCCTCAGTATTGAGTGAGCCACCAAGCCTGATGCATGCAGCATGAGTCCTCCCTCACTCCAACATCTTGCTCGCCAACATTGCTCCTCCCACCATACTGTTATTGTTTTTATTACACTATGTACACATGTTATGTATATCTATCTACATGTTTTATTCACCAGAACTATGCAAGTAAGCCGGTATTGTGTCCAAACAGTACAGTGGCCACCATACACTGCATGAGAAATCACACAGCAGACAGCAGACGACGCTACGATTACGACGTCACCTCCTTTACCAAAATAGCTCCTCACAACATACTCCTGTTGCTGTTATTACACTATATATACACACTCTATATACCCATGTACATATGTGTTCACCATAGCGAACCACTAAGCTAGTATGGTGGGCAAAACAAGAGTGGCGGCCACACACAGTGAGGCTACCTCGATTTCCTCCCTCCCTCACCAAAATTCCTCCTCCCACAATACTACGCACAGCACTAATTATCACCACAATCCTGCTATTATCACAATCCTGGTCACTAATTCCTGTAAATGAATAATTGACCACAAGTTTATTTTGTAAAGGAACCTAAGAAGTCATTTGAAGATTCCTAGATGGACGAAATAATGCTGTGGTGCTGTGGCTAACGATGTGAACATTGTGAACAGCATTGAATCACTGATATTTGAATATTGTACACAGTCATAATCACACTCAGACTCTTCTGTAATACTATCGTGATTAAATAATACAAGTTATATATATATTTTGACATTATTAGGCAATACTGTGGTCACACGCTGAACAGCAGTGCTGTGATCTCATGCTGCGTACGCCAGCCTTGGTTGCTCACTCAGTACTGAGACTCTCACACCCAGGAATGTTGCGCGCGATTTTTTTTAATGGTGGCGTCTGTTTTTCAAGAGCCCTGAGGAAGCTGATGTGAACCCCATGTAGCCGCGAGAGTTTTGACTGGTACACTAAAAATATAAATACTGTACCCAGAGGCGCGTTGCGCACCCCCGTCAAGGGCCTGCAGGCGCGTTGCGCAGTTGAGGGGTTAAGAGTGAATGAAACAAAAATTTGGTACTGGCAATAATGAGTGGGTAGAAACTACAATGACCGACATTAATTATATTTACTGTGAAGGAAGTACAGAGGCAGCTGATGGAATTAGGTATAAGTAAGGCAGTTAGACCAAACCAGATATCACCATTGGCTACTGAAAGAGGCACCAGGATTATTACATAATCCACTTAGTAGTCTGTAATGTAATATAATATTAGACAGTGAGTAACTCCTGCAAGACTGCAAACATTTTACTAATGTTCAGTAAAGTGAGAACAAGGAATCATTCAAGATGAAGATTTGGCAACTATGCTTTTATATTCTTCCTGCGGTAATGGGTTCTTTTCTTATCCAGTTCCAGATTATGATGAATTAATATCCTTTTGTATTTCAGGGGGCAGGATGGCACCGAGAACAGGTACCACGATACCAGCCATTGGTTGAACCTCATAACAAGGAAGTGAATGCTCCCCTTAAGCTAGTGTGGAAGTTAGTAGCAGCGTTACCTCAGGAGTGCCGAGCTGTACTTGCAGCTGTTGATGCTACTCATCTTACAGTTGCAGGATCTTACACACCTGTTACTGTTTTACTCACTCCGCAAGTAAGTTCCTGACAATTAATGGAGTTTCATAAAATAAATAAATAGATAAATAAATAAATAAATAAATAAATAAATAAATAAATAAATAAATAAATAAATATAAATATAATATATATATATATATATATATATATATATATATATATATATATATATATATATATATATATATATATATATATATATATATATATACATACATACATATACAGTATATATTAATACTATAGGAAGGGAGTACCACCTCTGGCTGGAAGAAGGGGGAACCCTTAGCCTCGGAGGAAACCACACAACGCATTAGAGGGAATGTTTAGGTCCCCTCCAATACAGTTTCTGTGCGATTTTCTCCTACCACCCCCTTCCTTTGAATTTTTATTTTTGTGCTATTATATGTTTAAAGGTTACAAGATATACATTGGTTGATACAAAGAGTGCTTAAAGGTTATGGATCTTTTGAAGCTCCTTCGTTTCCTAACGGGAACCGAGGAAGCAGCAGGCGTTTCCCCTCTGGATCGCCACATTGAGTCGTTGAAACAAAAAACTGGCTGCTCTTGGGTCCCTGGTGACGTCAATGAGCTTGGAGCCCAATTCCTTGAGAAATCCCAAGGCACTCTTGCCCCAGGGGCCATGCGTCTCAGATGCTATGGGAACAAAGATGTATTGACCTTCCAATCGCCTGTATTTGTCTGATTTTGCTATTTCCCTGTGGTTGGCCGCCCCACCTGCTTGATCAGCACCAAAGTGTACATAGGTGTCAGCCAGGGTGGATACACACGTGTAGTCCCACACCAAGTGTGTACCCTCCTTCCAGGAGTTTGGAAGGGGGGTAGGTTTTGGAACTCCATCTGGACCAACTGCTTTGTTCTTACTTAGCTCCTTGAGCATTTTTTCCATTCCGTCTCTAGACACCTCTATGTGCTCTATGTTGTTCTCTGGAATTCTTATTGTGTCTGGTTCCCTTAAGATTTCATCTTGTACAAACACATTTTGGAACTTTTTGTTTAATGTTTCACATATTTCCTTTTCATTTTCCATGATTCTGTTTCCCATTTTCAACCTCTGAATATTATCCTTTACCTGCAATTTGTTGTTTATGAATTTATAGAATAGACCTGGTTCTGTTTTACATTTGTCTGCAATCCCTTTTTCAAAATTTCTTTCTGCCTCTCTCCTCACTGCCGTGTAGTTGTTTCTCACATCTTTGTATCGCTGGTATGTTTAGGGGTTTGGCCTCTTCCTATATTGATTTCTTGGGAGTTTGCTTGGGAGTACCCGGAGCACAAGTTCGAATCCTCCTCATGGTCCCTACTGATTTTCTTGTTAATAAATCATGTTAATGGGATTTCTTTGGGCACAAGAGCATGTTGTCTTGGCAGTGTGTCTCACTGCAAGCTCAGGGCACAATCGAGAGAGCTATTCAGAAAGGAGCCCTTAAATTCTCTCACCTTTTTATGTTTTTTATTATTTTTATTGGTATGTAAAGTATGTGACATTGTAGTTAATATGGTACTCTGAATGTTTATTCCTTGTTTTACATTGTTATTTATTTTGATCAGGTACTTTTTATTCTGAGCGTTGAAGAAGATGCCCAGCAGCACGCTCTCCCTCTGGCTGAAGTCACGTGGCGGGCTCATCCCTCTGATCCTACACTTATTTACATTGAGAAAGTTCAACCTGAACCTAAACCTCAGAACCCAGATATGGAGGTGAGTTTAGCCTGTTACATTGCTTTGTAACTTAGATTAGCTTGTTTCATAACTTCACAGCAACGTGAAATTAATTATTTAAATCTTTGGTTCTAGTGTAACTTGAAATAGGGTCCAGGAATATCCTCGTTCCACACACTAACAAGTAGTGACACAGTAGTTAACATGTGCAATTAGATCATCCCCAGACTCTGGTTCCCACTAGTGGGATCTGAACCAATACCAGGGTCTTTTCTCTCACCCAGAAAATGGCGTTACATTATATTCAATGCTTTTCTAGGGGGAACCCCATCGGCTCTCCGGAGCTATACCAGGCTGATATGCTAATGTCAGACTTTGGCATCAGTCATGTGTATGGAGTTCTGTGGGCCTACTGGGGACCACGAGCCAGAACCTGGCCCCCTCAGAGAGACAAGGGGAGCAATGGCCTATAGAAACCCCCGTGTGGTTGGAAGCATTCTATGTCTGCCATCGACCATGTTGGGCACCCAGAAAGGTAAGCTTCCCAAAGCAAATCCCCTATTCAGGTTAAAATTGTTACCTAACGCCGAACTAGTGGATAGAACTTACTAAAAAGAAACGAGCAAACTAGCATGACATCACACGTCACTGTGCCGCTGTCTGCGCAGCTCCCCCCTCCAGGGAGGGGGGAAGGGGAAGCCCCAGACCCCTGTCCCTTCTTAGGTGGCTGTGTTTTGTTGGCATTGTCTTGTTCCTTTCTTGTGGGGGTTCGTGACCATCATTTTGCCGCATACAGTCGCCTCGTATCGCACGGCGCTGGCAGAGCTGCTTCCACTTGCGTTCGGTATTGATGTTGCTTCTAAGCCGTTCCGCAAGCTGTCTCATGCGTTGTTTCACCTCCGGCCTGCTCATGTGATTTATTATCATGGGATTTATTAATCAAAGCGTTAGTAACAAGACACCTGGTGTGGTTCTTCAGCTCTATCTTGCTCTGGTTAGGCCCCATTTAGATTATGCAGTTCAGTTTTGGTCGCCGAACTATAGAATGGATATAAATTCACTTGAACGTGTCCAGCGTAGGATGACAAAGTTAATTCCCCAAATTAGAAGTCTTTCATATGAAGAAAGATTATTAAATCTTAAATTGCATTCACTGGAAAGACGAAGAGTTAGGGGTGACATGATAGAAGTTTACAAGTGGATGAATGGACATAACAAAGGGGATATTAATAGGGTATTAAAAGTATCAACTCAAGACAGAACACGAAACAATGGGTATAAATTGAATAAGTTTAGATTTAGGAAAGACTTGGGTATATACTGGTGCGGTAACAGGGTTGTCGATTTGTGGAACCAATTACCGCGTAACGTGGTGGAGGTGGGGTCCCTCGATTGTTTCAAGCGCGGGTTGGACATGTATATGAGTGGGATTGGGTGGTTATAGATAGGAGCTGCCTCGTATGGACCAATAGGGCTTCTGCAGTTACCTTTGTTCTTATGTGCCGCTTGTGCCGTCCTGGTCATTGGACAGAGTGCTCTTTTCTTCCTTCTCCTCGGTTTATGGTGGCCCCACCGGTTCTGGTTTTCTGCTCCTTCGGTCGGGGCGGTAGGTTTGTTCGTCTGCAGCCATCTCCTTCTTATCTGGCAAAATTGAGACTGCTGCTTTCCTGAGGGGTCCTTGGGTTTTTGATGCATGGTTGGTTAGGCCAGGGGTGCATCGTGTTTTGTGGCTCATGGCGTTTCTCCCCCGTTATTTGCGCGCCTCGGCTTCTGTGTTTGTGGTCGCGTTTTGGGTTGCTCCTGTTTCCCTTTTTTCCTGTTCACGGGTGCGGGTTTCCCAGGTCGTCCGCAGGATTCTTACGGCTAGCTAGCCTGCGGTCTAACCCCGTGCTCGTGACGTTTGTAAGTTCGCGGCTCTTGCCGCCGTCTTTGGCAACGTGACCTGATTTAACATTCGGGTGCGGGGTTTTTTGGCAGTCGAACAGGGTCTTGGCTGCTCGTTATCTTGTTCCTGGGCTTAATCTGGCCTGTGTCGCCTTGGGTCGGCGGTTGCAGCCGGTTGTCTCGGTTTTGAGTTGTGGAGCGAGCAGCGACTGCCTCCCGGATGTGTCCCTCTACTTTCCTCTGTGGCTAGTTAGCTCCAGGGAGCCAACGGGGCTCCCCCCAAAAAACCAGCATTGAATGTAATGAAACGGCATTTTCTGGGTGTGACCCGGAGGCTCCCCGGCATCCCTCCTTCCCTCCGGTCAGCGGTTTTCGCGTTTTCTTGAAATCCAGCCTCGGAACTGGGGTGTGGATCGCCGGCGTGGGGGTCTGAGGCTCCCCCTTTCCCCTCTCAAGGAGGGGGAGGCTGCGCAGACAGCAGCGCGGTGACATGTGACATCGTGCTAAGTTTGCTTGTTTCATTTTGGGGAGTTCTATCCAATAGTTTGGCGTTAGGTAGCAATTTTAACCAGAATAGGGGTTTGGTTTGGGGCGCTTACCTTTCTGGGTGCCCAACCCAGTCAATGGCAGACACAGAATGCTTCCGATGCGGGGGTTTCTATAGGCCCTTGCTCCCCTTGCCTCTCTTAGGTGGCCAGGTTCTGGCTCGTGGTCCCCGGTAGGCCCACAAAACTTCATACACGTGACTGATGCCAAAGTCTGACATTAGCATATCAGCCTGTATAGCTCCGGGAAGCATCCGGGGTCACACCCAGAAAATGGCATTTCATTACATTCAATGCTGGTTTTTTTTTTACATAGCAATGGCAGTTGTATTGATAGTAAGATCATTTTTGGGACTTGCAGCCTGTGAGTGGGTGTCCAGAACGTGTTGCTGATTATGTACGTAGCACCTGTAGTGAAGGTGTGGAGGCTGTGGGACTAGACTCTACGCCAGGATCATCAGAGGAAGGTGATCATATGCCTGGGCATCTCACCCGCATCAAGCTCTATGTTTCTCCTCGCTTAAGACCAGCATTGTTATCTGCTATCAACATAGCAGCTCGTGCCAGCCAAGGAAGAGGATTTATTGTGTGATAGACAAGATTTAGTTACAGTACTGTTAAGTATCTTGCTCTTACTCTCTTGACCATCCATGCCAACCATCCATATTGAAGTTCAAATATACTTATTGTATAAGTAAGCTGTGGCATGATAGCCTTTTCATAGTTCTGTTATTTATCCCCGAGTATTCTTCACGTGAATACTACTCCACTCAAATATCAACATATACTTCAGTGATTTTAAAATTCTTAACCACCTTTTACACAAGTTGTTGATAGGATTCCATATACTTTTGAACCTCCAGCTTCAGTTTGCTGGCTGATTTCATTGGACTTTAAACATTTTATTGCCTAAGGCTTCAGTCACATTGTTTTCATTGTCCTTTTTTTTTCAAGCTATAATTGCTTTTTCTTTTCTTGTAAGAGGTCATTAGTGTTCATTAAGAACATGCTTGCTTTTAATCAATTTCATAGCCCAGGGAAGTAAGAATCCAAGTGTACACATTCTGAGAGACATATGTCCTATTTTTTATACAATATAAATAAATGATTATATGTTCTAGCAAGGAATGGGAGATGTAAGTATGGTATTTTATAAATGTTCTACCAACAGTTAACACCATATTATAGTTCAATTTGCAAAGTTTAAATCTATTAGCCAGGTGACTGAAATAGTTATATTAATTTTTAATATTGTAGTACTCATTTACACTTTTTACCACTTTAATATAATAAAATAATGGCTAATATTTCAGGCATTTGTTTAGACAACAAAGGTTTTAAGGGAACCAAACTTGAGCTTCAAAATAAAGGAAGCAAGGTGGAGTTTGTGTCGAATCACCTGACTATTTCTTCTGCAGCAGTTTGATGATGCAGTACTAGTACCAATATGGGGTTGAATATTCACAAATGTAAACTGTTATTACTGAACTTCTACAATGGTTCTGCTTTTTTTTCAGTTGAATTCTGATTGTGTAATTTGTGTTCCTGTAGTTTATCATTATTGTAAAGTTCAGAGATAACTATTCACTGCTAAATTGCTGTGTACAACAATCATTTATGTGCTGGCAGGTAGAACCTTGTCCAGTATACTCTCTCTCCCAAAGATGAATGAACTGTACATTAATCATTACCTTTTCATAAAGTGCTTGTGACCAAATTTTTATGATATAAAATATATTTTAATAAGGATGTTCTATGCACTCTGCAGAACTGTGATAATGTATGTGTGAGAACATTAGCTGCTCCTAGTGCTGCTTTTGAGTAAAAGTTTCATATGTGTAACAATTAATGTATATTAATGAATTGGTATATTATTAAAAACTAGGAAATGGTGGGTGCACAGCTCTTCCTACATAAGTATATGTCATGTCCAGTTGTAAAGGTTCTTCCCATTGTTGTAGATGGAATGCTATTTATTTCTGTGGGTGTGATATTACATGTATAAATATATGTAGATGTATATACTGTATGTAAATATTAGTTGGCCTGTGAATGTATGTGTAATTACCTAAGTGTAGTTACAGGATGGGTGTGTGTGTGTGTGTGTGTGTGTGTGTGTGTGTGTTGATTAGGTGCCCCCTCGTGTGCAAGTGTAAAGGTTTCTTACTTATTAATAAAGAGTTCTCCTATGTCAATATACAAAAATAAATTCATACAACAGTTTTGTTATTTAGATGGATGTAAATTTTCATTGTTTGTCCGTTTACATGTACTGTACATTTGGGAATGTACTAATGTAATATAATGACGGGAATTTCTATCTGTATATGTGTATGAAAGTAAGTAAATATATTTGTACATGTTGTACATTTATATGTGTGTGTGTGTTAGTTTACTGTAGTGGTGGAGTTAACCCTTCAACTGCGGTTATCGTCAATTGTTGATTCACAGACTAATGCAGTTATCATCATATGAAGATTAACAAAATTATTGTCTGGGTTTTACATGTATGATGCAAATATGGATATAATAGGTCTATGTGGATGTAAGGAGTTTACCTTGACCCATGAAAAAAATCCTGCTACAGTTTCATGTTACAAATGCGGTTATTGTCATGAATGTTACTAGGGGAAACATCAGAGGATAAAACATGAAGTGTCAGCAAAGTTGAGCAGCAGGCGCTGACAAGCGTCAGATGCAGACTTAGTGCCTCCACCCAGTGAAGCGATAACTATTCACTTACTTTTGTGTTTTTCTTATATTCTGCGCACAAATTTGTAATTCTGTAATGAAAAATTATTTGTAGGCATTTTTTTAATTATTTGTTGTGCATAGGCAGGTATGACCATTTCTCCATAGCTGCTGTCTAAGGGTTCAATCATGTTCTCGTGTGTTTGTTTGTATACTCCATCATTATGTCTTGATTTGAGTATATTGTACTGTACTGTATATTGTTTATTGGAACATATGGTATTTTAGTTTACTTGAATATACAATATGTTGGTTCATTTACCTGTGTGTTTTTATTCACACAACATTTATTTATATGTTATAATATATTATTCAATATATTATTATATATTGTAATGTATGTGGTTGGGGGGGGGGGGGGGAATCGCTGGGATGTTACGGTATAAGGTAGACGGGGGAATGTAGGTGTTTTCATGAATGTGTTCCTCTTCCTGTCTTTCCTTTTCATTGTTTTATTTTTGTGTATTCTTATGAAGGTGTCATCACAGCCAAGTGTATTATATATGCACAAGTATCAGTGTGTGTCTAATTATTGGAGTCTATGAAAAAGTTCTGAGCCTAACATGTTTAAGGATATGGTTCAAACTATTTCTTGAGGTTATCTTGAGATGATTTCGGGGCTTTAGTGTCCCCGCGGCCCAGTCCTCGACCAGGCCTCCACCCCCAGGAAGCAGCCCGTGACAGCTGACTAACACCCAGGTACCTATTTTACTGCTAGGTAACAGGGGCATAGGGTGAAAGAAACTCTGCCCATTGTTTCTCGCCGGCGCCTGGGATTGAACCCAGGACCACAGGATCACAAGTCCAGCGTGCTGTCCGCTCGGCCGACCGGCTCCCTGTTCAAACTATGGTTCAAACTATTTGTTTCTTGTTTTGTTCTGCTGTGCAAAGTAGTGAACATAACATTAGTGTACTACATTTAGGACCACAGACAAGCTGGGAAGTAAATATGTAAACATAGACAAAATTTAGTGCAGAAGAGTCAACAACTATTAACCACGTATAGGACAACTTGATCAGCACGCTAGGGAACGGTGACCTCTTTATGTTCCACTACAGACATCATCTGCTAAGTACAAACATGGTTGAGCCCATGTTGAAGGGCATCTTATTTTAGAACTTTCCTAAGAAGTAATGTCTGAAATTCAAGCAAATGCCCACCAGACTTGATTAGATTTGTGTTATGTACAGTTTTGATGCATTCTTTAAGGGGCATACTATTAAATGTGCTGTATTCCCCCATGGCCTTCTTCCTACCATTGTAATGGGTGGTGGAAGCTGCTCTGGCTTGGCCACACATGCTTAACTCATGGGCACTTTATGAAACAAAGACTTCATTGTGTCCTTTACTGTCGTGCACCTCGTCATAGAATGTTCTGATTATCAGCATAAACGTAATTCTTACTTTCCTAATGTCCCTTTGAGTCACATGCCTCTGGAAAAACTCCGCTGTGAATCTGGTAACTTTGACACTGCTCATCTTATGTCTTTCTGCTCTCTTATTGCATCCTAAATGATATTTAGGACCTATTGATTTTTTCTGCAATACAGGCGGTGCTAAATAGTCTTACAAGTTTGGTGCCTTCTTTTGATAATTACTGTAGTACAGTACTTACTTTTCTTATAAGGGCACCATTGTTTTGCAGTTTAATGAATGTGATTACCTTTGACTATAGTAATATGCCATAGCATTTTGAATGTGTAATTTTTTTTTATTAAACAAATGCAACTACTTAGAGATTTTTTGTCATAGTTATAATTTTATGAAAAATTAAAGCTGATCCAAATAGGGAAAATGGTAAGTACAGTATACAGTATCAGTACAGGTACTGTACACTGTAATGTAATGTGAAATGTTAAAATTTCTCTCCCAATAAAATCTGTAATGTTAAACATTTTGCAGTTTGTACTACAGTATTGAAATGGTGTTATTCTACTTGTGAGAGTAGAGAGTCTGGTCCAACTTGCTGTTGCTTGGTTCAGCCTGCAGGCTTACATATTCACTACTGCCCGGTTGGTCCAGCACTTTTTACATAAAACTGTCCAATTTTCTCTTGAAGACTTCCACTCTTGTTCTGGCAATATTTCTTATACTTGTTGGGAAGATATTGAATAACTGTGGACCTCTGATGTTCATACTGTATTCTTTGATTGTGCCTATGGCACCCCTACTCTTCATTGGTTCTATTAGTGAATTGCCTATTTTAGGGAATGTTTAAGCTAAAACAACTAAAGTTTTTATTTGTACAGGTATCTTGTCTCATTGATACAGTGTGTTCCACTTGTGTTCAGTCACAGACTAGACTGATAATTGAATCATTAATGTTGTTTATCCAGTTATTTCTTCATCCTGCCAAGCTATAGCTTTTACCAACAGGCTGTGTATTATGGGCTCCACAACAGTACTTTTAGTTGCGTATAGTGATGGCATGAGTGCCTGTTAGTTAGAAGAGTTCTCAATATGGTAGAGTGTTGACTTTTAACCACTAGCCCATAATTTTTAAAGTAAATATAGCCATATTTACACTGGCAAACAGCTTGCCATTTGGTTTGTGGTAAATGTGTGTTGACACCAAATACTGTATAATAACTGTGAATAAAATTCAAAATATAAATGAGTGAGTAGCAGTATGTAAATGTACTTAGATACATATACATAAATATAATAAGTTTCAGTAAAGGATTATCCTTGCTTTCATGCAAATAAACAAAACATTTGTATGTATTGTTATTCTCTGTTTTATTGTTAACAAAATCTACATTTTATTATATATTTTCCAGGTTGTTAATCCATAGGTTTTGGTTGACAGATGTTCTCAGCATTTTGATACACGTACTGTATGTTGACTTAAATATGTAAATAAATTAATGCAAATGTATGATCCTTAGTTATAAAGTAACAGTACTGGTAATGCTATCATTTCCCCAAGCTGCATGTGCTTGTGCATCATTTATGGGACTAGGGAAGTTCATGGGCATAAGTCGTTGCTGTACTACTGGGCATCACCTGTAAATGTTTTGGGCATTAAAAGTCATACTGTAGCATAAGTTACAAAGACATAATATTATGCATACATGTTTATACTTACCTAGATGTGCTTGTAGGGTTGAGTGTCAGTTCTCAAGCCCCAATTTTTGAACTCTTAGTACTATAGTTTAATGCAGTGACATTTTATTCTTCATGTTTACATGTCAAATTATTTATTGAGTTGCCTTGAATCATTTCATCATTTAAACCATTCCATTTATTTATGACTGATATACTGAAGCTCTTTCTTACAGCTGTGTGACTTGTATATCTCTTGACTCCATCTATGTGCCCTTTGTTACCCCCATCATTCCCTGTATAAGTGTGTGCTTTTGTGTGGGTATACATACATGTTTATTTGGTTCATTGGGCCCATTTGGATAATTCACTGTATTCAGTTTTATTATTTCTCCAGTTGGTACGTGTTCTTTCTTGGGGATGCAGCAGCAGTGTTTACATAGTGTGTGTTTATTGTGAACAAGAGTCTTGTAAATGGAAGTGTTAGTTTATACTTCTCAGACATGAATTCTTAAATTCACCATTTATTTTCAGCATGTACCCTGCAACTGTAGTCAACTCACAATTGGAGAATTGTAATTATGTACGAATTTCTGAAAAATAATTGCTGAAAACATCACTGTATGCACAAGTTTGGGGAGCTATTCTAGTACTGCTTTTATGTATTCAAAGCAAGACTGGCCTTTATTAAGGCTCCCTAATGGTATTTTTTGTTAAAACAGTTAAATTGTGGTAAATCATCCCCTGACTTTGAATGTACAGATATTAAATACATACTAATAGATTGATTTAGTAATATTTGGTAACTATTCAGAAATAATACTTGTGTAGATCTGGAATCTGTAGTGCAGAATAATACTGAAAGTTTTACTGGTACAAGCTACAAATACTCTTATTGTCATATATAGCACAATGATTGATGTTCACAATTCAGCACTTAATTTTAATTATTAGTATGGCTTAGCACTTTTTGTTGACAATATTTGTAATTTTTTGTATGTTGTAAAGATCCAGAGAAAAGTAACACATTTTGAAAACAGCATAGATACCAGGGCAGTTGTTAAGGAAGACCATGAATTGTTAGTGTTTAATACTTCAGTTATAAATGGTGTTTCAAATGTGTGTGTTAAACTTCATGTATTATTTTTAATAATTAAAGAGGTTGCTCTATATTAGGACGTTGTTAATATTAATATGAATGATGCAATGTGCTGTGAATGCACAGATGTGTGGTGTACGAAATGGGGTCTGGTATGGGAACAGAGTTTGGGAATTTTTGTTAATCGAGTAGAATTGTTTTCATAAGTAATTTTGAGATGAAATCTCTGAAAATACAGTGAAAGAAAACACCTTTGGCAATAAAGAAGTTTTTCTATCCCAAAATGTAAATCATGTAAGTTGCTTAAACAGCTAATACTGTAATGTTATTACAGTATTAGCATACATGGCTAGATTAATTGTTGTAGTATAATATTCTAGTCTATCTAAGAATATGTTTCCTCCCCACACTGGCAAATTATATGTTAGAAGTTTGGCCATAGTACTTTGACTTACAAAAGTGCTATGTTATTTTACCCACTTTACACACAGAAAGCACAATAGCATGGTGCATCAAATGAACAAAATGGGGTGCTCTCGGACGTAGGTTTGAATCCTCGTCATGGCCCTTGTGGATTTGTTCATTATTTTAGCCACTTTATGGCAAGTCTGGCCATATGTTAAGTACTTTTGTGACCTTACAATGCATTAATTGTGGTGGTGGCCATGCTGAATTCTCAGGGTCCTATACTCATTTTAAAATGCAGCATTTCATTCTGCATCTCAAGCACAAGGACAACATTCCCTCTTCCAAGGTGAGGCATCAACTATGATCCCTATGCTCCTTTACAGGCATAACATTTGCTCGTGCTGCCTTTGACCCTTTGACCCAATCACCCTCTGGTTCCCTGCTTAGGAATTGTTTCCATGTCTTTGCCACTAAGACCATGACTGAGGTACCTCATTCGGCTCTCCATATCCATGTCCTATTATCCCTGCCTTTTCCTGACTATCTTCACTTTTCACTTTTGGTCTGTTCTAGGACATGAGTCAGGTTCTAGTTTGTAGACCTGGAACCTCTTGTTGAGTTCTTCACACACTTTTTCATTCTCTAAAAATGTTTCTCTATGTCCCCATAGTGTAATCACAAGGTCTCAATCTGTTGTTTTAGTCTGTATGCAGCTGTGCAATAGCTTAGGTTGGTTCTTTGTGTTTACAGCAGTATCGTTTTATAACTGATTCTCTGCTTTTCTGATTATGGTATACAGTACTCATTTCTGACCCTCTTAAGTGCCTTCCTATTGCTTCTGTGTTAAGAGTTCCTTTATATAATTTGATGACTTTCTTTCCATGTTTCAGCTCTGTGAGGCTCGTTTGTTGACCAGCCAATTTCTCTGTGATTAAAATCCTCGAGCACTAGAAACTTTGCTCTCGCTTCCCTTGCCACTGTGTGCGCCTTCTCATTTTTCTTAAGGAATGTTTTCTTGCATACATTGTACTCTTCCCTTAACCTTCCTGTGTTTAGTGGATGGCTGTAAATAACCCATGCCACTGTTTTCATGGACCCCACTGTTGTCACACTTAGTATGTAGTTCTGCAGGTTGGTTATTTCTGGAATCTATGATGATGATATATGATACATTAGTAGGGCTATTTCTGCTCCCTGTTTATCCTTTCCTTTTGCACTACCTGGTATCGTTTTGAAAGTATCATATGATCTGTTAAGTTTGTCAGTTTTGTTTCTGTAACTGTGATGATATGTGGGTGTAGTTCCACCACTTGTTCTTGCATATCTTTCCCCTTATTTATAATTGTCAGATTTTGTGTACAAATTTTATATACATGCACTCATTTAGCTTTTTCCCAAAGCACCCGGTTGCTTGTTCCCAGATTTCATGGACTAGAATTATCTGCATCACTTGTCTGTTATAAAATGTTATTAAACATTTAAGTTCATATTCAAATTCAAATGAAATATCACATTCAGTACATGTACAGAGGCATTCTTGCTTCTTAATCCCTGAAGGTTAAGCATTGCTGCTTCATTCTGTATTTGTTTCCCTTCGAAATGCTATACTGTATAGTGATACTGAGTTAGCAATTTCATATAATAATTACTTTATCAAGATGGGAGTAATAAAAGACGTCAATGTTACAAAATGAGCGACTTTATTGTCGTGTGGAATGTACAAGACACTAATCGCTAAACAATGGTATACATTCCTGAAGAGACTTGTAATAAACATTACTGAAAGTAACAACATACTGTGTGGACAGTGGTAAAATGGGTGGGATTTTACTGTCGGTGTGGATATATCACAAGGATGAAAACAAACTTAAGAGCTACATTTGTGAACTTAAAACTGTAACACGTCCTAGCCAACAGATGGCAATATGTACAGGAAACTATATTACAAAATATTGAGCGCGTGCAAAACATGCAAATGTTGAATCATCGGACGCTAATATGATACATGAAGTGGGATTAACAGGTAACGTAAGTTATATATATATAAAATGTAAATATTTCTTGATATAAGGTGAGATAATCTCTTTGATATCAGTGGTGTAAACAGTCTACACAGTGACACACACACACTGAAATCAACTTAGTAACAACACATAACACAACATTTCATGCAGCTGTCTTGCCCAGACATCTGCTGTAAGCCCGTCGCCAGGACGACTGAAATAAATACAGTCAACATATAAAATATATAAAAATACATAGGGTGCCCGCCCTATCTTGATATCACTTCTATAAATACTTTCACTTAAAACTAAGAGGAATATCTAAAGCTTAAGTTTAGTTAACCGTAGACGTCGAGTCATCTGTAAAGAAAGAGAAAATTACTTTAGTTAAAGGGTTAAATAAGTTACAAACATTAAAATATATTTAGTCAGAGTACTCCAAAAATCAGTTGACATGACTGAGAGTAACATATGGGTCAGTTAACTTATTTTCTGTACTACAAAATTTATGTATTTTTTTTATTAAGTCCTTTATTTGTTTATATTTATTTTTGATATTCCAAATGATATTTAGAACCTGTTGAATATCTTGTGATGCACAGTGCTAAATAGTCTACATGTCTTGGTGTCTTCTTTTAATAACTGTTTGCTTCATTTTTAATTTATGCTCTTTTTATTTAATTTATGGGCATTAGTGCTATTAAAGTTGAAGAATCCACAAGAAAAAGAACTTTGGTAACATATACCAGGGTTTCATTTTGTAGATGTTTACTTGCTTAACGAATAAGTTTCCAGCAGATAAGTAGTGGTTCAGGAATATATCCATTTAGTTACAGTATTTGTACCTTGTTTCTGCTTTTGTTTCATGTTGATCCCAATCTTAAGCATATGGGTAGCGTAATCAGAGTCTGTATTATCCGTTCGTAACCCCTGGTGGTGTGTGCTGAATGTTGGTGGTCTGCCCCACCAGAAAGTTTACATTATCTGATCGTTTGGTATTTCTTAGGGTGTGAATGGATATTTTGAAGTCGTGGTTATTTATTATTATCACTGTCATATGCATATTAAGAAACAGTTTGATAGCAAGTATTTCTGTGTGAAGTGTGTTGGCATTATTGATCAGATTTATGTATGGTGACAGCTTGAACATAAGCTTTTCAATTAAGATATACTTTTAAAGTTGGTTCCCATACTTGCATACCATAGTGCAGATGGGGCATAACAGAGACTTGTACACCTAATGTACTAAATGTACGAAATGCGTTTTCTTTCTACGAGAGATTCATAAATTTAGTTAAGTTACTCCTTGTGTCATTTAAGCAAGAAGCCTCATATTTAGATAGTTTCCGTGGTGTAGTGGTAAGACACTCGCCTGGCGTTTCGAGAGCGCTTTGTCCTGGGTTCGTATCCTGGCCGGGGAGGATTTACTGGGCGTCAATCCTTAACTGTAGCCTCTGTTTACCCAACAGTAAAATGGTTACCTGGTTGTTAAACGATTTGGCGGATTGTATTCCGGAGAACATAGGATTAAGGACTTGCCAGAAACGCTTTGTGTACTAATGGCTGTACAAGAATGTAACAACTCTTGTATATATAAATAATAATAGTAAAGACGTTTACAAAGCGTGTTTGATAGTGGCGGCCACAACGTGACTACTGACGGTAAACCTGGAATTTATAGGAGCAACGCGTCACGCTTCTTGCTTCGCCATCAAACCTCGTCACGCCCTCGTCACGCCCTCGTCACGCCCTCTCCAAATTGAAATTGAAAACTGACGAACAGCATTTAGAGATAAAGCCCTTACTGTGTCGAGTAGAAAATCATTATTAGCGAAGAGTGAGAGTGTGGGGAAGCTGCTTCAAACACTTTCCCTCGCTGCGTTATAAACTGTCCTTTGCAACACGGGCACTCATACACAACAAACAAACAGGCTCTTCCCTCCCCCTCCTAGATAACTTACTTGTATATGTGAGAGACGCGGTAGTCTAGTACCCACCACCACCATAGTTACACACGGTGGTGTAATGGGGCTCGGTCTTGGTGTGGGTGATGGTGACGTAGCCGTGCTTGGTCTCCGTCACCGTAACATACATGTGCTGCAGTTTGGTTTGGTAGTTGGTCTTGGTGACGTAGTGAGGCTCGTCCTCCGACACCGTCACGTAGTTTTGCTCCACCTTCGTCTCCGTGACGTAGTGAGGTTCCTGCACAGTCTTGTACACGTGTTCCGTCACCGTCACGTAGTAGGGGACCTGTACCACAGATATAAACACTTGTTGTATTCATGCTTTAAAAACACCCGTTTTACACGTGTGTCGATACTGATCAACGTATTACTTAAGGTTTATTTAAACTATTACTATACTAAAAGTAGAGGCGTATCCAAGCCAAAGTTGATCACAAGCTGGTCACGTGGAGGCCTGGTGTAAATATTGGTGCTTCTCAGCAGACAACACCCCGCACGTCAAGGCTGGTCCGTCAAGCAATACTGACGGAGTTCGAGACGTGTGGTGGACCAGAGTTAGGGAGGAGCTAGGTAGAGATGTGAAGACCTACCCGAGGAAGGACTCACCTGGATGGTGTTAGTGCAATAGTGGCTCTCGGTGAGGGTTTTCATGTAGTAGTGAGTGCCCGGCATCATCTCCTGAACCTTGGTAACGTGCGCCTCCGTGAACTTAGCCGTGTTGTATGCGACCTGCAGGAGGGACAGGTAGGTGAGGCAGGCAGGAGCTCCCGGAGAAGGGAAGGTAAGTTAACACGGGAGAGGAGGCCACTTAACACGGAAGGGAAGGTAGGGTAACACGCAAGAAGCACAAATAAGTGACAAGAACAGATAAAATGTTGTTTTTGATGTAGCTACTCGGAATGAAATGTCCATGTAGCACAGGCTATAGTGAGCTCGTAAGGGAAACATTTTATTAATTGAATTGAATAGATATAAGGTGTTGGTCCTATATATAAGGTTTACTTATCTTGGTATTCATAATGTTATCAGGTGGCGATACTTTACAACCACACAGTTACACAAGCAATCATGATTTTCAGAAAAATCTTAGGTGATTCCCTTCACCGTGAATTAAGGGGAAGATCCGTAGCGTGACCTCACCTTGGTTTCATAGATGACCTGGTCAGGCAGAGGTTGGGTGACGAACTCGTACTGGACGACCGTGGTCGGATAGTAGAGTGTCTCCGTCATGTATTTGTAGAGCGTCGTGGGGATGTACTGCGGGCAAGGGAAGGGGGTTACATGATGACGGAGACCACCACCCGGTGCCATACAGTGCCACCTGGTGCCACCCGGTAGCCACCTGGTGCCACCTGGTGCCACCCGGTAGCCACACAATACCACCCGGTAGCCACACAGTGCCACCCGGTAGCACACAGTACAAGGGGTCAACATTGTTACAGCAGTATACAGGAGAAGACTATGTCAGGATAAATTATTATAAGTTTACCGTCATGAAACAAATCAGGTACACTTATAGTTACTAAAATGTTTAAAATACATTTGATGTGGTTTTACTGGAACTATAGAGTAAATTAAGATATTGTTACAATATGCAAATAGCAACAAAGTTGGGAGAAGTGATGCGAGGCTTGCAACTCTGACATTCAGAGCAGCCTGGCCTCGAGCCGGGCTTGGGGGGTAGAAGACTCCCAGAACCCCATCAACCGGGTATGCACAATTTTTTTTTAATATTTGAAGTATAAATTATATTGCATTTCGTCTTTACAAATGAGTAACAAATATGGAAAAACGAAAACAAATATTACAAACAATTTTGTATTTACTACCTCATCCTACATAAACGCTAATTCAATTCCGATATTACTTGCTTCTTTAAAATTTGTATCTAAATTTTACATTTTCTTTTGTAACAGCTGTTTATCTATAATAACAAAGCAAAGCTTATTAGGTAATATCAGCAGGATATATCTCAGTTCTTGGTAACTTTAGGGCTTTATAAGCAGAATATAATCAGCTTGGTTTCTATGATGCTTAACATCATAAGTCGCTGCCTAAGGTTAAGCATTAATACCGTTGAGGGAGGATGGGAGATCTCACCACAGGTTAACACCTCAAGACAAAGGTTAGTTACATAGTCACAAGAGAAGGGAGATGGACGATACAAGTCACATTAACCAACATGAAGGTAGACAGGTGACCCGCTGACAAGATGAACCCAAGAATCACTCTTCTCTTTACAACAATGATTTAGCTTCAGCTTTTGCTTCTAATAAATGAATCGGTAATAGATGTCTTAGTTACATTAGTTGATTTGGATGACGGATATGTTAAGTGCTTTACCATCTAATAAGGAAGTAGTTACCTGGTTTTGGGTCATCCAGGAGGTGTGGTGTTCCTTGGCTACCTTAGTGACCGTGCTGTACGCTGTCTTGTCGTAGCACTTTTTCGGGCACACGTTTTTGGGCTTTGGGGGAGGTCCATAGCTAGGAGCAGGGGGAGGTCCATAGCTAGGAGCTGGGGGAGGTCCGTAGCTAGGAGCTGGAGGAGGTCCGTAGCTAGGAGCGGGAGGGGGGCCATAGCTGGGGGCAGGAGGAGGGCCATATTTGGGTGGTGGGGGTGCACCGTAGCTGGTCGGGGGTCGAGCAGCAGGATAGTCCGGGTCTGCTTCAGCATCTGCACGAGCCACAGCCACTAGGGCCAGAACCAGCACCACACGAGACATCTGAAACAACAAATGTTGCTAACTTACACTCACTGAATTTAAATATATTAATACACAAGAAAAAGCTACATAAATAACATAAATAAATAATTAAAGATTACACGTGTTTTTTAATAGAAATCGAAACAATCTTCTGTTGATTTGAAATTTGAAAGCTATTTGCATCCTCAACTCTCTATAGCGTCGTTACTGCGAGGGTGGGCAGTTGTCTCCCACATGCAATAAGCCAAATAGTGACTATAAGCAATAAGTCATATATGTACTGTCTTCTGCGAGAGCGGGTTGCCCACATTCTGCTGCAGCTGTACTCATTTTAGATTAACTAATTTTCACTTAAACGTATGGGTTGGGGCTATACTTTTCTCAGCCACGATACTTGCCAAACGTGCCGGGAAGAGGACTTTATCCTGGTGCGAGATAGACAAGTGAGGCGGGAGAGAGAGGCAGAGGAGGCAGAAGTAAACACAACTGACGAGGGAAGTGGGGAGGTAAGGAAGAATGACACGCACGAAGCTGAGCAAAACAAAAACCATTCGAGCCCTGATATTACCAGAGCCCTGATACCTCCAGAGCCCTGATACCTCCAGAGCCCTGATACCTCCAGAGCCCTGATACCTCCAGAGCCCTGATACCTCCAGTGCCCTCACCTCCAGTGCCCTGATACCTCCAGAGCCCTGATACCTGCAGTGCTACTAGAGGCGCGGTGCGCGTCAGCAGGTAACATGTACTGTGTGCCGAGGGTGTGTGGGCGGCAGGGCGTGGACCTTACCCCACCCTGCTTTATGGGCGATCCCTCAACACAATAGTTACTCTACAGTGGTCATTATCCCTAAGTTATGACCGGGCTGGGAGCACTGAAGTAGTGACTGTAGGTAGCTAGAGGTTAATAATACTCCGGCGAGTGTTCTCTATAGTCACCCCTCAGATGTTTACATCCTGGCGGGCGGGAGCAGTTGGCTGCCTCACCAACCACAAGATCTTTACTTGAAGACGGCTAATAAAGGCGTGTTGCCGTAGGCCTACTCACCCGTGCAAGACACGTCCCTCTTTCCTCTTGCATCATCATCATCTTTGTTAATATTTTATGATCATATTATGATCACGTGGTTGCTTTTCTCCGCTCTCTGACACCAGATGACCGTGGAGGTAATCTTGGGGTTATCTGGAAATGATTTCGGGGCTTAGCGTCCTCGCGGCCCGGTCCTCGACCAGGCCTCCTTTTTATTACACACCCCCAGGAAGCAGCCCGTAGCAGCTGTCTAACTCCCAGGTACATATTTACTGCTAGATGAACAGGGGCATCCCCTGGGCATCAGAGTAAAAGAAATTGCTCATTTGTTTCCGCCTCCGCCGGGGATTGAATCTGGAACCTTAGGACTACGAATACCGAGCGCTGTCCACTCAGCCATTAGGCCCCCGCGAATGAGACAAGTAGCGTTCTTAATGACAAAATTCTCCTCAAACTTCTCAGAGACTCTGATGACCAGTTTCCTCCAGACCAGGACCAGGGACGGTGTCTGGTCCCTTGGGCCAGGACCAGGGACGGTGTCTGGTCCCCTGGGTCAGGACCAGACGGAAAGAGTGTAAAAAGAATATTTCAGTTTAGTTCATTTATTGTACAGCACATACCACTACTGCGAGTGGTAGGGGCCCCATACCCATCCTGTCAGCGGAAGTCGAAAAGGTTACAGAGTAATGGGTCCAAGAACTGAACCCATTTGTAATGGACTAGTTAGAGAAGGAAGGAACTATCAGGGGGAAAGTGCCAAACCATTACGACTATATAGCACTTGGAAGGGGTCAGGATAAGGATTTGGGATGGGACGGGAGGCAGGAATGTTGTCCAACCACTTGGGACGGTCGGGGATTGAACGTCATCTTATACTCCAAGAGTGTACTCACACTTTATCAACCATTAACGTGTACCCCAAGACGCCCTAACACGAGTGAGAGTTTCACTCAGACCCGTCCCGTGCGTGAGTGCCAGGAAGGATTTAGTCTCACATAATGGGTTCAAGAACAGGCTTCCTGTCATCAACAAAGAGTAATATTAATTATAACAGTCTGAATGACCATAGCGAATCGCTGTTGACAGCTAGGCTCTGCTGTCAAAATTTCCAACATTCTAAACACTCGATTGAGATTAGTTAATCAACCCCAAGAATTTTTGAATTTGAAAGAATCAAAATTATGTATTTTTAGATATCTCACTTACACACACACACACACACACACACACACACACACACACACACACACACACACACACACACACACACACACACACACACACACACACACACACACACACGGCCACGTCTGTGGTAGAAAATAATAATAATAAAAAACACGTATTATTAATTAGGTAAGTATTACAGTATTACAACTAGGTAAGTCCACACACACACACATACACACACGTGTGTGTGTCCCGGAACTGAGAGGCATGAGCTACGAGGAAAGACTAAGGGAGCTAAACCTCACGTCCCTGGAAAACAGAAGAGTAAGGGGAGACATGATAACCACCTACAAAATTCTCAGGGAAATTGACAGGGTGGACAAAGACAAACTATTTAGCACGGGTGGAACACGAACAAGGGTACACAGGTAGAAACTTAGTACCCAAATGAGCCACAGAGACGTTAGAAATTATTTTTTTTCAGTGTCAGAGTAGTTAACAAATGGAATGCATTAAGTAGTGATGTGGTGGAGGCTGACTCCATACACAGTTTCAAATGTAGATATGATAAAACCCAGTAGGCTCAGGAATCTGTACATCAATTGATTGACAGTTGAGAGGCGGGACCAAAGAGCCAGAGCTCAACCCCCGCCAGCACAACTAGGTGTGTACGACTAAGTGAGCATACACTCACTATAGGTGTACTCCCTTCACTAAGTGAGTACACAAATGTTGATCCTAATACAAAGATGGTCCCTCCCCCTCCCTCTGATCCCCGGGTGGATGGGTCGAGAATACTACGGCAAAAGCTCCTCCAAAATTGGTCAAAAAGATCCAAAATAAAAGTGAGAGACAGGAGAAAGTAGGACAGCGGGAGAAGCCAGGCTGGGGCAGGCGCGCCCGGACTGCTGGCGGGGGGCGCTCTCCCAGCACACTCTTGCTCCTGCTCTCCCACGCCAGGTGAGGCGCCGTGTACTTGATTTCATGTACTCTTAGTAAGCCAAATACACATATGATTATGAACGCGTAAATATTGCCTGAGTGACATACCTGTTATACCAGTGTGTTGAGACGCTGTTGCTGGCCGGCACTCTGCCTCTTGCTCACCTGCAACACAACACCATTAACATTAGTTAACATAACAAATTAAACTATGTTTATATTAACAAAAATAAGGGAAGGCGTGAGTATAGTCAAAGAAAGTTGTAGACGGTGTCAATAGACTGGATTTACGACATGATCTTATGGCACCTACTTCGGCAAATAAGAAATACAATAGAATTACATATCACTATTTTGATTTGACAAGATCGAAAAAACACCACAAGCGTCCATCAGCGGACGCTGCTAGTCATTTGTTACCATTATGGCGTTCCTCCTCAATTTGCGAGAAAAGTATCATAACTTTCAAAGGCATTCAATCGAATACAAACTCCATGGAATTACAACCGCAACCTGTGTATCACCTCACATACCTTGGGGCTCAGAGGACCAGTCATGGTGGAAACTACGAGCTCAGATCCGGTGGTGGACGAGGACTAGAGGCCATAAAAACTAGTATTCATGCTGGGAAGGGGCGTGATACTGCGTCAACGAAGCACTTTCATATTCATAAGTTACCCCGAGTTCAGTGTCAAGGCAATACCCATTTTCTGTCGCTTCTCACAGCTTTTTGTTTACACATGATCATCCTGTCTCTTCCTAGTTCCCACAATGCTCCACCTGGCTCCCACAATGCTCCATCTGGCTCCCACAATGCTCCATCTGGCGTGGAGCATTGGGTTGGTATCCTGGTCGGAGATTGACTGGGCACCAATCTTTAACTGTAGCCTTTGTGTACCCAACAGTAATATAGGTACTTGGTTGTTAAACGATTTGGCGGGTCGTAATCCGGGGAACATAGGATTAAGGACTTGCCCGCTAGTCCAAGACTTGTACAGCTAATGACTGTACAAGAATGTAAGAATTCTTGTATAAATACAAATAAATAATAAAATTCTTTGATACTATGGGCACCTTTATCCTGCAGCAGCGACACTTTCCCACGAAGTGTGGTGTAGCCGAGGTCAAAGTCAGAGGTGAGCTCAGTGATCCGGACATACTGTGTCCCCGACATTGCCAGGTGGAGGGAGAAGTGGTGTCAGTGTTGGGGTCGCCGCGGTCACCCGTCCCGTCCTGGGCCCTCCCGTCTTGTCCTGGGCTCACCCGTCCCGTGCTGGGCCCTCCCGTCTTGTCCTGGGCCCACCCGTCCCGTGCTGGGCCCTCCCGTCCCGTCCTGGACGTTCCCGTCTCGTCCTGGGCTCACCCGTCCCGTCCTGGGCTCACCCGTCCCGTCCTGGGCTCACCCGTCCCGTCCTGGGCTCACCCCCGCTCTCACTGACCCAGCAGCATCCTCCAGGTCAGGAGGTGGTGGTCACATAATCCGCTGAATGTGTAGAAGAACTTGGCTGGTACGGATGCTAAGTAACTTACAAGGTAATGCATGGATGTAATGTTCCTTGACATAACAACTTTTAATGTATGGTGAGTTAACAGGTTACTGTATTTTAAGTTTATAAATTGTTTATATAAAGAGTGAATTGTTAACTTGTATAATGTATATTTTCTCTACAAATGCAAAATATTTTCGAAAGCAGGTGAGCTGTTTCAGTATGTTGCTACAAGTAAGGTTGAGCACCTGTGTATTCACAGGTGGAGGCGTGGCTGACACCTGTGACCCGTGGCTGACACCTGTGACCCGTGGCTGACACCTGTGACCCGTGGCTGACACCTGTGACCCCGACCCTCAACATATAAGGTACCTGGGAATTCCGTATATGGTGGTAGCCTAACTTCTTTCTAAATTACTATTCTTCCATTACCAACCAAGAAGATAATTTAAGGTTAAGCAATGTTCTGCATCATATTGCGTCGTCTGCTGCCATGCTGTGTGTGTGTGTGTGTGTGTGTGTGTGTGTGTGTGTGTGTGTGTGTGTGTGTGTGTGTGTGTGTGTGTGTGTGTGTGTGTGTGTGTGTGATGTTGACCTTGGTCATTACCACACTCACCACAACTGCTTAGTACTTTAATCGTGTATGAAAATGTACATGGTTATACAGTATATAACCTGTGTATACCGCGTAATAGCACCAACAATAATTTACTGTGTGTTTATGTGTTTTTCAAGTGCAATGATACAGTTTGCCCCGAAACGCTGTGCGTACTAGTGGCTTTAGGCATAGTATATACTTGCTTTATCTAGAAATCCAGCATTCTACTTGTAACTCATTTTGTATATATGTACGTCTCCCTAAATAAAATTATGATTATCATTATCGGAACAGACGATGAGTCACAATAACGTGGGTAAAGTATGATGACCAGACCACACACTAGAATGTGAAGGGACGACGACGTTTCGGTCCGTCCTGGACCATTCTCAAGTCGATTGTGAGAATGGTCCAGGACGGACCGAAACGTCGTCGTCCCTTCACATTCTAGTGTGTGGTCTGGTTATCGAAACATAATTTCTTAGTGTTTTAGCAAATAATATATTACGCATCTTAGTGACACGAATATATATATGTACATATGAACTACAGGTTCTGTGATGCAAATAACATTACTGACAGCCGGTTGTATTATCGCAGTTGAAAAACACATGGTAAAACATTACAACTGTTGATAAACTATATTCCATAACAATTTCAGACAAGATCAAATATATTGCAATTTCAAACAAAACCTGGTGAGCTAGGCTAACCACATGTTATGAGATTACCACACCCACCACAATGGCCTAGTGGTTCGTAATCGTGCATGAAAGTGTACATAGATATATATAATGTGTGTATACAGTATAATAACACCAAAAACAATGCTTTCTTGTTCTACGCAAATAATACAGTACGCATCTTAGTGTCAAGAATATATTTGAGCATTCCGCTATCCCACACATTTGATTATATACATTTATCAAAAGAAACACTATTGAATAATAATATTGCAAAAACCAGGGACAAATTTATCGGAGACAATGGGATAAATGTCACCATATTGGCAGCAGCTCCCGCCTCACGGCTGGCTCCGCCCATGGCTTACTCAGCGCTCCTCAGGACCCGGAAGATTGTATCTTCCGGGTCATTTACAGGTCATATCTTCCAGTAAAGATACTTTGCTGCAGATACCGATATACCGGATAAACTGCTTACACACTATCAGCGCTCCTGAATGGTGACGTCATCGCCAGACTTCACCGTGGTCAAAGTAAGTTGCATAGATTTTTTTCCCATGATTAGGCCATGCATTTTAAAAATATTTGAAGGAAAAAGGGTTGTAATTTTTTTCCAGCGCACGTTGCGCGGGGTGGGGGGTGGGGGGGGGGCGGGTTAGGCATGTAATAAGAGGCGCACAGCCTAGTCCATGCAACATGAGTGAGAAGGATATATATATATCATGATGATTATGACTTGAGTGCTCAATAGCTGTGCCATATTGTGTATCAGTTCTCTAAGTCTACGCATAGAGGGGAAACGGAAATGTATATGTGCTGGTTAGCTTTATATCAGATGGCCACGTTTGTGGTTAACAATAAACTAATCAGTGTTGCGGGCAAATTGTTAAGATACGAGAGGAGGGTTATCTTGAGGTTATCTTGAGATGATTTCGGGGCTTTAGTGTCCCCGCGGCCCGGTCCTCGACAGCCCGTGACAGCTGACTAACACCCAGGTACCTATTTTACTGCTAGGTAACAGGGGCATAGGGTGAAAGAAACTCTGCCCATTGTTTCTCGCCAGCGCCTGGGATCGAACCCAGGACCACAGGATCACAAGTCCAGTGTGCTGTCCGCTTGGCCGACCGGCTCCCTTGAGATGATGATTCATCCCAAGCGGTCTCGTCTGACGGTGGGACCAACTAGTCAAAATGCTCATTGTACTACACCATTCCCCAACCCGTTCTCGCACTTTCTTACAGTCAATATTGACTTATTAAATAAATGCATATGTGACATACTAATTTATTGTGAATATTTTAGTTTACCTTGAAAAGCTTCATAGAAAACACCGACCTTACCTAACCTTCTTAGTATGTTAAGATAAGCATCTTATTGCTTCGTAATTACAATTATTACTTAACCTATACATATAATAGGTTAAGTAATAATTATAATTACGAAGCAATAAGATGCTAAAACTGTTACCTTCCAGTGATGAAAGGATGCATATTTCTACTTCTCTAATGTTGTTATTATTTGGTCATGATGATTTTAATATTCGAGCAGCATTAGGTGAGTACACGGCACCACGAGACTGGCGTCAGCAACACCTCTAAAGTAGCGGCATTTTTTTTTTTTTTGAGATATATACAAGAGTTGTTACATTCTTGTACAGCCACTAGTACGCGTAGCGTTTCGGGCAGGTCCCTGGAATACGATCCCCTGCCGCGAAGAATCGTTGTTACAACCAAGTACACATTTTACTGTTGAGTTAAACAGAGGCTACAGTTAAGGAATTGCGCCCAGTAAATCCTCCCCGGCCAGGATACGAACCCATGACATAGCGCTCGCGGAACGCCAGGCGAGTGTCTTACCACTACACCACGGAGACTGTTGGCGGCATCTGTGTCCAGAAGGCCACTATTTATCCAGTTACAGGCCACACAAGATTGGTGAACCTGACAAATCGAACGTTCCTTTATAACATTATCTTGTGTGGGAGAGACCAACCGTTGTCCTGGAACAACACCTCTTTGTCACAACAAAGTGATGCATTAACCTGACCCATGGACTCTACGCATGGAAAACGTGGTTGTTTATGGTTGGAGGACTGGTCGAGCCGCCATGATGGGGGGTAGAAATAGCCTAAGCTACTCTATCCCTTTGAGATGTATTTCTTGCTTATCTCAATAAACATACTTGAACTTGAAGCCGCCATGATCTTAGTACATTATATTTTGAGAATTTTGACGTCAAAGTGCAGACGTGCATGTATTATTCGAGAGGACAGGTTGAATAACAGTTTTCACCTCCAATCCAAACTGGTGATATAATTTACCAACTAGTTTGAGGTTAATACAGACAACATTCCGACTTCTGTCGTGTGGCTCGTTTAGAGACAAGTTTGACATGCATTTGTCATATATTAAACAAGTTAGATATAAAAATCTACAGTAAAAGAACCAAAGAATCCGGCTGTGGCCACGAACGGGAAAGTTGCCGCCCCGCTGACGGAAGGCAAACAGAAAACGGGGGAGAAATTTGGGAGGCATTGTGCTGGTAACCCGGGTGGCGGTACCTGCTCTAATGGGATACCTTCCAGGCGTATACTCTTTCCTGCGGTTTGCATGTGTAAACCAGGAGTGGGTCCGTGCATTGATTGATTGATGAAGATTAAGCCACCCAAGAGGTGGCACGGGCATGAATAGCCCATAAGTGGTGGCCCTTTTGAGCCATTACCAGTATCAAGAGCTGATACTGGAAATTGAAATTGAAATAAGTTTATTGAGGTAAAATACACACAAAGGGATGAGGTAGCTCAAGCTATTCTCACCCCATTCCGTACCACCTGATACTGGAGATCTGTGGAGGTGTGACTGCACCCTGCGTGACGGGAGATGTCTCCCAGGTGTCCGTGCAGGTAACCACTAATTAATATAAACACCTCTCCTTTGAGTACGGTGCCGGGGAAGATTGGGGAAATATAAGCGCACACCGTTCGTGTAACCCTGGGTAACAGGCGTGGATATAAGAGCCATCAAGTTAACGATAAAGCGTCATATATCCCTCGATAAGCTTGCAACATTTACAATACCAATTTATAAACAATGAGGTAAGTGACTTTCTATAAGCTCTTTCATGGCTGTATCACTGAAAGAACAATTTAGGTTCACGTCATGTCATGGAGGATGGCTCTCAAACCCACCAAATGCTTCCGATGACGAAAAAATGATGCATTTTACTACACTATTCAATATTATATAAGCTAATTTGTTAAAAGTTTGCAGTTGTGCAAGTCACACTTTACGTTAACACGAAGCGTGCAATGACGAAGATAAAATATTTAATTGGAGGCGTCTTCAACGTTGGTGTGACCCGACTCACTCTCCAGCACACTACTGCACACTACCGTCCACCCTCCGGGAGTGTTGTGAGACTGGGGAAGAACCTGACCTTAAGAACCAATCGTTTAAACTTTAGTGAAGTTGGGAATGACTCGCTGGCAGAAGAACCCCAGCAGGTACAGGTCGACAGTCTCCGTGGTGTAGTGGTAAGACACTCGCCTGGCGTTCCGCGAGCGCTATGTCATGGGTTCGTATCCTGGCCGGGGAGGATTTACTGGGCGCAATTCCTTAACTGTAGCCTCTGTTTAACGCAACAGTAAAATGTGTACTTGGTTGTAACAACGATTCTTCGCGGCGGGGATCGTATTCCAGGGACCTGCCCGAAACGTTACGCGTACTAGTGGCTCTACAAGAATGTAACAACTCTTCTATATATCTCAAAAAAAAAAAAAAGTACATACACTTGCATGTGTGCGTGTGTGTTTCAGGATTTCTAATTAATGTCAAGTTTAGCCGGTAAAGCAATTAAAGGTAAACATAGCATCGTCACCAGAGAGAGAGACAAGACAATTAGAAAGTCTTCCCCGACAGTGACAGTCATTAATCTGGCGCTGATCGACCCCGCCTTACATCTGTCTACTGACTATTGGCAATTTATATATTGAAAGTTATGGACTCTACTTGAGTTGTCGTTCATGTTAGGAACCTGCAGTACTGAGGCCTAAGCTGCCTCGCTGTGGAGGTGTTCTCCAGAGACCACGTTGTAGAGCGGGGCCCCTGCTGCCTCCCTACACCCCCTTCACCCAGTCCCATGGTGGCCTCCAGGTGACAACACCCCCTACAGTGTGGGTTATGACAGGTGTGGTGACGATGCACGGTGCCGTGTCCAGTGTCAAGATACAGGGTGATACATGAGTCTCCAGGAGAGCAGTCCATACTCAGCACTCAACCTGGAGGCAAACTTGTGCTTCATGAAGACTTTTGCAACAGCTGTTGTAAGTTCATGTTGCTTCCTTGTTTGTTAAGTTAAGCAAGTGGCTCTTCAGTGGCCATTGAAGAGTTAAACTTCATTCCCAAGATGTCAACTTCATCACTGAGCACTAAGTAGTTTGCCACTTATCTAATGCTTGTCCTAATGTCAGTAGGTTATCTTGAGCGGTTATCTTGAGATGATTTCGGGGCTTTTTAGTGTCCCCGCGGCCCGGTCGTCGACCAGGCCTCCACCCCCAGGAAGCAGCCCGTGACAGCTGACTAACACCCAGGTACCTATTTTACTGCTAGGTAACAGGGGCATAGGGTGAAAGAAACTCTGCCCAATGTTTCTCGCCGGCGCCTGGGATCGAACCCAGGACCACAGGATCACAAGTCCAGCGTGCTGTCCGCTCGGCCGACCGGCTCCACCTGCCATGTCCAGTACAACGTCACGGCTGATCTTGGAGTCGTCCAGTGACTTATACCACTTAGTGCAGAAGTTTCACAAGAGATCACCAGCAGAACGATCTTTCCTTAAGTCATATTGCCGACCACACAGTAACTGAGGCTCAGAGAATACTGTATATTGTTTAGATTGCTTCTCTCTTTCTCTCTCTCCGTGTTTACTTCGGTTCTCACAACAAGGCTTTCCTTGACGCCAGGATGAGTCAAAATTCAACGCTTTCCAGAGGAAATTTCACTTCTGGAGTCTTGAGTGAAGCGTAGCACCGAGGAGTGAGTAGTGTGTTAGGGGACGCGGGAGAAAGCATTGGTCGACCAGCTCAAACCTCACAAACACTTCACATATTGTGATTATTATTGAAAAGTCGAGTGTGTGTTTAGCCAGGGTGACGCACAGTAACCACTGCTCGACGGAGGGCAACTTGCGAACGAGTGTCAAAGTTCACATGCCTACACCTACACACTTACCACACCTACGAGCGCACATCACTCCATACATGACGAGCATGTATGCATTTAAAATTAATGTTAGATATAATTAATGTAACTGTACGCAGCACGTGTTCATTCTGTTGTAAAGCGTATGATTAAATATGAAGATGTACATGTTGTAGATGTACATGAAGAGAAAACGTAGATCACTATCAAATTCGCTTAGATTTTAGCACGTAGCTAAAATGAAAGAACTAAAGACAATTAGAGAACATGTAAATCACCATGAGCGACTTGAATAGGTTTCCGGAGTTAATGAAGGCTCGTAGAAAACGCTAATAATCTTGCAACCTTAAGACTCCTAACTCTCACAAGAAACTCACCCATATACCCGTCACTGGAGCTGATGAGGACCCCGCTCCGGCTCCCAACACTTGTACAGTTGGTAACCCTGCCACCCACCTTGAGGTTATCTTGAGATGATTTCGGGGCTTTAGTGTCCCCGCGGCCCGGTCCTCGACCAGGCCTCCACCCCCAGGAAGCAGCCCGTGACAGCTGACTAACACCCAGGTACCTATTTTAAGGCAAGGGCGACGTGGCCGTAATGACCGTGAATCAGCGACCTGCCGACTACTACTACAGCGTCGCCTCCGGTAGTCCGCCGCGCTTCCTCTGGATTAGGACATGATAAACGAGGGAGCAGTTCAACCCTGGTGGTATGTGGCCAATCACCGCCCAGCATAGCAGTGTTGCCGCGCTCTCGAGAGCCTGATTGGTCGGTTTCTAGCCAATAGCGCCTCGTCCCGGATGTGGAGGTGAAAACTACTCTTGCAGGGTTGACCACGGGGAACACGACGTCCGAGCGCTCCCTGAATATATAATTCGCAGGTGACATCACTAAAATGTTAAATGGCTTCTGCTGTTCGGTGGATGAGAGTGTGTAACTATATAATTTGCATAATTATGTACTCTAAATTCGATAACTTTAGGAAATCACGTTATGAACGTTTATAGATTAGGGGTGGAGGGTGAAACCCGGTCCCTGGAAGATGTCCCTGGCGTAAAGCAGCCCCTGGAAGATGTCCCTGACGTACACCAGCCCCTGGAAGATGTCCCTGGCGTAAACCAGTCCCTGGAAGATGTCCCTGGCGTACACCAGCCCCTGGAAGATGTCCCTGGCGTACACCAGTCCCTAGAAGATGTCCCTGGCGTACACCAGCCCCTGGAAGATGTCCCTGGCGTTCACCAGCCCCTGGAAGATGTCCCTGGCGTACACCAGCCCCTGGAAGATGTCCCTGGCGTACACCAGTCCCTGGAAGATGTCCCTGGCGTACACCAGCCCCTGGAAGATGTCCCTGGCGTAAACCAGCCCCTGGAAGATGTCCCTGGCGTACACCAGTCCCTGGAAGATGTCCCTGGCGTACACCAGTCCCTGGAAGATGTCCCTGGCGTACACCAGTCCCTGGAAGATGTCCCTGGCGTACACCAGCCCCTGGAGGGGTGCGCCGCGACTCGTCCCTCCCGGCTAAGCTAATGGTGGTCCGTTAAGTGTACCATCACTAGGACGATACAACTATATATTTACTAGACGGTGTGAGTGTAGTGGGTGACCGTGGCCCCTCACGTGCCTGGCGCCCCCTCCCAGACCTGCTGCTGGTGATGGCCAGAAGAAAGTGGCCGGAGTTACAACCAAACGAAAGAAAGTTGTGTCCGAGGTGTGTATGTACTGAGCACCGCGAGTGTCCCAGCAGGCCGAGGCATATATACTGAGCACCGCGTGCGTCGGAGCGGCGGTTGTGCAAGAGAAGAAAACACTAGAGTTTGTGTATGCGCGGCACACGCCATGCGCAGAGCTGTGTTAAATATTGCATCGCTGGGAATGAATAAGGAGTGGATGTGCTGGTGGCCCCCCGCCTGGGGTGCCCCCCATCTTGATCCTTCACCCCCAACACCACCCCCAGCACCCCTCACACCCCCCCCCCAGCCATACCCACCACGTAGCAACTCTTCTTTCTAGTCCGGTTGGTCTCCTTTCCTGGAGTGAAAGCGTTCTCCAAGGCCGGTGTGAATACTGATACTTCCAGGGTTCTTACGCGCGCGCGCGTGTGTACCTACCTAGTAGTACTCACCTAGATGTGCTTACGGGGGTTGAGCTCTGGCTCTTTGGTCCCGCCTCTCAACTGTCAATCAAGTGGTGTACAGGTTCCTGAGCCTATTGGGCTCTTATCATATCTACATTTGAAACTGTGTATGGAGTCAGCCTCCACCAAATCACTGCCTAGTGCATTCCATTTATTAACTACTCTGACTCTGAAAAATTTCTTTCTAATGTCTCTGTGGCTCATTTGGGTACTCAGCTTCCACCTGTGTCCCCTTGTTCGCGTAACCCGTGTTAAATAGTCAATCCTTGTCTATCCTGTCATTCCCCTGAGGATTTTGTATGTTGTGATCATGTCTCCCCGGGATCTTCTGTCTTCCAGCAACGTGAGGTGAAGTTCCCTTAGCCTTTCCTCATAACTCATACCTCTTAGTTTTGGGACTATTCTAGTGGCATACCTCTGAACTTTATCCATCTTCGTATTGTGCTTGACAAGGTATGGGCTCCACGCTGGGGCCGCATACTCCAGGATTGGTCTTACGTATGTGGTGTACAAGATTCTGATTGATTCCTTACACAGGTTCCTAAACGCTGTTCTGATGTTAGCCAGCGTGTGTGTGTGTGTGTGTGTTTGTGTGTACTCACCTAGTTGTACTCACCTAGTTGTGCTTGCGGGGGTTGAGCTCTGGCTCTTTGGTCCCGCCTCTCAACCGTCAATCAACAGGTGTACAGATTCCTGTGTGTGTGTGTGTGTGTGTGTGTGAACTGTAAGTCATATGTGTGCGAGTGTAGTAGGTGTGGACGGGTGCTGGTACTGGGGGAGACACATGGGGGGAGGGAGGGAGGGGGTGGAGGTGGGGGGGGGTGTTGACCTGGTGGGCAACAAGGTGTTATCCCGGTACACTTGTAGGTCATCATAACATGGTTGACGGGACCGGTTTGTGGTAATGGCAGGTGGCAGACCACTCGCCCGGGGAGCCCCTGACCCCCCCTCTCCCTCACGGCCATCTCCCGGGCCTCTTAAACTTCACTGTTTTTCCCGCCGGCCATTTTGGTGATGGGGCAGCTGTAGGTGAAACTGACCAGGGGGGGGGGGCAGAAGAAAATGGGGGCTGATGGCCAGAAGAAAGTGGGGTTAGGGCCATTCTAATGTGAGAGTGAGGGCTGAGCCTGGTGAGAGAGAGTGAGGGCTGAGCCTGGTGAGGGAGAGTGAGGGCTGAGCCTGGTGAGGGAGAGTGAGGGCTGAGCCTGGTGAGGGAGAGTGAGGGCTGAGCCTGGTGAGGGAGAGTGAGGGCTGAGCCTGGTGAAGGAGAGTGGGGGCTGAGCCTGGTGAGGGAGAGTGGGGGCTGAGCCTGGTGAGGGAGAGGTAGTGAGGACAGAGCCTGGTTCGTCCCCAAACACACTTCAACATCCGTCTCTCTCCTCCACTATGGGACACCTGAAGGTGGGACACCAACTCAGCAGGAAGAGGGTGAAGAAGGTGGATAGGGGGTGCTGAGGAAATGGAATAGTGAAAGGGAAAGGAGCAAGAAGTGAGGAGGGGAGTGGTGACGGAGAAGATATACTTCTGTATTACAACACATAAAGGTAGGCGTACACTGGTGACGCGACAGTCATGGCCGCCCACTGATCCCACACAAGGACAAATTTACATTTTCAGTGAACTAGACAGACAATGTTACCGTTCCTCAACTGTAAGGCGGAAGAGAGAAGCGGCATAGGTGGTGACAGGGAAGGTGGCAAGGACTGTGGTGTCAGTATAGGTGTGGTGGCAGAGGATGGCAGAGAGACACAGCAGGCCCCTAACACAAGACAGGAACGAGGCCTTCAACCTCTCACATCACACTCTGCTTGCAACTGGGTTTAGCTAACCACCTCTGTCCCCTGCAAGTGTTGGTTCTATAGTATCTTATGATGAGACTACTTCGCTTGGTGTAGCGCCTGGGCCGAGTGTGCAGGGCTAGGCACCAGGTATCGATGGTGAGGTTTGTGGTTAGTTAACCTTAATGCTGCTGTCACTCCAAAACCTCGTAAAGCTAATTCCAGACGCACCCCTTGCTTCCCCCCCCTCCTGCCTCACTCTCCTGTGGGTGGTGGTGGACCCCACACCTCTCCTGTGGGTGGTGGTGGACCCCACACCTCTCCTGTGGGTGGTGGCGGACCCCACAGTTAGAAGGGTGTGGGTCAAGTTAGAGTAGTGAAGGTACTGGTGTAGTGAGGAGTACTTCACCAGGAGGGCCGCGGCTGTGAGGTGTTGACGAACACACAGGTACTCATGCCCCTCTTACCTCTCTGTAGTACTGGTGCTGACTCAAGTGATAACCCACTAGTCCCTGACTTGTGCTCTAGTGTAGACCTGGGTTACTCTCAGCAGCAACCACCATCACCACCACTAACACTACCACCAACACCATTATCCACCATCAGTAGCACTATCCACCATTATCACCAGCATCGCACGGCTAACCAATATTGTTGGTTAGTGTAAACCCAACCAAGATCCCAGCAACCAAACTCGTCAAATATAAGAAAATAGTGGTACCGTGTATGGGCGGTCAACCAGTGGGACGCGCTGAAAGAACTTGTGGAAGCCATCACCTCCGGCCTCAACTTTAAGACTAAATTTGACAAAGGAATTGAGGGTCAGAATGTTGACCAGACCACACACTAGAAATTGAAGGGACGACGACGTTTCGGTCCGTCCTGGACCATTCTCAAGTCGATTGAGAAGGGTGTGGGAAATCGACTTGAGAATGGTCCAGGACGGACCGAAACGTCGTCGTCCCTTCAATTTCTAGTGTGTGGTCTGGTCAACATACTTCAGCAACGTTATTGTGACTCATCACCTGCAGAGGGTCAGAATAGTTAAATTATAACGCAGCGGGTACACAAGGGTAGCAGGCGGGGTCTGCAGAGCTAGAGCACACGTCCCCGTAGTCAGTAATGGTCACCATTGTCACCAGTTGGGGCCCACCCCCGGGTGACAAGGAACCAGGTGTCCCCTTCCCCCACAGGTAACATGAACTATCATCAGATACCGGAAAAGAAATGTATTTGGTGAGTGGCGAGGGAGGAAGTGGGTTAGCTGGGGCAAGTGACAGGGCCGGCCGGGCAAGGTACAACTGGACGCGGGGAAAGTAACATCCCACACACGGCTCTCACAGCCGTAAGGAACACCACGTACCAGGAGCAGCAGGAACGTGGCCTCCCGACGGTGGCGTGGACGTCCTAGGTATAACTATGGGAAAAAGGAAGCGCGGGTTGCGTGCAGGCGGTGGGTGACGGTGAGGGTGACGGGTGGTTATCGCAGGCCACCTCCTCGGTTACCACACTTTCTGCGCCATTATGTGTCGTGAGGCGATCATTACAGAAATAGGATCCTGCACCAGCGCGATAGTTATGCAACATGCACGACTGGACGGGA